TATGAAGTCGAATTTAGAGATTCCTTAGCACTTCCCTTTTAAAAGTGTCTTTATGTGTTAGATAATAGAGCTGTTTAAAGGGGATGATTGAATTAGGGTTTTTTTTTTGTCAGAATAATGAAAAGACAGCTCACATACACAAACAAGCAAGTTTTCTATATTGTTTGTGTTGCTTCTATCATCAAAAACGTCAACATAATTCCTTTAAAAACTCATCAGTTGTAGATTTTGACCAATAGGTAAAAGGTTGAAGTTAAAGTGATGGAAGATTAGATTTCAAATGTTTCTTAGAGGGGGAATACAAGTTTGGACATTCATCCTATGTGGACCCAAGAGCTGTAAATACCATCTGAAAATGACATTACACTGACATCTTTGGATTTACTTTAATTTTTACCATGATTTGTTTTACATTAAATCTATTGCTGATTGATTGATTGATTGATTGATTTTATAGTGAAGGCTTATGAGAGGATTTTATTGTCTTTTTTGCTAAGCTAAGCCAATGGGTTTACTTTCTATGGCTATTCCTAATGTACAAGCTAAGAGGTATTAACTGAGCAAACCCAACTTTCCTCTAAATGACGTATTGAAAATCTTTTATCTTTTGTTTGTTCGAGTTTGAGAAAATTGTCTGTGTACATGCTTTAGCAGAGTGAAGTCCGGCTGTTGTTGACACAGGTTGATAGAAATGTGGATTTATCACGCTGCACTTCAGCACTCTTGTCAGCTCACTGAGGACTCATTTTTTTGCAGTTATGTTGATAGAAGTCACCCTTGGGTGTTGTCTGTCAGTATAGTACCCCCTGAAAAAAAACCCAGTATGTTCAAGCATTCAGGCTAGCATCCTGCTTACAGGTCATCTGTCATGAACAGGTCAGAACAGAGAGTGAGAGAGAGTAAAAATAAATCAGTACTTCTGACAGTCATTTTCAGGCTTGAGCAGTTTTACCGCCACAGGTAGAGGCAAAGGTTTGTCAAGGTGTGTGTCGTTAAAAACCATGGAGGCCAAACCCTTGTTTTTAATTGGATCAAGAACCCTGCTTAACAAAGAATCATGCTGCTGTCCAGGGTTTTGGTATAAACAAAGTAGGAGCCAAAATGTTGCTTTGCTGATCGGTTATCCCGTGTTCAATCACTTTTGTCTGGTCGCCATTGGCCTCACTGGGCTTGGGTCACATGGGCACTGTGTTTGAAAGCCGGTAAGTTATATAAGGGGCGGTCTCACCTGCACTGGGGTGGAGAGGTGAGCCTAGCTAGCCGTAATTTTTGTTGACCGCGCTTTATGTTCTTTGTTTGCAATGATACGCGTCGCAAAATGTACACATATTATATCTGATGTGTGTGTGTGAATCATTGGCCATAGTAGAAGCATTTTTCTGTTATTAAAGCTCCGAAAACTTTGATGAACTGTGGGTGCTTCTTTGGAACAGCAGCAGCATGTCACACAAATATTCAGGACCTATCCTCTGCCTCAAGCAACTTTTTTAAGTTACTGGGAAAGCTGCAATAAACAGTAAGTCCCATAGTCAACCAGCAAATTTACATTCACAGCATACTCTGTATTTCCTTTTTCTCCATTATAGAGTCTTCAAAAAGTCTAGTGTTAATATATCTTAAAATATGGGAAAGGAACCAGGGGGGCCAATCAGATTCCAGTCGAGGGCCAATGCCACCCCTGGTTACTTCTCTGAACACGCCCCTGTCAGTGGAGCCTTTGTGGACTCAACAAAAGTCTGTTCAGTCTTGACTTGCTGTCATGCTGTTGTGGCAACTCCTGAACTGTTACCGCCTTCAGCAAAGTGCAGGATGAACATGTGCAGAAACAGGCAGAGGAGTACCCCAACAACCACAAACCACACACACACACACACAAATACACAAACATCACATATGCAATCTTTGGACCCACACTGAATGATTTTCTTTGTGCTGACACACACACACAGGCTATTATTAAATCTGAGCAGTCATACCAAGATCCAAAAACAACAAGTCCATAACCTCCTAACTGAAGAACAAACGCTGGATTATCGGACGGTTGCAGGTATGACAACACACACAGCGGCCCCTTATCATATTGGGGATGTTTGCTGATTACGCAGCAGCAATACTGAGCAAATTATCTCATTATAAACAGTGGAAGCTAAGATAAGTCCTTTAATTGATAAGATATAGCGATGACAATACAGCCCATGTTAGTCAGGTTTACAAGTCAATGGTATGTTGTGATTTTTATAGCATTTTGACAAAGGTTATGTAAGTGGAAGAGTATGCAAATCCTGTTTCTTAACCCAGGCTTTTGTGTGAGCTTGATTAGGCTGCCTGCTGTGGTAAAAGTCCTCAATATATCTGGGAAACTTAGTCATTATTTTCAACAATAAAAGTATACTTAGGCAGTATTCCAGGAAAGGTTCTGCTCATTTTAAAAATAAATCAGGACCCAGTTTTATTAATGCTGAATAGAAAACCAAATATGATTATAATGGAGTTTTAAAATAGGACGTTCAATGAAGACAGGGCAGTTTAGTCTGAGATAGTTTATTTTTAGGGATTTATACTTGAAGCAACATCAGTGTGATCATGTTAGAGGTGATGGTCAAGAATCTTTAGAGGGAAATTAATTACCAATTAGGACATACATTTGTGGAATTTATTTGCAAGTTTTATGGGTCTGGAAATGCGTAGTGCTGTGGTTTTATGGGTGGGCGAATATTTCCTTTTGTGTCCTATTGACTAAACATGAATGTGTTGTATTTGAAATCACAGTTTATGTTGTAAAATCAAAACAATATGTGTATTCTATTCTCTAGTTTTGTGTTTTTGGACCAAAGTGTCAAAAAAGTTTGACTTAAAATCTGATAGTAGATTTCAGTTTCAGTGTACCTTGTTCAAAGATGGATTTCTAAATTGAAAAAATTGAGCTCCAGAAATATTTTATTTGAGTTACACTAATGAGAACAGGAATTCGCCTATCGCCAGATCCATCTTTGGTGTGTGGCCATTCAAAGGGCCATGTCCCTCAATAGTTTGGACCCCTGCTGTTGAATACAAACAGGAAGGCTCACTGTGAAAAATGAACAATAGTGTGCGTGTGATGACCAGGGTTTGGAAAAAGGCATTTAATACACTCTAAATCTGCAGAATACAGACTCTTCTTTCTTAAATTAAGTACATGGATTTCAGATAGATAGATAGATAGATAGATAGATAGATAGATAGATAGATAGATAAAGGTTTTTATTCCCATTGAAACTGAAGCACAGCTGTAATGATTAATAGTCTACTTTAAACCCCAAATAAAGTTTAAAGACTGCTCATATTGTGCACAATAAAAAGTGACCGTGAGCAAGTGAAAGCAGCACAGAAACACTGTCTGTGACTCTACGGGTACACATGAGGTCAAAAGGCACCATTAACTGCTGTTGCGTCAAACATGACCGTGACACACAAAATAAAAGCATGCTCTGTGACATGCATAGGTTCATGTTGCAGCTGTTGACTGTCTCGGGATACCGGAGTTTGCAGCGTCTCCCGTGTCAAGATGACTGGGATAAAAGAGATGTTATCTGGTTCAACCTTTCAAAATAAAACTCCTGATTAAAGCACAGTATATTTTAGAGGCCTTTCACCTCAAATAAGATAAGAATGAACTCTGACTGGGACCAATTCTAATTTTGACTTCTCAAACCCATGCTTTAATCACGGTGATAATACAGTTTTATAAATTTGAATGTAAGTTCAGATTTTTATTGTAAATTTTTGAAAAGTCTAAAACAAAACTGGAACATTTTTCTCTCTCCTTGCTTATTTTAAATACGCCACATTATTTTGAAAGGCATTTGATTACATTTTTCACCCTTAGTCTCACTAAAAATATTGAATAAAAGTGGGCCATTTACCTCAACAGAGGTGGGGATTTAAATTGTGAAAATGAACTTTATCAACTTTCTCTATCAACTCAAGTCCTAACAGAGCTGACCCAAATCTCAATGGGGCCCTAAGCAAAATTTGATTTTGGGGCCCTCTATTTCTGCCAATAATATGATAGTTGATCATTCACACACCTTCACAAATCCCTTCCATGACATGCAAACATACTTTTATCTTGGTGTTTTTTCTCTTCTTCCCCTTTCTTTTCTCTGCCTCTTGAAGGATATGCCCTTTTTTGCGTCATTGTTTTGCCCCAAAACTACCTGCGCTTCAGCTGCTCAGTGCACATTGCACAACAGGAGGCACATAACGGTAGCGGAGCTTTGACATATAGGCAGTAAGAATTATAGGCCTACATCAGCAGCAACACTAAAATGTTTTTACAATAATGTATAGTTGATCATACAGAAAGCATCACTCATACATGCAAAAATAAAAAATTGCTCTGGGGGCCCGCTATAGGCCGTGGGGCCCTAAGCAGGAGCTTAGTTTGCTTATGCCTTGGGCCGACTCTGAGTTCTAAACAAAAACAGTTTGTAAAGGAAATAGAAAATACACATTGTGCAGACACGTATATTTGCAGCAATATTCATGTCAGTCCTTTATCAGTCAGAACCGCAGGTGGGCCACCTTGGTTAAAAAATATCTGGTTACGGCCCTGACAATAGTTCTTATGTCTTTGATATCTTTGCCTATCAATGATTCACCCATTTATAACACTATAGGTCTGAATTTTTGAGTAAACCAGTAAAAAACATAACAGTGTCAGATAAATTGTTTCAGATCTTCATAATATAGACCCTAGTTGAAAGTGGGATTATGTAGATTATTCAACAATGGCTTTGTTTATTACAGTGAACACGCTTTGAAGAGGGTTTATGGGACTTAGATTTTAGTCATTACGCAACAGTCACTCACGCAAACCCAGGCAAAGCTCGTATATTTTGGTTTAAGGGGGATAAACATAAAATCTTTTATTTTGTAACACTACCCTTTTCCGGTTTCTCTCGGGTGAATGGTTGTTAGTTTCACGCTGCATATCTGCGCGAAAGCTCTACCGCCGCCTTGTCGAGTCATCGCCAGGGAAGAGCACGCAGCAGACGGAGCCGCCGTCCGGTGGCTCGAAATCGGGGGAATAACTGTGGATTACTGTGAATTTAATGCACCACACGAAACAAGAGGAGAAACGGCACATACCGGAGCGGACTGGACGTTTTCACGCATAGGGATACTGCATCTTTGAGTTCGACTTTTACCGTTTACTTGCGGTTGCAGACCCGGACACAGACAACGCGGAGACAGGAGGAGAAGTACCAGAGCCGCCGCGACACCAGCGAGCGAACTTGTCTTCTCTGCCCTGTGGGAGGTGTCTGTCTGTCGGCTGTGGCTCGCTGCACGTACCCCCTGACCGCTTCGGGCGTTCGGACCCTTTAAACTGAAGCCGGTTATGATTGTGACTAAGTTATGTCTTTGTAAATAGCATCTTTTTTTTCGGGTTTTACTTTAACCAACTGTGGCTTTAACGTGACGCACTACACTGACATTAGTGCTGTGTCGGAGCGGACCCCCTCTGCAGAGGAGTTAAAGGCTTTTAAATCAAGTTTCTTTTTACATTCACATTTCTTCTGTGCCAACACTACCCACTCAGATGTAATAGGTAACGATGCATTTTAATTTTACTACAATGCTTCTTTTACAATTCGTGACTGGCTGTTGCTTATGTCTTGTTTTGCCCGCAGGCAAAGTTAGCTGCATTGCTTTGGTTTTTGAGGTCCTCAACAGGCAGTGAACCCCTCTGCAACAGTTTCACACCAGCCGAACAATTCAGCAGATTTGGCAAGGGTTTACACGCTTTCAAGCCTAGTTAGTGACTTGAGTGTCTTTGAACTCGTGTGAAAATGGCATTTTTGCACGACCTGGGGACACAGCTTACCATAAATCTGCCTTCCTCGGGTGTTTCAGGTGCTTCTGTGAAGATATTTTGTTCATTTGGCTTTAACGAGCCGGAGTGTTCAAATGGAGTGAATTGAATTGCTGTAAATGTGTTGACGTTATCGATGAGAAACTGTTTAATTCGTGCCACCTCCTCCTCCTCCTGGCTAGTTTGAACATCTGGGTTTAGCCATGCTCCAATGTTTATATGTGCAGGAGACTGCCCACAGATGAATGTTGACTACCTGGAAAAGTACAGCTTAGGTTGGAAATGCTGTAAAACACTGCAAAATGCCATGGAGATGACTTTTTTAATGTTTAATTGGTGAATATTGTAAGCTTATCGAATTAGCGTACCTGTGATAATTGAACGTCGCGCGACAGCTCAGCATGTCGATATTTTAATGCTAATATCGCGACACAAGCGTGGCGCACTTTAATTTTAACTTTTCATCTACTGGTGGTGTTGCTGTCATCATTCTTCTATATCCTTCAACTGTGTTAACTTTTCTGTTTTCATGCCTGCTCAACAACACCCACCGACTGTTGTGAAATCGTCTCCCGCATCAGCTACAGTATGTCGTAATTACAATGAGAGAAATGCAGATGCTCCTCCTCAGCTATAAGGATGAATGTGTGTCTCTATCTTTCTCCTCTGAATTGGAAACACCACACAGCTTACTGTCTGTGCAGAACTCCAAGGTTGTAAAATGGGATATTGATTTGTGGCTTAAATGAAACACACCCTGCACTTATTGAGAAAAGCTGTCTCATACTGAAGTCATCAGTCTTGTCTCTCCTTGTGATATCATGGTCAGATCACTTAGTCTATTGTCAGGATAGGGGCTTTTCAATCCTCTTTGCACCTGGATTCACAACTGGTCGGCTTTTCCTCCCTCTAGGGCAGCTAGGTGCCATAAAATGTGCACTAAATTCCTGGACCCGTAATCTATAAGATTATTTTTTTAGGGAAATTTAAAAACTTGTTTAACATACATAATTGAAAAAAAGGTAAAGAAACAGGATAGTGTGGCTAAGGACATACATCTTTGAAATTAAAAGTTAAAAATCAGTCTATGCCTTGATGGCCTTCAGGCACATGCCTTCTGTGACCTCTCATGTGCTAATCTATCACCTACTTACCTTAATTGAGACAATATACAGTAGCCTGTGGGGCTCAGTAAGTCCCTAATGTTTATGGCTACCACTAGATTTAACTCTGTGGTATGTAAAAGTAATAAAACAGGGACATTTTGACAAACATTTTTGTAGTTTTCTAACCGTTGTTGTATGTTTTAAGTTGCAAACATAATTTTTATTGTCAGTCATCGGAAACAAATGTAGTATGCAACTTTTTGGGTGACCACATGAAAAAAGGAAGGTCATTCTAGGTGTTTTTTGTGCGTCCGTGTGGTTGTTGAAACAGGAACTCATAATTTGAATAATTTCTAACATCGCACTTCAAAGCTGCTTTTCTCTCCCACTTGAATAACAGAGCAGAAGTTATCTGTGCGGGGGGAAAATTGCTAATTCATTATGCATATTTCCTCTAATGTATTAGGTTTTCTGTAATGAACATGCAGAGTAAAATGCTCCTCTGATTAGATGTCAGTGCAGTGTTTTTCTTTTTTACATCTGTGTGTCTTCTTCCTTCTCATATTAATCTACTGAGTTAGCTGCAGGGTAGTCAGACCTGGAGGTCAGACCGGCTGTGGTGACTTGTGGCTAAATTTGGATCATGAAGCACTTAAACGCACACGCCACTGCTTCACTCAAGTGCGTTAATTTAACGGTGTTGATTTCAAGGGGCGAGCGTTTACATGAGATGCAGATCTCTTTCATGTTAACAAGCCTGAGTCTGAGTTTCAAGATTGTGCAGGGGGTGAACTGCAGTCTGCACTGAGAGTGAAGTAGTGGAATCACTTAAATCCACGCTCCAGTGTAGGTTAAATAGTCACTTTTTGGTGCATGACATCTGACTTTTTCTTGTGGTGCTGACCTAGTTTCTCTATTTTACCAACCAACAAAGGAAAGAACATCCGGATGCAGCTTTGATCTCCACTTAGTGGTTGGAGGAGCTGACAGATTTGTCAACTGCAACCAAAATTTGTGGCAGATGTTGACTGGTGTTCATTTCCCACCCTGCCTATGTGACACAAACAAATCATCACTGGGCAAACTGTGGTAAAATGAGGCACTTTATCCGTCAGCTTGTATGTTCTACCTCCAGCAGTTTTAGCAGGGAACCCAGCGTCATTTGGGGGTCTCTTAATTTTTAGTGGGGTTTGGTGAGTAGATGGTGTCATTTGTGGTGTGTGGTAAAGAAAATATGGTTTCAACTTACAGCTCACTTGATTTTCTCTTTTTCTTTTCAGTGAAAAGGGCCAAAGCAGATCCAGGTGGGCCAGGCTAGGCCTGCCCAGCCCTCTGTCTGGCCTCACCAGGCAGGCCAGCAACCCCTCCAGAGAGCACCCAACCAGCGTTTGACGTCACCAGATCTCCAAGTGGAGCTGTAACAGATTGGATTCCAGTCATAGTTTGTCTTATCAGCCTTTGGGAGGCCACACTGGTCTGTTAGATCTCCAGTTCTTCCATGTCGTGGACGCTCCCCTCTGGATGTTGGCAGCAGGATGGATTCAGGTGTTAATTTGACGTTTATCACCTCATTGCAGTGCTTGCAACCCCCTGTTTTTGACTGCCTTCCATCTTGCCCCTCCCCAGTCTTTAGGCGAAAGCCCCTTCCTCTCTCTTGGGGCTTCCCTGAGCCCTGTTCAGAAGGGCCTTGTAGGAACTGTAGGTGGTTTTGAAACTGCTGACATTGCCAAGAAGGAGTAGAGTTAATAAATCCTTGCAAAACAAAAACAAATGCACAATGCAGATTTCTACATTGGATGGATTTAATTGAGCTACTTTCACCAACCCACCCTTTTTCTTTCCTGGAGTTTGATCTGAGGTTGGAGGGCTTTTAATTTGAAGCTGGCTAGTTGAGTTTTGTGCCCTCTGGTGATCTCTTATTTATCCAGAAATTCTCTGGTTTTGATCCGAGCCTTAAGGAGGGATGTCTGAAAACAACAGCAGCAGCAAAGCAGTGAAATTCATTGCCCCGGCTCCACCCTCTGCCTCTGCCTCTCCCTGTCCATCACCCCAGTCCGCCCACAAAAATGTGAACGGTTCTGCTAGTTCAGACACCCACTTAGTGGAAAAGCTTACTGGACAACCTGAGGTCCAACGTCGGCGTCACACGATGGATAGAGACTCGAAAACAGCTGAGCACCGCTTCTTTCGCCGGAGTGTCATCTGTGACTCCAACGCCACAGCTCTGGACCTGCCGAGCAAAGCAGCTGTGATGCTCACCTCACCTCCAGACTGTGAGGGGCCTCCCACCTTCTTCTCTTCTCAGCCTTCAGGTCTTGGACCCGGAGTAAGAGATGCTGAAGGTGAGCAGGTCCAAAGTTTGACAACTCAGCCTGGCCTTGGAGGTGCAGACGCAGAGGGTGACAGTAGAAATGCTGAGGCAGATTTAGGTGCAGGTAGTACAAAGCTGGCTGCTCCTGTTTGCAGCAGTGTTGAGCACAGTGCAGATGGGGCGGTCAAAGAGCCCAGCCCGACAGCGTCGGATGTTACAGACAAAACAGTCGGAAAACAACTTGATGTCACATTGCAGCCTGAGGACACACAACAGGTGGGAAAAGACGGTAAAGAGGCAGACTCAGGGAGCCCCAGCAGTCCAGCAGAGGACAAAGACAAGGAGACGGAGGAGGAGAGAGGGCTAGCAAAAGCCCGGGCGGAGCAGAAAGAGGCAGAGAAACGAGTACAAGAGGATATAGAGGAGGCAGAGACTAAAGCTGTGGGGACCTCACCGGATGGACGATTCCTCAAATTTGACATCGAGATTGGGAGAGGGTCCTTTAAGACGGTTTACAAGGGACTGGATACAGAGACTACTGTGGAGGTGGCGTGGTGTGAACTCCAGGTGAGTGCAGAGTTAGAGTGTGTGGCTTTTCCTGCATCTGTGCTGTCTCTTCCTGTTTATCTCATCAAGTCATCCTGTGGTTGTGGTTGACTCAGAGGTGACAAACTTTAATCCAGGTGCTGATGTGAACCTTTCATTTGTTGCATGTCCTCTTTTGACCTCAAGATTACTGATATTTCACTCTCTTTGATACTATCCTGTGTAATTTCTTTTGTAAAATGAGATTACTGATGTGCTTTGGGATACCGTTGCATATTACATTCGGACTTAAGCTGCATGTTTTAGATGTTTTTTATCTTTGCTGCATTTGTACAAATCCATAATCCCAAAAGTAGACCGCGTTTTAGTCCGATTTCTCATCAACAGGTTGTTTGTGTGTCATTCAAAGCAGCAGAAATGTGGAGGTCTTAGATTGTGTGTCAAGGTTGTGTTTCACTGTGAGTGCTTTGTTGCATTGGCATCACCACGGCTGTCAAACTGTTGTTTACTCCATGAAGGAGAGATTCTATCTCCAGGTCAGTCATTAAAATTGCAAGATGAGCTGTCTCTCAGAGGAGGACACTGCTTGAAGGTTTTTGGTTGGCTGGTTATTACCTCTGTTTGGCAAGCTGCTTGGAAAGTGTAGAGAGCAGAGCTACCTGTTACTTTATTAAATGACGCTTCATAGTGCTGAGTCCTGAGGGAAACATGGCTGGCAAAGGTACAACATGCAGGTTTACTATATCAGTGGTGCTTTTTTAAAGATCCAATCATTAATTTGGTGTTTTTAAGAGACCACTCTGTCCTTCTGTTACTAGAGAGAACAGCATGTATTATAGTATTTCATTCAGAAAACAGTAATGCTCCAAACTTACTTCATTCAGTCAAAATCATCACTGCTGACTGCAGCACTACTACTGACTTTTAAAGTTGGTTTAAACTTAATGAAAGAACTGCTTAATTTGTTGTATTTTTGTTGTTTTGCATGAGAGCAGTCGAAATACACAGTTCGCAAAAGTTAGTTTTATCCCAGTAAATAGGCAAAATAATTTTACGTGAACAATCAATGCTTCGCCATGAACATGATGACATTTTGAGGTAGGAATATTCGGCCCACACTCAAGGAGAAAAGACAAGTAAGGTTTTGAGAATGATTTCGAAATGGTCCTGAGTAAAGAAAAGCATTCGTGTCATTATGAAATGAAAGTTCTATTGAGAATAAAGTCAAATTATTAGGATAAGAAAGTCTTGGTTAAATGAAATGACAAGAATGCAGTTTTGAATTCATGAGAGAAAGTCATAATCTCAGTCTCTGGTTAGCTTTTGTGTCATTTTAAAGGAAAAAAAAACAGAAGAGCAGCCTGCTGCTTGAATACTTGAGTATAAGTTTGATAAAAACTGACCATATAATTTTTTTATCTCATGAGCAACACACTGTCATAAGCATCAGGATTCTGAATCAATTGCACTGGAAACTAAATCTTATTTAAGACTTACAGGTAGCCTGCACACACCTGTGAATCTGCAGTCTGTCTTTGGCTCTTGTGTCTAATTTTACAATATGATCCATGTTCTCATTTTACTGCAGATAGCTGACTGCAACTTTATTTTGTCCTGACTTGGTTGTCATAATATCACTGCTCTTTACGATGCAATTCATGACTTCACCACAACTTTATTCTCACAAAAATATGACTTAAACCCTAGACAACCACAACTTTATTTTTGTAGGACTTTATTCCCATGAAAATAAATTTTATGCGCAATCTTAATTTTCTTCTCCTCCTCAACACTCTACTGTAGACTCACAATGTTTGGTGCAAATATAGAAAAGAAGAAGAAGAGTGGGATTCCTTTTGGATCCAGGAAGAAAAAAAAACATGATTTTAACATAAATCTTTTAAAAAAACATGAATTAAACATTGAAACTGCGAGTTAAGACTGAAAATACTCTCTGTAATTTGTATTTATCTTACATCTTTAGCATTGATATCATCACACATATCATGCAGGTGCAGTTAAGATCTTCACCTGTAGCAGCCCTCTGGACCAGCATTGTGTCTGTAAAACTTTTACACACAACGTTGGTCCTGGATTTCTCAGATTCTTCAGGACTCCTTTGCTACCCTGAGTTAGCGTGACCGACTGAAAAATCTGACAAACTCAGGAAATACCGTGCAAATCCTGGAAGTCTGCACTTTTCCTGTTACTCATGCTTCTTCTTCATTGCTTCACTCTTACACTGTCCCTTACAAGAGTCTCCGACATTCACGGATGTTCTTTCAACGTGTGAACGGATGCTGTGGTGCGTCAGATTACCACTACCATAAGTTTCATAAATAGGCAGAGAATGATAAAGAGGATGCTGAACAATCAGTTTATGAGTAAAGCATGGTTTGACTGCTGAGTCAGTTTGTTCTGGTGTTTCTCAGAGCAGCATTAAACCCCATGGCCATGACTAAAACGGTCCTCATCCGAAACCTCCTGACCGTCTTGTAAGTTTAGGATACAGACTGTAAAAGAGAAGCTCTCTTACATCTCTCACCTACTTCTGCTGCTCATGAGCATGACAGATAACTTCCTGGCTTCAAAAAAGAAGTCTGCCTCTTGAGCACAGAGAGAAACATGAGACAGGATGGCACATATACTTCACCACAGGATGCTGTTGCTACATTACAGTGCACTTTTGCAACTTCTGCAGCAAGACTGTGCATCAGAAAGATTGGGAGAGACAGAAGTGTAAACGAGAGGGAGGTGAGGCGGGCAGAAAGTTGAAAGAAAGTGTATTTCTGCAGTTTGTGTTGTTGACGAGTAAGCAGAGAGACACAGAGAGGTGCGTTCAGGAGTTGGAGATGTAGAATAACAGTCTCAGCTGGTCATATGATGTTCAGGCCTCTGACTGACTTAGCTTAAGGTTTAGCAAAGGGAGAAAACATGGACATGGACTCACGTGGAGCTGCCTGCCCCGATGAAAACACTTGTTCTTTGCAACAGACACACATGAACTTTCTGTCGGCTATTTTGGAGTTTTCTCTGTAGAATAAAAGATAAATACTCACCACGTGTTTTACCTCAAGCTTATTTATCTTCTTTTACGACTGATATTTGAATGCATCATAACCAGAAAAGTAAAATTAGGTGAGTCTGTGGTGTTAAACACTTCCCTGTCAGATCTGCATGTTAAAATTCCTCAGCTGACACTGTTTTCCTGAGGGAGTTTGTCCTGTTTCTCTGTCATCTCCATCACAAGATGCTCCTCGAGTCTCCCTGAATCCCAGGAGCTAAAATCAGCTTCGCCTGATGCCCCCGCATCTAGGAAACGCCGGTTTGTTTATGGGAAAACAAACGCTGAAAGCATGTGCCGAGCTTCTTTGCCTCTTTGTGTTTTGATTTTTTTCTGTCTGTCTGTCTGTGTGTCTCTCTCTCTCTCTTGAAACCTTGTGATTGTTGATGGTGTTGTTGGTCAGAGGGGTTTTCATCAGGTCAGATTCAGACACCGGGATGATTCCTGCAGTGGTTTTAAAAGTTCTTTAAATGAACTAATCAGATTAATCTGGATGCTTTCATTCATCTACTCTGTCTAGCACATTCTGGATCAGTGGGATGAGAATATGCATTAAACATATACTTACTGCGTGTGTTATATAAGAGTATTGGAGGCCTGTGGTGACTCGGCTTCATGCATGCAGAGACAAGTACTCCTTTACAGAGCTGGGTTATAATCCTATGTGTGTGTCTGTGTGTGTGTCAAACATGACTGAGCAACTGCTGACATGTGGCAGAATGGTGGGAGTTAAGTTACACACACACACACACACACACACACACTCACGCACGCACATCATGCACACAGACACACATGACAACCAATCACATCCACACACTGGGTGGGCACGAGAACTGGAGACCTGTGGGAGACAGGATCATCTGGAATCTGTCGGTTTTCCGTGCACATGTGTGTGTTTGCACATAAGCTTTTGTTGAAGAGTGTCTTTCCATCACTTTGACTCAGATGCATACCTAACCCAGGTTGTTTAAAGTCGAGTGTCTGTTTACGTGTGTTTCAGAGATGGATCTAAGGGTGAATGTGTCTTTAAATTCTTCGGCGTCTGATCCAGAACAGGTGAACCTGTATTTCCAGGAACGAAAAGATGGATGGAAACAGAGGAAGGGATGGAAGGGATGGTTTGCTTAAGCTGTAGAGAAATGTGAGATTGATGAGTGGACAGGAGGAGGAGTAGGGTGGCTCTGCGGCTTATCATAAGGTGGTCTGTTTGACTGAAAAGTGGATGGTGGATGAAGAAGAGACTGACGTAGTTCTCCTTAAATCCCAAAAATGAAGGAGGTCCATGCCATGAAAATATTCTTATATGTGAGGGAAAAATGTAAGTGTTTGAAGCTGAAATGTGAAGCTCATAATCAGAAAAAATGCTACTTGTGATAATAAGTTTTTATGTGTGAATCTGAGACAAATTTAAGTGGGATATGAGAGGGTGAAAGAGGTGAATAAAAAGGAAAGATGTTGCGAAGAAGAAGTGAGAAATGAAGTTCCTTTTGGAGGGCAAGCGTGGAGGGAGGAGGGGCAAAAGTCAAAGTTCAGCCCTCCCTGGTCCGAAGTGATGACTGGGAGTCTGTTCAGCGTTTGGCTACCTTCAGAGAGGAGGATAGAGTGAGACGTGAAGAGCAAAGTTGCATGAGATTAGATTAAGTAAACTGTTAAAACAAAAGTATTAAGAGTTGGAAAATGTTTGTTGGACAGGTGGTCTGGGGCGATAATCGTAAAAGGAGGATGAAGAATGTGCCACAGGTTGAGAGAGCGAGTTTCTGGTGTTGGAGGGAGTTCAACAGGAGAATAGAGAAACGGGAAACATGGGGAGAAAGGAGGAAGGGAGGGAGGAAAAGTGTGGGAGAAAGACAAAGGAAATGAGAAGGGAAGAGGAGGAGGGAGAGGAGCATAGAAACTGAGGACGCAAAAAAAAAAAGGGACCCCATGTGTGAGTTTGTGTGTGTGTGCGTGTGTATGTGTGTGACCTTAGGCTCTTGGCTCCACTGGCAATCAAAGACCTTGAAATTTCTCTCTCAACAGAGGGGGATTAGCCCCCTCCTCACACACACACACACACACACACACACACACACACACACACACACACACACACACACACACACACACACACACACACACACACACACACACACACTCACTCACACTCACTCTTTTGGGACTTGAAGGCTCTCCTTCAATAACGGTCATTCAATCACTGCCATTAGAGGAAAAATGGTCTCAGACATGAAACCATAGCTCCAGAGCAGACTGCTGGTTTGGTTTGGATTCATGTCACATCAAAACTCCTTATTTCTAATGTTGTGACATTTTGTATTTTTACTCTATGCGTGATAAAATCAAACTTTTGGAGTCTGCTGTTGTCTCCTGACCTGGAATAAACTAATTGTATTAACCAAGGCCAATAAATGTGGCTCACAGTGTCCAAATTTAGTGTTGCAGCTATTTGTTTATAGTGATGACCCATTTTAACCTGCTACATGGCCTGAAATCCATCCATGAGCTGGAAAAAGCCAGAGGGGGGCAGGGACAGGAGAAAGAAGATAGTGAGAAGATTGTGTATCAGGTATTAAAAATATGCTGCTGTATCTCAAAGGCAGTACCACTGAATAATGAACTCTGTGGTGCTCTTTAAACCCTTGCAGGCTGATAATTTTTCTGGATGTTGACAAATTTATCTTCCAAATATTACAGTTATGTATTAATAGCCTAAAGCAACCGGTTTCCTAAACTCTCGGGTCAAAAGAAACGGTTGGATCAGTTGAAATATTATCTTTTGGACTTAAAGCGGCATTTTCCTGAAGGATAAATATCTCCAGATTTTCTCGGTGCTGCAGAGCTGAGGTGAAACGTTTGGCCTCTCCAGAGGTTCAGATTTCCCTGACAAAACAACCCAAAGCAGCTGTGTCAAGCCTTCAGTCGGCAAAGACCAGTCCTCGCCGCTGATTGATTCTGATGTTGCTTTCAAGTCGTAACGGCCACCCTCCCCAAAACACACGCAGACTCCCCAATGCACCTACCCATCCTAAAAGGAGAGTATGAACTCTGCCTGAAGCCGTTTCTGTGGAAACTCTCTTTCCATATCAGCAGCTAGTCTAATGTAGATGAAAGTGTGTAAATGGGTTCATGTGGGGGTGTGGCTGTGTGTGTGTGTATGTGTGTGTGCACATGCTGCATCAAGCTTTGGATTTTGCTAACTTATTCATTTGGCTGAGCCGAGCTGCACATGAGCTCAGCTCTTCAATAATAGAAGAAGCTAAAGTGGGTATGTGTTTTAAAACTTGCAGGATGCTTCTTTTCTATTTTCCAGTCCGAGCGGTCCAAGCTGACAGCTGGAATCATTGTTTTCCTCGCTGTAGTCAGTGTGGAAAATCACCGCTTGTTGCTGTGCAGTCGGTGAATGGCTCGTACGTACGTGCCGATCGGTTCTGAATCTTGATGATCACATCCCTCGTAAATCTTCCACTGCTCTGCTATAACTCCGGCTGTAAAATGGGCGATGTTGCGTTTGAACCTGGGAATCCAGCCGTCATTGTTGTCAAACAAGTTTGCTCCCTGTCATATAACTGCAGGTTTGAAGCAAATCCAAGAATATAAAGATGTGCACTTTGTTATGTAAAGAACCCAAAGCCTAGCCAGCTGGATTTATGAGTGATATAAAAATAAAACGCCGTGGGGTTGAGGTCACGCTGTGTTCAGCTCTGATGTCACATCATCAAGAGATGACGGAGGATAAGAAGAGGGCACCCAGGAAACCTTCGTTTATCCATTCACTTTATTGCTCATATTCTAACTAAAGCACGCGGTCGACCTCCTGCTTTGTGTTGGTCCCGCTTCAGATCTCACTCGTGCTGTCTCGCTTGCTGTCATGTGTGGCAGCGACCAGCTGTGTGCAACAAAGGAAAGGAGACAGAGAGGCTGACACTTCCTCATATGCAAACCCTTCTTCCGTGTAATGTGTGACTCTGAATTTCCCCTCATGTTCCGCCGTAAGGTCAGGCCACCCTGCTTTTAAGAGGTTCATCTGTATCGATTTCAGTGGAAGAGCGAAGAGTCACATGAGCAGGGTCAGCGCATAATGTCATAAAATGAGGTTATAAAGGAGCAAACAATACTCAGTTATTCAAGCAGCTAAAAATACTGCACCGATCTAGACCTGCCACCCATCGGAGCGAGCAGTAAATCTCACTTTAATGACAGTGAGACCCTGAATGTGTGTGTGTGAGTGTGTGTGCGCGCTAAGAGTACAGTTATGCTTCTGTTTGTGTGTGTGTGTGTGTGCAGGGTGAAAAATGACTGTCCTCTCTTCCTCCCATCTGTTCATCCTGAAAAACCAAAAGAGGAGTGTAAAATAGAACTGAACTCGTTTTGGGTCTGTGTGCAAATGCGCCGGTGTTTTTTTGGCACCTTTCTTTAAATAAAACCATCTGACAGATAAAAGAGCAGTGAGACTCAAAGATGCAACAGATCAGCTGATGGTTACATAACGTTGAACAGATCAGAGTGTGTGTGCTGTAAGTTAGTGTGTTTTATGATGATTCCAGTGAGAAACAGGGTGTGTGTTTGTGCACCTTGTTGACTCACAACGACATAACATGGGATTGTGTGTGTTACGGGGTGAGTCTGGGACACTGAATGCATCACACAGATGTTCGATGACTTACACAGTTGCACATGATGACATAGCTAATGCTCGCCGTGGCTTTCTATTCTCTCTCACGCTGCATCTCTGCTTTTTCCAATCACATTCACTCCTCCCTCTTTTGATCCCCTCTCTTATTTTCTCTCCTCTCAAATCTTTCGTCTCTCTTTTTTTAATCTTTTCCCCCCTGACATCAATCTCAATTCCCACATTTTTCGTCTGGTTCCTCCTTCAGTGCTGCTAACTCATCCTCCCCATCATTGATCTTTTTGTTGTCCTCACTTTAAAAGGTTTTTATCGAGGCGTCACTGATCTGAAATGGAGCGGCAGGACATATTTTATGGTGTTTAAAGGTCCTTTACTTGAACTCACAACAAAACAACCGCACCAGCATTGTTCTTAAGATTACCTTGAATCACACACACAGACAGTGCAGCACCTACTTAATGGAAGTTGTGTGTCTGATTAGTGAAAAGAGGGTTAGTACTTTCCAAGTTGCTTTATTTTTTTTGCCAGGAAACAGCAAAACAATACTGACATTGTAAAGACTAATCACTTCCTGGAAATTCCAAGCTATGATTGGTCAGCAGCAGCCGCACACAAGCAGGGGATTGGGTCACGTTGTTTTGAGCTCAGTATGATAAATCCAGGATCAGATGGGTGGCTTTTGCATCCCTAGACTGACTGAAACTACAGTGGATTCTGATAATCAAAAGCTGAGACCCCTTATTACACACAGAAATGTTACCGTTAAGCTTAACACTCTTTATTTTCTGAGTTTAAGTGATAGGAATTTAGTCATGATTATATATTAAACAGCAGCAGTTAGATCAGTTCAAAGATACTCTGGTTGAAATTAAATCTTTAACTACTGCAGGAGAAGAAAATTACACATTTTTACACATAAACAGGAGATTCAATGACACAGGATGTTTGCGAGATGCATAATCAAAAGCAAGAGCGCAGCTTTTTGTGATGCACGTTTCATCACCACAACATCTGGGTGGCTGCTGACTTGCTACTCAAGCAGCTGTAATGATGATGCATCAGCAAAAGAGGCAAATCACGACACTCAGATTGCATTTCCAAGCACCATGCACACAGTCCGGTTGGAGAACTAATGCCATCACTTCACATTAGTGAGGAGCCAGAGACCTTTCGTCTGGGTTTTTCAGTCTGTTGCTTCCATTTCACTTTCATCCTCCTGTCAGTTCACCCGTTAATCTCTTTGTCTCTCAAATGGTCCTGTCCACTGCATGTCTGCCCATCCTTTCAAGATGGCTCTCTCCTTTTTTTCCCCCCAAGTAAGGTCTCTGTTTTCTGAACCGTCAAGCTTTCTTCTCTTGATCTTTTCCGTGCTGATCTGACACACCAACACTCCGGTTGGCTTGTCTACCTTTCCCTGACCTGCTGATGTTCGGCTTAGATTCACTGAAATTTCTATTAGGCAATTTGATTAAATGTTAATCAGATTTAGATGTCGTTACACTGACTCATGACTGGTGAAAAACGACAAGCAAAGGGAAAACAGTGTGACAGCCAGAGCCTGCTGGGCCCATTTTCGACAGACCAAAGACCCCTCCTGCATTTCAAAGGTGTTTAGGTGACTGTGTGTGTCCCTGGTTGAAAATAGATCTGGTCTCTGAACTGCAGGTTGTTTGCATCAGCGTAAAGTGACCTGTGCTGCACTTCTAGTCTGCTTGCTCCACAACACTGAGGGTGAATGTGTGTGTCTTTTCTTTCGGAGTGTGTTTAGTCTGCCCTTGCTTTTGTCTGTGCACTGACTCTGCACAGGCTATTTTTCTTTGTGTATGTGTGTGTGCGTGTGTACAAAGTCTGTTGGATGTGTGTGCATGTGCAAGTGAGTTCCTGTTCCTTTCTTTGCGTTCACCTCTTGTTCTTTGTGTGTGTGCGTGTGTGTGAGAGAGAGTGTGTGTTTATGTGTAATTAGAGGGGGGCAGCTCCCTGGTTTCATGGTATCCCACATTCCATTGATAAGATGTCATTCATTGTTGAACGAGGAGGGGGTTCATCATGGTATGAATCTCTGCCTGTGACAAATGTGAGGACAGAAGATTCTGTTTCATTTACTTTACTGTCTTGAATTTAATGGTGTAACTTTGCAAATTCCCCTTCTCTTCTCCTTTTTTGCTAAATAATGATGCACTTTGCAGAAATCACTTATCTTCAAATAGTGTATAGAGCATGGAAACTCTTAGTCAGGGTGACCATATTCTGACTTCCCAAAAAGAGGACATGACTGTGTAGGAGCGGAGTCATGGAGTCGCACAAAGTTAATTTTGAGAGTTTTTCAGGTCGGATCGAGAGCCTTTTACGCGGTTCCAACTCAGTAAGTCTACGTGACACAAATTTAAAACTTCCGTACAAAACCGCAGACATTTTGAGGATTTCATAATCTTCCCCGGACAAAGCCGGACAAGGCTGGACAGCCCCCCAAAAAGAGGACATGTCCAGGTAAAAGAGGAGGTATGGTCACCCTATCTTAGTGTGATTTCTCCTAATGGTTATTTACATGTTTTTCTACATTATATCAGTAATTTATTGAATAGATAAGGAGGAAAACAAGAGCAGATACCCTCAACACATAGCGCTCTGCTTTAAAATTGCATTTTTTTTAGCTTGAGCAACATTTAAAAATCTGCAACAATTTCAGTCTCACTGTCCGGCATTCCAACAAAGATTGGATATCAATAGATATCCATACTTTTCTCAGTGTATTAAACAGCTTCTATGTTGGTTTTTCTAAATAACTTCAAAAACAGAAGTAGGCTGCTGCTGTGTATTACCTCAAGGCCAACACAAACTAACAAATTTTGCACAAGAATGAGTCTGAGGGTAGTTCTGGGCTGGAGGAAGCTAAATCTGATTCTTGAAATAGTGTAAATGAATGACTTTGGATTATTTCACATGCTGAGTGTAAATACAGATGTGTTTGGCATTGTTTTTTTCAATGTATTTTTATCAGTCTGATGAGATAGGCGGTTATCTCTATATAGGAAGTTATTTATCGGTCTTAATCAGCTTATGCTTCCTTACAGGCTGGATGTTTTGTAAACTTTGAGGAAACCGGTTTTAAATGGATTAATTACCATATTTTCTCACTGGGAGAAAAAATGTGAAAATTAATATGTAAAGCTGATAATAATGTTGGGCACTTAATGAAGACTTGCACACATCAGCAGAGAGCTGCAGCATGTTAGCTGTATGAAGTATTTTGAAGTTTTACATTATTGTCACAGTGCAGGGGCATCCCCATAGGGATCTACTCCCTGGATATATTGTTAGTTAACACCTTCAATTCATGTCCTGACCAAAAACTCGCAGCCTCACATGCAGCCAAGCACACACCAGCACTCCCTCTGGAAGGTAGACCGACCGATTGTTGTTGTTCTTTCAGGCTTGTCTGTGATGTGCCGTGTCTATATTAGGAGTAAAAGTAAACTAAAATTTGATTCTTAGAGAGTTTGGGTTTAACAGGTTCACTCATGTCTGAAAATAGACCTGAGGAACGTTGAGACAGAAAGAACAAAGTGTCATATTGATGCTCTCTGTCTGTGTACAGCTGTGAGACTGTCTGTGTTTGTCGCTTTGTCTGTTTTCTCTCTCTGTCACTGCCCCCCTTTTTTGTCTCTCTCTCTCTCTTTCTCTCTCTCTTTTTCTGTCTTTCTCTCTCACGTCTTGGTTTCCCTCTGCATCCACCATGACCTTAACAAAAGCCTCTGGAGAGAGAGAGGAGGAGAAACAGACACAGACAGAGGGAGAGAGAGAGCACAGAAGAAGAAGAGATGGGATTTTTCCCCCTCATTTTTCCCTCCTTTCTGATCTATAAATAGCAGCAGACTGTCATCTGCTCAGCCATAACTAGAGCAGAATGAGTGGGGACTCTATGTGACCGTTTGTGTCAGAGTGGATGTGTGTTCAAGTCTGTTGTGTCTTGTGTGTGTGTGTAGGGTGAGGATCTACTTTCTTCACGTTACTCAAGATTTTACAGATAAAAAGGCTGTGAAGTGCCGCCTTACTGTTCAAACTAACACTGGGGAACATGGCTTACAAGAAAGGATTAAAGAGCTTAAATCTGACTAATGAAATATTTAGTTTCAGTCTCCTGAAAAATGTTCATGCTTTTTCACCAGTTGTGATAGTGTGGTTAATTCATAGGGGCCATTAGCCCAATATTGGAAGAAAGCTCTGGTGTTAAATTAAAGAAATGTTCCACTAAAAACAAGCCTTTCATTGAGGAATATAGGGGTGGGAGAAAAAAATCTATACAGTATGGTATTGCGATATTTTTTCTGGTGATATATTGTATAGTCTTACTTACTAAGTATAATTTTTTTGAAATAAATTGCTAATATAAAGTCAAGTATATGATAATGAAAAAATACAATCAGCTGTTTGTCCATTGAGGTTGGCAGAGGTGACATCATAGAGCAGGAGAAAGTTAGGGCAACGAATATTTAAAAGGTTTGCAAGACATGCTACATGAAAATAAAATACAGCGAAAATAAGACAAACATAAAGGAAAGCCAAATGCTAAATAAGCTAAATAGTTGAAAAAATGTTATAGAACGCAATATATTGTGTCACAATACTCACTGTATTAAAAAATGTCAAAAATCGCAATAATATCGTATCGTGGCCCAAGTATCGTGATAATATTTTATCGTGGCCCAAGTATCGTGATAATATCGTATCGTGGGCCAAGTATCGTGATAATATTGTATCGTGGCCCAAGTATCTTGATTATATCGTATCATGGCCCAAGTATCGTGATAATATTGTATTGTGGCCCAAGTATCATGATAATATCGTATCGTGGCCCAAGTATCGTGATAATATTGTATCGTGGGGCCACTGGTGATTCCCACCCTTAGTGGAATACAAACAACTAAGTTTGGCATATTTTAATGAAATAGGTCAAGAGAAAGTGCCTTAAATGTAAACAAGGTGGCAAAAACAAAAAATGAAACCTGCTTTTTTGATTGTTTCACGGCGGATAGGCATTTAATAACCTCTAAACACATCTACTAGTCGATGGCAGGTGCTGATGTTTGTTAGATCCTATTTGCATGTAATAAGGACACACACCTCACATTCATATCTGTTGTCAACACACAGAGAGCAAACAGTCAACTATGTCTCTTGGTTCCTGTGTGTTTCCCATCAGTGTGGACCTGCAGACTGTTGACAGGGAGCTTCACAGCACTGCAGAGTGATTGACACCTATGAAATGACCAAATGTATGAGAAAATTAAAAAATACTGAGAGAGGGAGCGCAGTTTGTGTATCTCTGTGTGAACACACACCTGAAAACACACTGAAAACTCTCTCCTTCCCTCTACCTTGTTCTCTTTTTCTCACCCTGCCCTCTCTCCTACAGCAGTGGCTTGATGGCTGTCTGGCATGAGTCTGGTCCTGCTCAAGGTTTCTGCCTGCTAAAAGGAAGTTTTTCCTCGCCACTGTTACTCATGTTAGATGAGATGGGTTAAATCTGTCCCATCTTATGGTTGGGTCTTGATAATTCATCACCACGCTCATTGTTTGATCAAACAATGAGTGTGGTCTAGACCTGCCCTTTTTTTCTTTGGAAAGCGTCTTGGGATGACGACTGTTGGGAAATGGCGCTATATAAATAAACTTTGATTTAGTTGACACCCCCTCTAACTTCTCTTAATTACAAATAACTTAAAAAACCTATCAAAGTTTTGTTGTGCATCAATTTTAGGCAGAAAAAAGATATTTATTTTGAGTCGAGGTTTGGTCTGTGTTCAGTGACGTTTTCATTTTGGCTGTCCAGGAGTTTAAGAACATGTATTGCAGCCATAAAGGTTAAATTTGCCTTTTTTTTTTTAAAGTGATAAAATGAATCTCCTTTGCATAAGCACTTTCCTGTTAATGCCACTTCAGCCTAACATTTTTGAGATACATAGCTGGTAGCTTTCAGGGTCAGCATGTGGGGAGGGAGTCAGCATGACAGAATGCTGAGTCAAAGTAAGCAGCATCAACACACACACACGCACACACACACACACACACACACACACACACACACACACACACACACACACACACACACACACGCATTAACACACTACAACTCACACACGATCACAGAGTATCACACGCACTGTGGTTGGTGAGGTAGGAAGTTCTCCACACCAGATTAGGAGTCAATCCCTCATAAGCCACAGTCTGAATGATGTAATCACCACAGAGCGAGGTCACATGGATGGTATGCGACGCTCAGTGCCGTTTGCACCGAATGGGAAAGCCCCCCCTGTCCTTTTAATGGTGTGAGGGTGAACAGCTGCGTGATTTGCATTTACCATCCACCACAAATGGCTTTAACATGTAACTGACCTGGAGCTGTTGAGGGTGATCCAAATAGAGTAATGGTCCCAAAGTTTGCAAGATGAAAATGATGTCTGTGGATTCAGGGAGTGTTTGACCGGATTCACCTGATAATAGTTTGTATCCCTCTGCAGAGGTGCTGAAAAATTATTTTCTGTGATGAGATAAGACAGGATAAGAAATATTGCATGGTGGTGTTATCTCAGGATCGAAAGGTCAGATGTTTGATGCAGCAGCAAACGCTATGGACGGTAGAAGTTTCCTTTTAGGGTAAATTCAACCTTGCTCTGATTTTCTGGCAATCGATGACTAACGGAATTGAGCACAGCAGGCCTGAAACAAATACACTTCATACGGCCATGGAGTCGGAGGCAGATTGTAACTGAGTGAGGTAAACGTCTGAGTCAGTTCTTTGAAACCAGATTACAGTTTGGCCAAATCCAGTAAATATTCATACCTGATAGTTGGAGAACTTCAGTGGCAGCCTGTTTTCAACACATTATTCTGAGTTTGGATGATATCATTTAACCAAAGATAAGTTAAAGTGTATCTCGACTGCAAAAGCTCATATAACATTCCTTTTTCTCCCATAATGGCTCTAACACCCCTAGAGAAACCAAACAGTGTCCCACCCGTCTTTACTGCTCACAAGCATGTGTGTGGCCACACACACACACTCTCAAATTATGGCAGAGCAGGGTTGACAGAGGGGTCAGCTCTGTTGTGTTTACTGTTGTTCTTCCTTTGTTTGCTTGAATGTGTGTGGGTTGTGTTGCGTTGTCTATTCATTGTGTTATGGGTGATAAACAGCTCACCTCTGTCACCCTCTTGTTGACTCTGGCTTGAGAGGTTAGTGCCAAGTGAGGAAAGAGAAGGAAAATAGAAGAAGTGCAGAAAGTAAAAAGAGAGCAAAAGAGAGAGAGGCAGAGAAATACGCAACAAAAGGCAGATATGTTGCTTTTTTGATGAATTTCTTAGGGCTGGACCTAGAGTGGTTTCAGCTGGGTGTGTGCGTGTGTGAGTTTCATCACAACCTGCATTCATTCTCCATCAATATTTTACCAAAACAATCATTCATCCTTAGTTTTTTCTTAGTGTGCATGCGTATTCTTATGTGTCTTTGCATGTGTGTTTCCAGATTACAGCTAATGGAGTTATAAGCAGCAGTCATGCAGATATACTTAAACATGCGTGTACGGTTAAGTGTGCAAGTCAGGTCAGCGTTAATCTTTATTTTGTTTTCTCAGGTGGCTAAAATGTTTTTCCAGCTTTTGTTTTTGTGTGTATCAGTCAAATCAGTTTTCATCGTCAACAGCTGACCTTTAGTAGAAGTTGTAGATCAGTGTGGGGGAAAGGGAATAAGCAGCAGCCTCCAAAGAGAGCCCCTGATGGGTGATAGGCTGTCAAAAATCGCAGCAAGAAGGATCTTAGGAATAAACCGCAGCAAAACCTCAGTGAAATAAGTACACCAGGAGACAATCAAAGCAAAATACAAGAGAGAGATAAAGGCAGAGACAAAGACGGGGAGACGGCCAGACAGTCCAGAGAGACAGAGATGTCTGATTTCAAAGCCTGGAAGAGAACGTGATAAATACAGACAGACAGGCAGAGAGAGAGAGAGAGCGAGAGAGAGAGAGACCAGAGCAGACAGAGGGAGTAAGTGAGGATGACACAGACAGGCAGAGCGAGGGTGAGACAGAAAGCTAATGGGGAGCTTTAGAAGGTAATGGACTGTGGATCCCCTGTGGTCTGATGGTCATCCCATTCAAACCTGTGTACTCAAAGCATTGTCTGCTCCTCTGTATATTCAGTATCCAGATGCTGCCCAGCCCGGGGGCTTTAGCAGAGAGTACAGAGCAGCTCACAGAGACATCCAGTGCAGGGCTGAAGTTTACTTTCTGTCAGGAGAACAACGATTCGAAATGTTGGGTTGAATTTGTATGTTTCAGTAAACTAGTTTAGTTTAAGGGCATGTGAAGTAGCATGCATGGCTTACTCTGCAAGTACTCTTACTCTGGGTGTTGTTGTGACACTATATCATATTAAATAATTCCTCCCCTAGCCTCTCTCTCTCTCTGTTTGTGTGTGTGTGTGTCTGTGTGCATGCTGTTTGTGTGTGGGTGGCCATGCGTGCAAACATTTGTGCACAGCCATGTGGCTCTGTTTGCAGAAGAACAGGTTCAGGTGTTGATGTGTCTTTGAGAGCTGACCAAGAACAGCCTCTGTTTTTCAGTATCCTACCCTGAATCCTACGATCATTAAAGCCTTTATCTCAGTTGATTGTCTGGAGTATTATATGAGGGGATTAAATTTGTAATTTGCCTTAATATTCTCTGCTTTCTAGCATCAGGAGACATTGGTGTTTGCAGCCCAGGCTTTTTACTGACGAGTTTGTGTGGTCGTAAACTAAGAAATCACCAAAAAGGCAGGAAAAATTTGCAGGGTTGTAACCTAAGAGGTGCAGATGGTATTTCACCACACCACAGTTTGCAGCACTTCAGCATGCTGTGGTCGCTGTATGAACGCAGGTACTTTGCATGAGGTTATTTCTGTACATAAAGAAGTATGTTTTAGATATTGTGGTGAGCTACCCACTTCCTGTCTACATAGACATGGTTTACTTTTACAAAGGGCTGCATGATTATAGTCAAGTCTTAGTTGACTAGGAAAAACCTGGTGAGGGTGTGATTGATCCTGGAGTAGATATCTGCTGCTCTTGCTGACACTGGTTAGCATCCTCATGTACTGTCTGTTGACAGCAAAAGGCTAAACATGTAAATCAACACTGTTGACAACCTGGTGTTTGAATAAGTTCACTGTTGACAAGCTGATCCCTAATGAACATGTGCGCCGTAAGAACTGTGAAACCACTAACACCTGTAGCAGATAAAAATATGTTTGATATGTCAGGAACATCAGACTGGCTGCCATCGAGTGAGAGCTGCTAGATTATAACCTCCGTCTCTGTTTCCTCCTAATATTTAGTTGTAAATCTCTTCTCCTGCAGACAAAACGATCATTCCTGTCCACTTTCTGTTTCCGTGTTCTTTCTCCACTTGAAAAACAGCATAAGAAGATCACTCACTGTTTCATCTTACTGTCTTGCATAACTACTTTTGCAACAGAGCACGGCTTTGTTTTAGGGGGTGGGTCGTGAGCCGAAAAGGCTAAGACCAGCAGGCATTTCACCTTCCAGCACATTTAAGGGGGTATTTCACTCTTAAGTCTTTAAAAGACTTCCTTTTTGGTGAAAAAGCAAATCTGCCCTGACTGCCGCGGTGGGGAATGTCCTTAATTAGCCCAAACATTAGCTCAGTTTCAGCTCAGTAGCTTGAAGCGGGCAAATGAGGGGAGGATGAAGAGATACAGAGAGGGACAGGGGTGAAAAAGGGGCAAGACAGAGAGAGGGAGGGAGGGAGGAGGAAGAGGAGGGAGAGAGTTATAAAAGAAAAAGGGTCAATCAAATGCATCATGGGTTGGATGAGTTCTGAGTGATGTTTGAATGTGCCTGTAGGAGTGGTAATGCACTTAAAACCCCTTGTAATGGGACTGGCAATCTTTCAACAGTGTGACCGCAAAGTCTTTTAGAAGTTAGAAGACAGGTTCGGCCAGCAGGTTTATCTGCTTCCGTAACAAAATCTTTTATATGATACAATCAAACTGTACTCACATACACTCAACCGTATACACACCTGTCTTTGTGACGGAGGTTTGGCAATCTCAACCCATCTTGTTTGTCGTTACGAGGTTTGAACTAAAAGACGGATGTGGCATTAGTGCATGAATGGGTGTGGAAAAATTATTGTGGGTGAGGTGAGCATGCCCATATCTTTCGTTGAGTGTTGAACCACCTTAGTTCACTGTATGACTGATAGTTGATTTCCAAGTTGGCTCACAATAGTCGAGAGAAAATATTCTCAGGCTGTCCACTTTGAGAGAGGATACTGACAGTCAAAATAAGTCCACTCAAGAGAAACATTTTCAGATAAAAAAAATATATAATTTTTGTTTAGTTATGAATAAACACCCATTTTTTTACCCATACATTTAATCGTTTATACTGCTGACAAACCCTGCACATTTATACAACTCCTTTTTCACAAACATTCAGAAGCTCTGTAAAAAGTAAATAAAAATGGAAATTCATGGTTTACAAACTAAATTCCTGTGTTTAATTGACATTAGCATAAAAACAACGTATTTCATGTTAAAACTGAAACATTTTTTCATCCTATAAAAAGCCCATAAAGCAGCATGTCTTATAGAGATCAAGCCAGCATCCCTATTCAAATTCAGTCCACCTTAAAGGGACTCAGAGCCAGAGACGATGCCAGACAGTGTCAGAATTCATCATAATTGAGGAGGAAATAAAATCAGCATTACATTTTTCTTCTGTTAACAGAGAAAACGTTGCATATGAATTCTGGCACATTTGATTCGATCTGACGGTTTAAGTCTTGACTCATGCAACAAACACTCCACTTCCAAAAGGACTTGTTATCTCATGTTGTGTGTTGGCCCTCTGCCTCCTCCTACTGACTCAGCTCTGCCTGAGACAGGTTCATACACCTGTCTGAGTGGAGAGTTACTGGCTGTCTGCTCTTAAGGAGCGAATTTAACTTTTTCCATCACCTTACCCCCTCCTTTCTTTTGCTCTCTTTAGCCTGTGGCTTGCCCTTCCATTTATTCTCCACACAGCTGCAGTTTGACCCTGCTATTTTTTAGTCTGGTGCACAATCATTCAGCCATCTCTTTTATTCTCTCTCTGTCCAACTTTGTCAGCCACCCTGTTCCTCCTTTTTCTATCCCTGTCCTTTTTTCCTCAGTCTTTTTCTCTGCTGTTTGTCTCTGATCTTCCCTTCCTCAGTGCTATCATCTTGCTCTGTCTCTTTTCCTTTCTGTCTCTCTCTTTCTGTCTATAAATAGCCGTCTCGTGGGCTAGAGGTGTTAGCAGCAGTAACAGCAGCTCATGATTCATATTTTAGTTCTGCCATTTTATTTACCTTTGCTCGTGTCCTCACCAGGCACCAATTTCTCCTCTGTATTTTCTTCATTTTCTCCCTTCTCACGTGAAGGTATCTGGATAATATTCAAATTACTTTCACCCCAATAAACTCTGTGCATGTGCGAGCGTGCTTCCCGAATCGAGGCCGTGAACAATCATGGTCTCCATTCATCAAAAAGGTGCCCGCTTTAGACTCCTACACAATCTCACTCGGCACACACACACACAGAGGAAAGAAGATTTAGGGGAGCTAAACTTGTGAATGTGAAGCACTCATCGGTTTTTCACAGGAAGTTTTCAGAGAGGACAGAGAGACTTCTGTCGGCAGTGTTTACAGCTGAGGAAAGTTTATTTCTTCTACTTCACTGACTGAAAACACACTTAGAGGTATATGGCAGAACAGTATGTCCTGCTAAACCCATTCAGAAACCAAAGATCACTCTCTCAGGGTTAAAGTTGGGTCTATAAGCATTAGTTGAAGCAACATTTAACCTGAGGAATCCGTCTAGAATGTGGTTAGGAGGAACATAAATATATTGTGCACCAGAGTTTTTATGTATGCTTGAATCGTGCAGGAGTGGGCTTTGTCTTCCCAGTGTTGCATTTGTAACACTTGGAGGAAACCTGGCAACATTAATGTGCAACCAAAGTGTGTGAGATAAGTGAGAGACAATGGTTAGAAGAAATTATGCATTTTTTTTCCTGGTATGAATGGTCTGAACTTCTTGGGACAAAAGGCAGAGGAACAAAAATGTCAGTGTTGCATCAACAAAGCTGCTAATAGAGGGGTTGTCCTTCTTGAAATGAACTTAAAATAAATAAACTAAAAAGTGTCTGCTGTACTTTGTTAGGATAGTCAAAGGTGCCTGTGGAGTGTTCATGTAAACAAGCTAACGTTGTATTTACTTTCAGTCTAACTCACCAAAACATTTTGATGCACTTTCTTTAGAGTCAAACATTGCAAAGTTATTTTTAACAGTGTTATAAACCCTTATTGGTGTATGGCAGTGGGAAATGCAGGGTAACCCACAATACGATATGATACAACGCAGTACCATAATATACAATATAATACAATACAATACAACATGATACAGTGTGACACAATACAATATGATACATACAATATGATACTGCAGAACAATCATGTGATGATATATTCAACTTACTAGTTTGAGTGGGTTTTTTAAAATAAAAATACCAGTATACCATGTCACACTAAAGACTCATTCATGCTGAACATTACATACGTATCCGGATACGAACGGAGAGCTCAGCCCGTGCTTCGCGTTCTTTTCATCCGTATTTCTGCACGTATCATTGAAGCTTACGGATATGGGCCAGAGCAGTACCACCAGAAACCATGGGGGAAGTGTTGCTGCTGTCACTACCCAGTTTGCATCTCTAGAGAGAAACGAAGAAGACAATGGCAGGGCTTTTTGAGGGTTGGCATCAATTTCTCTTTTCGGTACTACTAGAGAAAAGAATTCTCCGTCCTCCAACCGAGGCATTTGGTGGCCTGACCGACCAATGCCACCTCCAACGCTGCCTTCGTTTCTGTCTCCTATGTGAAATATACATTAACCCTAGCTCCGCCACAGTCGCCATCTTTCTTTTTTTTCTGTTGTTGTCAGAAACTTTTGACTCCGGCCTGCCCCCTGGTGGATGTAACATCAATGTCAAGCACATGGCGAGCATAAATCAGCCTTAATTGTTTAGCATGAGCTCAGATGACGCCATCATGACTTGTCTATGTTTTGTCCTTGCTTGTGTTTCAGCCCATGACTTCTTCTAAACAGTGTTTGTGTCCCTGTCTTAGCTTTAAGGTTGCAGCGTATCTCGACACAGCACTGCTAACAATTAAATAAAGCGTGTTTAAAAAAACAGATTCACTTACGACAGAATGTTATTTTTTAATTCAGTCTAAATTTGTAGACCACTTGTTGGTTTAATCATTTTATACCACGCACAAAGCTCATTTTAATCCAGCTGTCATTCAGACTTTATTGTATTTAGACCACAGACTGCCTTACTTCACCTCTCTGCTGTTTAATAAAGGCTCTTAATAATGAAAGTTGTAGACAAATACAGATGGCTTTCTGTGTGTCTGCAAATGCTTAAGGATACATACACACTAATGTAAATAGACATATGAATGCAGTTTAATACATGTGCAAACAGAGTATGTGAAACTTCCCATATCAGTGTAATCATACGCCGACATGCTTGATAAAAAAACACACACACCTCTGCACAGTTCAAAAGATTGAGGCTCTCATGAAGGAGCAGGGTCTGAGGTCAGATTCAGGGTCACTTTAGGGAGAATGATGATGGGAAAAGACAGAAAGAATAGAGAGATGAAAAAGAGAGGAAGAAAACAGCGGGGGGAAAGTCAGAAAACACATGAATCATATCTAGTGTCCTGTGCCTCACAGGATGTGAATGTGCAATTGCGTAGTCATTTCTGGTGTATGAGTGTGTGTGTGTGTGGGGGGGTCCGTCATCACTCTTCCTTATCTGCGTTTGGCCCTGTGATGACCTGTTGAGTTGAATGGTAGTTTGGTTTTCATTAAGAGAACATTAAAGCAGGTAAGTTAGGGTTCTGCTGCCGACTTTATCTGGTTTGGCTTTCAGTATTATTTACAGCCATAAGGGAGTATGACGCCCTGAAGGTATTTTGGAGTGATGTAGGGGGGAAACTCAGGATTTGTCTTGTATATTCTAGTTTCATTCCATTTCAGAAATGTCAAAACACTCATCATAGGAGCTTTAACTTTGCATTTTAGGACCTACAAGCCTGGAAAGCAGACTCCATAAGCTTAAATCTTATTAGTTCTCTGGTTTTGAAAATCTTGAACCTGGTCCCAAAACCTGATTTAGACCTCAAAGCCTATTCATGAGTCTTTTAAATTACCATAAACTTTTTTCTCCAAAATCAGACACTGAAATTTGAACTTTAATTTCTAAATGAGTTTTTCCCTTTAGTCGAAGAAAAAGAAGTCATTGGCTGGATAAGAACTAAATCAAACTTGTCTGTATAAATCCACTATATCCACTGCACTTCCCTATCCTCATTCCACTATTGCTCTGCTGCCAGTAGATTCAACCTTTGTTTTGACAGTACCATCACCACCATGGCAGATATTGGCAGCTCTACCCGTAGTTTGTTACTCTTGACACTTCTGTATCTGTAGCAGTTACAGATGAACACAAATATTCAATAAATAAACAGTGAATGACTCTTGGTTTGCACTCAGACACGTGGCAGATGTCTGATCATACTTGAAGTTCCGCAGTGTCAAAAAAGGCGTTTTTATGACAGGGTTGTTTGTCAGTATCAAACCTGGATAATGACAGCGTTCAGTGATTCACGTTAGCACCTGTCAGCAAACTATGCAAATGCACAGTATGCACAGTAGCAGCACTTGTACGGGAACGTCGTGATAGATTTATGAAGACTGACAACACACCTTTTTTGCATTGTGTTTCCATCAATTTTTCACTCAACATATCACTGTAATGCCACTCGAAGAAACATGTGACTCGTGTTGTTTTCGACACCGGGAAGTTTTGAGCTCAGCACTGGAAGGTTTGGGTGTTTATGTTCCTCTTTGACCAAAAGCGGACTCCAAAAGAGGATTAAAAGTGGGAGAATTACTCACACTTATGATGAAGACAACAACAACTCACCAAGAGTGGGTGTTTTGAAGGTTTTAACAGAGACATTCATGATTTTCTCTGGACATTACTATACAAAACTCATCGTCTCTGATGCTGCTGTAAGTGTTGGCACAGCACTCAGTGTGGACAGGTGTGGGAAGCCTTTTGAAGCTGTAGGTCTGATGGCTCCAATCATAGCAAACACAAGCTCTCATCTCTCTGCGGCTTTACACCTGAATGAATCTGAATCTCAGCCAGGCGTCTAATAAGTGTATGTGCCTTCAGGAGCTGTTTGAACATGCAGCCAGTTCACTAAATGCAGAAGTACTCGTACAGTCAGTGTGTGTCAGCCCCATAATCTGGAACCTTCTTACCTTCTTTCCTCTCCCCTCAGACTCCCTCCTTATTTTTCTGACCCCTCATAAACCCCCAGCAGTGTGATGTAACGTGTTTGTGGATGTGTACACGTGCTTTTGTGTGTTTTGATCTCAGCCAGAAAGCCCAGTTGAGGCATTTCTATTGATGTTACCCACTCATGCCCCCCTCCTGTCCCTCTCAATGGGCAATTTTTCGAGATTATTCTGCAGCCCTCTCATGTGCATGGATGGACACCTGTTTTTATCTGAATTATACTGGCCCGTGGTTTGTATTTAGCGTGAGTTAGTGGTTTATTTATACACTTCTTCCAGGAAGTACTTGCTTCCCTTTGCATTTGTTTTCATAGTAATGTTTAGCACAGACCACTTCCATCCTCTTTGAAAGTAGATTTAATCAGCAAGCAAGCCGCGCTTGAGAGGTGCACATTAAAATGACCTATTTTGGTGCCTTTTCAGTTGATGTTTAACTTTTTAGTTTGTCCAATGTGTGAATTTTCAGTTATATGAGCTATTTCCAACATGAGACCTCGGTACAAATATATACACATTCTAGTCGCTTTGTATCGCCAATATTGAAAGATATTGTGTCTTTCTTACTTAATGTCTTTGAGAAGGACTGATGACAGTAGAAAGACCGAAAAGACTTGACAGTTTTTGTGCTTCATCGACTCCCTCTCAGTGCCAACACTAGCCACCAAACATCCTTTTAACTTTGTCTGATTTCTTTAGCAAAGAGACTTAACACAACTCACCCACTCTCTTCCAGCAGCCACTTGTTTGTGCAGAGAAGTAATGATCATAAATGTTCTTCCTTGAGCTGCGTCACCCCAGCTGTAGTCCGTAATGGACTCGTCTGAGGTCTCCGTACAAACAAGCTGGAAGAGAGTAGGTGAGTTGAAATTAGAGAGAAATTAGGCAAAGCTAAAAAGATGTTTGGTGGCTAGTGCTGTGATTAGGACCCTATATGTACTGTTGATGAAGTTAGGTGCTGTTCTGAGCATTATTTGTGGCTGTAGAGTGGCGTTTTGGTTGAGGTTTGTGTGTGGCTCCTGAGACCGCAGTGTATTGCTATCGTGCGGTCGTTACTAAAGTTGGTATAACTAGAGAAGCAAGGGGTCGGCAACATTCATCTCTTGAGGGGGTGTCAAACTCGGTGTTACGGTGTGTTTGACCCTTAATTAATTTTATGCCAAAATATCCCTTTAACGCATAGATGATATGCAACATGGATGTAGAATCAGTGATAGATAGAAGCAGCCTGATGTCAACTCTTATGCACTTAATGACAAGTGGTCCCAGTGTTGCTACAAAGAGGCAACTCTAGGATCTTCTAGGATCTTGGGAAAAAATTACAATTTTAAGTTATTAAATGATAACTTGATTTGTAAAGATACAACTTAAAGATGTGAGGTAGTCATGACATTGATATGTGGGTGAAGCTGTACTGAGATCAGTTTCATTTTTTAGCAGTTGTGTAGCTTAATAATAGGTTATAACAACATAAACATTAGCTTTTGTCATGGTAGTTAAAAGAGGCAGGGACGGTTACACCCAGTCACACTGTTAAATGTTCACTTTAACCACAGTGTGTAATGTGCCACTCAAAAACTCCCCCTGCAGCAGCTGCTCAAACTGTAGTCTGGATTTGGTATCATGGTATTTCCTCACTTCATCTTCTAGAAATTCAAAACCAGCAGCATTCACGGTCCTGCTCACTTTATCCTCAGGCGTTTGCTGCTGAACTTTGAGGAATCTGACACATGGATAGAGTGGAGAAAAAACAACAACTTTGAACCAGACCCTGATGTCACTGTCAGTTATATACTGCAGACTTGGGAATGGTATTGTCATCGCTCATTGTTGTCATTGTTCCCCAGGAATAAGGCTGGATATCTCTGTTCCTGCCCTCCGATTGGGAGGTGTAAAGTAGTGAAAAGTGTTTTGTTATCGAGGACATGTGTGTGCACTCCTGCCTTTGTGAGTTTGCACACCCTGTGGATTTTCCGGATTGTGTGCATTCACTCAGATCTCTACCTTCTTGTGTGTCTGCTCTACGTGTGCACCATGACAGCAATAGGAGCACAGCCATTATGCAGCTCTTTGTAAAAAGCTAATTGTATCCAGATGTACCATGTGATTAATTACAGGCTTTTCTTTCAGAGGCGACAGAGCTGTACATTATTGTAATTATCCAAAATCTCTCCCCATGAGAGAGTCTGCCTCCCATTACAGCCAATCAGAGACAGCTGAAAAAGCTGAAAGTGAGTTTCTGAAACTTTGGGTCAGGACCAAACTGGGTCATGAGTTGAACTTTGGTTTGACTTTGACTCCACTTGCTTGAGGTACTGTAAACTTTTGAAACCTGAAGTCCTGATTTAAAAAAGTGAAATGTTGTTTGGGATTTTTTCCCCCTTTCTTCACTCATGACCTTTTTTCAGATTTAGAGCAAGATTTGTTGATTTTTCAGTTTTCTTTATAAGGGTTGTAATATGCGTATAACAGGCAGTTTTCACAGGTGCAGCTCTGAAATATGTAGAGGAATCGAATCATGCATTCATGTCAAAGCCATAAAAAAAATGGTTGAGTGCAGAACTGTGTGTGCAAATTGCATCTGAGTGCAAACATAAATATGAGGTAAAATCTGAACACTCAGCAGGGGCTGTTTCATCAAATCTGGAAACAAAACTAACAAGTCATGCTTGTTGGGCTGAGGGTGACTTGCATGGACCTGAGTTTAGAAAGTTTGAAGTCTTGGTTGCTGAAGAGGTGCCAGTTTACTTCTTTGGCCCTGCCAAGGTACCTCTAAGCAAATTACCGAGCCCTCAAACTGCTTGGGGCAGTGATTTGGGTGCAGCCCCCTCACTATGTAGTCTCTCTATCAGTGCATGTTAGGATCCTGTATGTGCATGTCAGTGTTTTTAGCGTATATATGCATAGCATAATCAAAACAGAGTGAAAAAATTAAAAAAACTTCCCACAGAGCTTTATGAAGTTTACATGCCTCTTCTTGTTCCTTTACAGGTGAATATATAACTCTTAAAAAAAGATAAGAAGAACCTTCTTGTTGTCTAAAGACTCACAGATTTGTAGAATAATTGTGTCGGCTGCAAAAGAAAAAGAGCAGAATTACAAAATAACATAATATATTATTCTGAGAGGCTACCACACACTTTTTCATGAGCAGTCTGCCTTTGTGAGTAGTTGATTTGATGAGATATGAAAAATGAGCAACAACATAAAACAACTTAAAACTTAAAAAAACAAGCCAACTCCACGTGTTAATATTCCAGTGTTAGCCAAACTTCATTTGCTAACTTTGTGAAGAAACCTTTTATCACCTCCTTTGTTCAAGTGTCTTTGTTAAAAGTTGTAGTCATGGTAGGTGGATATTTTAGTATAATAGACTAACTCTGCAGAATTGTGTTTGAGTAATTTTGCGCTGTCGTTAAAGAGTCCTCTTTGTCTCGACTGCACTTTAACATACCAAGAGCTGGGCTCATTATGAAGTTATACAATCTGGCTTTTGTCTCATTATCTGGGCTGTCTCCCCTCCCACCACCTCATCCCACTCCCCCCTCTCTCCTCCTTAAATCTGGTCTTCTCCCTCCACCTACTTGTGCTCATTTGCCTCCTCCTGATCGACCATTAACATCTGTCTCCTCTCATCTTCCTCCCCTCTTCTCTGCTCCCATCTGTCCCCTCCTATTTATACTTCACTAACATATTTCCCTCATTTCTCTCACTTGCATCCTGCTGCTTTTAAAACCCTGGCGTCTCTGCTCTTTCACCTTCCTTGAAAATTCTTGGACGTTGTTGCAAAATTTCTGTCCTGGACACTAAAAAAAATGAACTGTTATAACTGTGTTTTCATCCAGCGTTGTGAACTCTCTGTCTCGGTGTTTCTCCCTGACAAAGACAGTGTGTGTTTCCAGTTGATGTAAGTGTTGGAGTGACCCAGTCAGTCCTGGTGACATTGACATCTCTGTCCGTCTCAGCGAAGCATTGCTGAGACAGACAGGCACCTCTGCAGTAACCCTACACCATATGTGTGTGTGTGTATAAGTGTGTGTGCATGGTGCTCTCGCTTATTGCATCACCGTGCCATATAATCCAACCTCCATTTATGCCTCCCTTGTCTTCTCTCCTCTCCACTTTTCTGCTTTGTTGCCATCTAAATGCTTCACAGATGTCTGCACTTCTGCTGTCAAGAAAACTGTTACTGTTGAGGAAGCTGTTCTTTTTATGGATGTGCATTTGAGGGGGAAATTTTCACCGAGTATTAGCTGCTTTGCGTCTGTTTGTGGTGATGGATCGACGTTTGAATGGAATATTTCTGCATTGTTAGTCGTCCCAACAGGAAAAGACTTCAGAGGACAAATAGGGCCATTTCCTCTTCCTTTAAACTCACTTCCATCCTCTCTTCCTCTCGAACCCCCTCCTCCTTGCTTTCCACCTCCGTGTTGTCGCTTTTGAGTTCACAAATTTTCTGCATCTGTATCAGGAATATAACCATTCTCAGATTTATTGTGATCTTGTTTATATAAAGAAAAGAAGAAGCCAAAAAAATGCTCCTTCAGTGTGACTTTTTGGTGTTTTTCAGCGTAATTCCCAATTCTAGTCGCCATTTATCAACATAGAGTGTATTTGAAAGCTTTCTTATTTAATATTTGCACACCTTAAATCATCTTTCAGCGCACAAGAAGAAAAAGTAGGAGAAAACTAGGCTAATGTCTTGTAACAGTGTACTCTTTGGCAGTAATGCTTCCTCATCTGGAACAAATTAACCCGAAAACCTGCATGTAACCAATCTACAATCACTCTTCAGACACACTCACAATAAAACATGCACAAACATGAATACCAACGCACAAAAGAAAAAAAAAACTCCAACATTTTCAACGTGGAGCCCGTCCAGTTATCTGCCACAGTTTATGTCAGTAGCCCGTATCTATTGAACTTCTCTGGTTTCTTGTCAAAGCTGCAGCCTCAAATCAGTTCCTCTTATTCGTCTGAACTAACCAGCTGCAGATAAAATACAGTTTTAGGAAAAGGGGAGAGACAGATGGAGAGGGGACTGGACTGATGCCTTCAAAAGTTAAATTTTTCTTTATCATCATTTCCCTCGCTTTTAAACCCAACCTCTCCCCCACTCACTCCTCCCTTTTTCTTATTCTCTTTCATCTCTTTCCACACTTTCTTCTTCTATCCACATTGCTAATCCCCTTTTTAAATTTACTGTACAGATTAAACTAGTGTTTTTTTGTACAATTTGCACGCACACATATATATATATATGTGTGTGTGTGTGTGTGTGTTTGTGTGTGTGTGAGGGAGTGTGTTTCCCTTCAGGGTTTCTGTTAATCTGCTAACAACCTCAGGGGGCCTGTGGAGGAGTTGAAAAACCAGACCACAGCAAAATGAAGAGCCAAAAACACTCACAGGCTCAAACGCAGCACAGACAGAAATGCGTGTAATAATCTTGGACGGAGTGTTTGTGCCAAAGCAACACTGTATACATGTAAACAGACAGCTGGTTACTCTCCCTAAAGTGGTTGTTAGGCTGACAGAGTAGAAATGCTGAGTGCCTAAATGATTTAACACATGGCTTTTATTTTGTCTTTTTTTCCTCGACTGTCTCTGAACTAAAAGGATTAAAAGTTTCTTTTAAAAACTCGGAAAATGTAGTTTGTTGCTGTGATTGAAAGTTCGCCATCAAGTGATAAACTGTTAGAATTGTAGGTTGATGTTGGTGTGAAAGACACTCATTTGTAGATAAACACCCTTTAATTTCGTCTCTTTTCGCTGTGTAGCTAAATCTATATTGTGTGTTTGCTCACCTGACTAATTCCCAGCTCATTTATAATCAAAGCAAAGCAAAGCCAGCTAAGTCTTTTAATTAGGCTCTTTAAGTCTGTTTCTGTCATCATCTAGTCAAACACAGGCAACTCTGTACAAACAAAACCGCAACCTTGAAGTACGATGTACAACAACAGAGAGCTGGCCAATGAAGAAACTGAAGTTTTTGCAGTTTTTGGCACTTTAGTGTTGACTTCATTTTTCTGCTGCGGTGGCTGATGGTGAACAGGTGGTTATGCAAACTAAATCCCTTCAGGGTGAGGCAAGACCCCTCCACCTCTCGTTGGGGTCCTGCACACCCTGCTAGGACTCTGATCTGCACAATAACCAGACATTTTCCCTACAATATCCTACTGATGACCCAGCCATCCACTTAAGACCAACAAATGCTTTGTGGCACTTTCATGGCAATAGATTTTATCCGCTTCTTTCCACTATTTTCACATTTGACACTTATTTTCAAAAAGTGTCTTCATTCACAACTTTTACCACTGCTGCTATTATCATTACTCCGCTGAAGTTACTTCTGCTGTCATTGTCTGGATTGCAGGACAGGATCCTTTGTCACATTTTCTTATCAGGGACAGTTTGGGTCCAGTGTCCCCTCGAGCTGCACTTATATCTGTGCCATTTTTCCCAATTGGCTAGTGTGAGGCAGAGTTGACATTTTTGCCACAGTGTCAACAGGCAGAGTTGATACGTCGATTGATCTGACGTGAGTGATTATTGTGTCCTTGTGGTCACTCTTGCTTAGGTCTGGGCGATATGGCCTCAAATTAATATCATGAAATATTGAGCAGTTAACCTGGATAACGATAAATGGACGATAACTACTCCACAAGCTGCTCACCCCCTCCCACATTAACTTTGTCTACTTTAGCCGCCACAACTTTTGAACCGTCCTCCATCTCCCCATCTGTCTTTCCCTCTTTGTTACCGACTGGATGGGGTGGAGTCACGTCTCCGACCTGTGACAGCGTCTTTAAAGGACATGAGACCATAGCCTACCTACACTTGTCCAAAACCAACATTTATTTATTTTTTTTTTTGACATTAAATATATCGACAAGGGCAAAATGACGTCGGTTACTGTTGTAAATCGGTATCGGTAAATTTTTCGGTTTATCGCCCAACCCTACTTTTGCTGATCGTCAAGATAATTGTTGTTTTGGTCTTGGAACCAATCAGAATCCAGTACAGCCAGGATAAAATAACCTTTGTAAATTAAGCTATCCTTTGATAAGATAAAGCTACTTGTGTGTGCTGGTCATACCTGCGTAGCTAAATCTATATTGTGTAAACTGACGAATCCACAGCTCATTTGTAATCAAAGCAAAGTTGGCCCTGAAGTCTCTGAATTGTCTTGAATCAAATCCCGCAGCACTTTCTTATTCTCCCTCTTTAATTACTTCAGTTTCACACTTTCTAAATAAAGATTAACAAACCCAAAAGTGACGGGCTATAACAACAACCAGTTTGTCCTACAAACATAGAAAGCTGTGTCTTGATCGGACACCTGTGGCAGTCGATGCTTTATAAAGTGAAACATTAGAAGTGGTAAAGTTCATCCTGGGTGTTTACAGCGGAGGCCTGCATTTAACGGAGTGTAAAGGGATAGTCCTCGCGCATTATGTAATAGTTTTATCTGGAACAGCCCTCGCCCTCTCTCCACACTGGCCTGACCCTCTGTTAGATCATCAGTTACTGTTACAGTGTCAGGGCTCCGCTTTAAGACGTCATTTACACCCTGTGGAATCCGGAGCGACGTGCACACAGACACACACTAAACAGAAACATGAATAAAGTGTATAATGTTTCTGAGTCATAAAACTGGTAGTATGTGTCTGCATTAAGCAGGTTCTTGCAGGAACTTAGCCAGGATTCCTCCTAAGTTTGTTTCTGCTTCATAGCCATGCAGAGTTCCTCTTGGTGCTTAACCTCTTGCAGACGTAGACATCGTGAAAAAGATCTAGAGGTTGTAATCGATCCTTTCAGAGTGACTCCTGTCCATCAACACATTGGGTTTATTTGTTTATGATGTGTTAACACAGAGGCTGGTGGATGTACTCTACTGCAACCTTTTTTATGCAAATATTTAACACTCTCCTCCCCTTTCTTTATGCACTCAAAAAAGCCTGAAGTTCATATATTCTTGCACATATAGAGGCTTTATTCACACTTGACATACAAGCCGCATAAGCGCTGCGTGGCCTCTTCTACAGAGGGGGTCAAATCCTTAAAAGTTCAAAGACTCCTGTGTCCCTTCAGGCAGACAGGATTGCTGATATATTACAGCCATTACTTTTGAATGTCTCATGTTTCAAATTAATCTTCCATACAGTTCAAAGAGCGTTTTACCACTCAGTCAATCAATCAAGACACACACGAAAAAATGCAACAAGGAATTCAAGGCGATGCAGCACGCTTTTCAAGACTTTTCATTTCTTACTTACTCTTATTTGCTGTTTTTCTTTGCCCCGAATCTGTCAAAGGTCAAAAGAGTCCAAACCCTGCCCCTTAAATACACAAAGTCCTTGAAACTTTGATTTCCTCCGGAGCATTGCCAGAAGATTACTGCTGATAATCTACCGTTAATACAGACGTCATAATGAAGCTGACATAAACAGTGAAAAACATTTTAATGTGATTGATGTCAACCTTTTGACCTTTTGGAAACTTGGATCCTTGTTTTCTTCATGTGACTTTATTTGGATCTTTGTTTCCTGTTCGGGGGACAAAGGAGGTTGTTGTTTGTCGCTAATCTTTTCAATCAAAACCACAATCAGCGAACAGAGCTTGATTAGAGACTTGGAAGCAGGTTTACTCAGGATTTAAACTTAAGACTGGATGGTTATTATTCTCAAAATTAAAGACGATGATCTATGATTTGTTGGTTTGAAAACATGACGCCTTCTCCTTGTTTTCGAGTGTAAGATTTCACCCTTGTAAGATGTTTGGTCCTCCTGCTGTCTCTGTAACCTTTACAAGCCTGGCATGTCATCATTTTCACCCATTGGCTCCGGGTTTTGGATAATTCCCTGTATAATGTGATTCTCTGTGAATGGCATGCTGTTCTGCTAAGGATTAACAGTTTGGAGGGGGAAAATCTAACAGCAGAACTTTGAGTCATTAGCCCTAGATTTCCTCTAATTATCCTTGGATTGGGGCCGATGAATCAAGTGAGTGATGTTTGAGGGTTAAAAAAAACATCCTGATTTTATTTTGTTGAAAATCCTCTGAATGAAAAAGAAGAAAAAGAAGAAGTAAGGGAGGAGGTAGAAAGAGAGGAGGAGAGACGAGACATGGAAGAGTAGAGGAGATGAGGCGTGACCAGCAAAGCAGAGGGTAATGACTGCACAGGCACAGTGTGTGTGTGTGTGTGTGTGTGTGTGTGTGTGTGTGTGTATCGCACAGCCAGGCACAGAGAAATGAGACAATAAGCTGCACAGTGAGTGGCAGGCTGAGATGGCACCTATTGTGAACACACATGAGTTTGCAACATGTGCACACTCACACACACACACATTGGGGTTGTTACTGAGCCGGTGCAGCTGAATGGGGTCGTTTGTGGTGTCTGTTACAGATCATAAGTAGAGAAAAAGCTCAACATGTTTGACTGATCCCAATGAAAGGTGATTTTTCATTGAATAAGTCATAAATAAATGTGCTGTAACTGTCACCAAGGACTGAAACCAATAATTGTTGCCCATGCAGATCAGTTTGTCCATTTCTTTCTATGATACTAGTGAAAATGTTCTATATTCGACACCCAAATAGATCATTAAATGGCTTTTATTTGTAATTACTGTAAACTACAGTAAAATACCTCTTGGATCATTACTCATAATCCAGAAGAGGTTCATGGTGGTGTCAGTCTGCAGAGAGTGTGTGCACTCTGTCTGTGTTTTTAAAATGTAACTGCTATTTAAAGCTCCTTTAAGGTCTTTTTTAGACATTTATGGAAATGCCTGAAATATATAGCAGTGCCTTTTTATGATATCCTAAAAGAACAAGACTATCAGTAAAAATCAACAATATTTATGTTGAAATTTTGAACGCCTGAAACAGATGCGAGGGGACAGGTGTCAGAGGAGTGAGTGAGTGAGGGACCAGCCCTGGTTTTACAATTTCCACATAAAATACTCACAATGACGGACAGATTTGGATGATTTTCTTGCCAAAAGACACTAACACACTATTCAAGCATGACAGGGACAAGATAAGTGAACTCTGCTTCGTCCACCGGGAGGCGCTAGAATTGACCTCACAGGAGCTTTAAACAATAACTTCTCACTTTTCTGTTTTCCATGTTTATTTTAGCATCTCTCTCTTTCTCTCTCTCTCTCTCTCTCTCTCTTAACTTTTTGTTGATTGACCTCTGCTGCTCGTCCACTTTCCTTCATTAACCTTTGCCTCAGATTGAAAATATGAGTGTGGGCGACGTTTATATGGAGGTTTTTGTGCTTTTCAACACCATTGTACATCAGAATATTAAATATTAAATAATTTTAAGGCACCCGGTATCAAAAGTTTTAAAGAAAACGGCCTAACTCCAGAATGAGTAACATAACATTAAAGTGAGTTATATAATCTTTCCTTGTGTTTAACATCAGGAGACCATAGTTTATGTTTATGGCCACTTTTTTTTTTTTTTTTTTTTTTAAAGAAAAGACTAATTTTTGTAGCCACAAGTAGGCCAGGTTAGAGTACCCACACAGATACACACACATGGCCCTGGTTACTGCAATATGTAGAGCAGTGATTGATGGGGAAACCAAAAACCACCTAAACAGGAGGAAAAGGGGGGGAGTGGAGGAACAAAGAGCAAGTGAGGCAGCTGGGGAGAGTAAGATGACTGAGTGGAAGGAGACAAGGAGGGATAAACACTCGCAAGAAGTACAGGAGGAGGGTGTGAACAAATGGACTTCCTTCTGTGTTGTTGTACACTGCGGACACACCATCACTTTCTCTCAAACTTATTCTTCCTCTTTTCAGTCATTCTTATATATAACAGATGCCCACTCTCTAACTCTCTCTCTCTCTCTTTCTCTCTCTCTCTCGTATGTTGGCTAACCATAACAAGCTGTGGTGACTGTTTTGTTTTGGTTTGTGTGCCTGAATGAAACATGCGAGCAGTGTGTGTCATCTTGTGCACATGTTTATGAAGGTGTGTGTGTGTCTGCAGGAGGTTTGTGGGTCTTTGCAGGGGAGTGTTTCCAGACTTTAGGGGGTCTAAAAGATATATTGGAGACATACTTACTAATAGACACACTGGGCCCCTTTTTCATACACACTCACACACACACTCCAACACACACCGCCATCCCACCATGAGGCCCTTTCCTCCAGCTTTGCTGCTCTGGGTCTTTTACAGCTTATAGACACAAATCGGCTCTTTCACTCAGTGGAGCGTAATGTAATAAAGATTTACAGCTCCTGATTTTTCTCTCCACTTATAGAGCGGCATTCTTTAAAATTTGGGTCAGGGACTCAAAGGTTTATCAGAGGAAAATCAAAGTGGGTCAAACTCACATTATAGACCCACAAAGATGAAAAGTTTTGTACATATGGCTGAAGAAAGGATGCTTCAGTCATGTTGCTTTTAATACTTTCAGGTTAGTTTCAGGAGTTTCTGTGCTGGATGCTTCAGCTGTTTGGTGCGGCTGTGCAGTCAGCTCCATTACTCTGGCTTGTGCTTTTTTTTCCAGTCCATTTTTTTTTTGGAAACAAAGAAATGAAAAGTAATTTGAAGAAACTATGGCAGGTCAAATGTTTCAAAAAATCGAACCAGAGCGCAGATAGTTTTAGATAAATACATGGAAATAATGTTGGGAAATGCCCTTATATTGGCATTAAAAATTTGGCATTGGAACTTATTTAGCACATGCATGCCAAGATTGCTATAGACATGCATGTTATTTAACTCTGGAAGTTTAAAGATTTTCATGAGCGAACAAACCAGTAAAACTGTGAATCAATCAGGACATTCAAAATATTTTAAAAGGCTTGCTACTTTATTCCAAAACAACCTGATAAACTTTATAAATGGTCCGTGTATTATACGTCTATTCAATTATTCCATTCAGTCTAGTAAATGAAAAATGAAAAAACAAGTCAATATTTTGTTAGTTTTTCTGTATAACCAAAAAATAAAAGACTAGTGTTATATAATAAATATAATATATAATAGAGATGGAAAAGAAAACAAAATAATAAATCTACTTTTAGTTTTTGCGTTATTGATGTCCCCATTTCCCAGGGTGCCTTTCTACTGTTCGCACATGTGCATTGTGCAACAAAGTAGCCAACAACGTGGACCAAAGACTCCAGGCCAGCGCGGTAGAGAAAGGCTAACCTGCTGTCATGGAGATGGACGCATCCTACGTATTATTCAAAGCCGCCAGGAGGGTCACGCTGAAGGAAGGCATGACTATGGAAAAAATTACAACCAGAGCTCTGTTACAACGTAAGATTTTGGCACTCGAACCGCTTTGTCGCATCTTTGCCATGGTAACTGTCACTGAGGATCATGGGAAGGCCAATGTAGCCTCCATGCACGTATGCTCTAAACAGTCGCACTCAAAATCAGAAACTGTTAATAAGATTTATTATTTCGTTTTCGTTTTCCTTCTCTATTATATATTTTACTTTGAGCTGATGATACGAAAACAAACACTAATTTTTTTGTTTTTTGGTTATACAGAAAAACAAATAAACAAAATATTAACTTTTTTTTGTTTTTCATTTACTAGATTGAATGGAATAATTGAATAGATGGCTAATTCATGGACCATAAATACATACTTTATCATAAATGCATTATTTTTCCACCCACTGATGTGTCTCTTTCCTCCTGTTATGAATTGGTTTCTCTTACATAAACAAATCTACTTCACTGTTACGTAATCAAAACCCAGAGAAACAGACAATTTTTGTGTCAGACAATCACATACAATCAATCAATTTCTCTTGAAGACAGAGAGATTTGGAGATTTAGACTACCTACCTCATGAGGGTTTACCCACTCAAAAAATAGAAATAAAGATATAATACAATCAGGTACGATTTATCCATGTTGGTTAGTTTCTGAATTTCCTGGCGCTGGTTTCGTTGTCCTCTATTACATCCTCCATCCATCTGGTGCTGTTTGTGCCATTCACTCGCTGGGGGTGCAAAATACCACAGAAGAAGACCAGGGCAGATGATCAGTGAGTGTTAAAGCACAGCGGGAAGTCCAGACTAGACGAGTCGATCAGAGAGTATCAGCTTACAGCCTCTCTGCAGGAAGCTGCATAATGCCTTAACACCGCTGATTCGGTTTCTGCCAGCCTGTCTGTCTGGCTGCCTCGCTGTGTGAATGTGAATGTACAGTATGCATGTGTGTTCATGTGTGTGTCCTCAGATGATAGAACCGAAATAGGGGTTTACGTACTCGAGATGTCACTAGCACTGAGATGTACTTCTCACAAATCTGATGAACTTAAAGAAATGGAGCTAAAAGGATGCTGGGCTTATAGAGACACGCTGAGAAGAAGTGTGTGTGTGTGTGTGTGTCAGAGAGGAGGCAGCAGATTTGAGCTCATCTTGGTTAGGTGTGTGTTTGTGTGGAAGTAAAAGAGGGAGAGGAGAAAGGATGGAGAGAGAGAGAGAGAGGGCGTCTCTGAGGCAAACAAACTCAAATCTCATGATGTTTTGAAGCTCAGAAGAGAAAAAATGGAGTGAGTGATAAAAAAGGAGAGAAAAATCATGCGTCATGGATCAATTTAATCCGTAAATCTGTACCACAGTTTTGTTATTTGTGAAATATTCTGGGATATGCACATTAACTGTCTCTCACATCGCCTTCTCTGTGTTTGCAAGTTGTGTACCCTGCCCATTTTGTGCACTAGAATGAAGAGGGAAACATTAATAATGTATTAGGAAACCCCTTTAGACTTGCTGTCTGCTCACATTTATGGAAACACACATGCACAAACACACACGCACACACACACACACACACACACACACAGTAAGAGAGGGCAGAGAAACACACAGAAAGAGGGAGAAGTAATCTCCTCGTGCCCTGAGGGAGGTGTCTCACAGTGAAACGGGTGGTCAGGGTCTTTTCTAAGTGCTGCTGGGAAATGGACTGTTTACTTCCAGTCAGTCACGTGACCTCCAGATAACGTCATGTGACCGCAGAGTCATGTGATCATAATAAAGAAAGGAGGGCGAGCACATGCGTGGACATTCTCTCATTCTCTGTGTTGCTAATGGGCCATCATCTGCAGAGTGGTTTCTGCAGGATGAAGGGATAAGCTCACACACACACACACACACACACACACACACACACACACACACACACACACACACACACACACACACACACACACACACACACACACACACACACACACACACACAGATCCACACATATTAATGCACTTAGAAACACACAGGGGCTTTTAGACTTTCTCAGTGTGCATGTGTGTGTAAGTCATATGATATAGATGAGGGCCGGGGTTATACAATGTGACAATATGAGATCATCCTAATCTTTGAAGCAGCTCACAAGGTTTTCTAATAGATTTATAACATTTCTAAAGAGCTGATGTGCTCGAATCTTTGCACCACGGATGATGGGATAGGACTGGATTAGTCAAGTCAAAACAACACCTAATGATTTACTCATCTTCGCTGTGATTATAGCATTAGAAAGTACCGCCATTTTCTGGAATTGTGGGATTTGGTGGCTCTGTATTTTTAAACACCATGAATCATTGATGCTGAGCTTGTGCTTTGTCTCAGATGCTTCGCCCTAATGCGCTGGCTGCTTTTTTCCCTGTCTTAAATGTTTATTCCATGTTCAGATGAAGTATTTACATAAATCAACCCCCAGGCAACAATTCAGAACATCTTACTGTGTGTGTAAAAGTTAGCGGACTGTTTTATTTTTGTGAATGAAGCATAAGGGAAAGTTTAATTTGAGGTAAGGTATCCTTCATTGCCTCCTGTTTTTTTTAGCAACGGTTGCTATGGTGATAATCCTGACAATATTCGCGGGTGTAGGTGTCTAGCCTCCAACGTCTGATCTTGCGTCACCTTATCAACCCTCTTGCTTCTTTAAATGGACCTCCATGTGAAGCTGGTTTTTCTTGCTGCCTTTTTCTGTAGTCTTCATCAGCTTTACTCAGTTATACTCAAATATACACAGACTGCATCCGTGTCAGCACAGCAGCTCCCCATGTACGTGTGTCTGCAGACCAGACTGTAATTACATCCTCTAAAAGGGTCACAGACATTTTGAAACACTCAAAATTTGTGCCTTGATTTGCTCTCAAAAAACACGACTCTGTTTTTTCAGGTTTATTTGGAACATGTCAATTTTGCTTTCATATCCGCTGACACCTACATGTGACTGCTAGTTACTCTGTAAAACCATCATTTCACAAAAAAATTCACTTTATTTTGTTACTGTCAGGCATCAGATTCAGTCTATTTTGGGGTCAGTGATGTGCCGAATGTGTCAACTACGGTTAGACACGGAGCTGATGAAGCAATTAGAAACACCACTTTTCAAAAAGGTTAAACAAATTAGCATAAATGTGCACACTTTTACCAATACAAAAGATGGCTAGCAAGTGTTGTAACAGCGCCAGTTGTTATGAGTTCAGGCTTTTCTTTGAGTCATAACCGATTACGAGAAAACAAACCCATAGGCTAGACTTTCCTGAATGCATGACTCCCTCTACACACATGCTCATGTTAAAATGCCCGCACGTACACCCTCACTCACTTTACAAGACGTGACCCACCCACACTGCCCTTTGCATGCTTGTTTATGGAAGTATAAGTGGTCGAGCTGGAATGCCCGTTAAACTTTGTTTGTAGGACTTTTCTTAGACGCTAGTCTGCTGCACGATGGAAGAATGCTGATCGTAACTCTCACTGGGTGGTTATGATGCTCCTACTGTAAAAAGACTCTGTTGAAACCTGGTGTCACTGTTATAAAGTAAAACCAACGACACTGAGGAGGTTATTGAAAGTCATTTTTGCATCTGTTGTTGAAAGGCCAGTCAGGGGTTGTGTTTTTGTGTACTTGTGTACTGCAGAATGGTCTTAGCTAATATGTCATCTCATATGTTATCACTTTTTTTCTTCTTTTGGGGAATGTACAGGATAGGAGAAGATTAGCAAAATATAAAAAGTACCACTAAGCAATGCATGTTTAGTTAATAGTTAATACAGTCTATTGAGCCAGTTAAATGCTCTGTCTCAGCTGTACCATATCCACCTCCAGCAAGCAAGGGCTTCAGCTCGAAGAAGACTGAAAGCTAGTGGATCTACGTAACTCTGCTAACCTCAGTTTTATCTATGTGTTACCAAATCAAGTTTGAAAGTGTCTTTGTGGAAAACAGCGCTGATCATTTTTTTTGACTGATAATGTCTCACAACATTATCGTCAGATTTATTCACAATGAAAAGTTACAGCCCTACACTCCTCAATAATCGCCACTCTTGTTTTGATGCTTATAGATGCAGTTTCAGTTTTCATGTCAGTGTGGTTTTAAAGTAAAGAATATCCCTGACATTTATTTTTTTGTTACTGTGTTTTTACATTTAACTTCACACTCAGAATTTAGGTATCTAAACAAAATGGCAGAAACCGCAGTGTGATATTCTCTATTGAACAAGGCATATTTATACCAAAGGAAAAACATATCTTGCTTTGAAAACAAGCACTGAACCTTATTTGACTCCAGAATAAAATAAAATTAGTTTATTTTTAAATCAGAAAGTCACAAGGTGCAGCTGAGAGAGATAAAGCCTGCTCTGTGGTGATAAAAAGGAACCACATCAGAAATAGAGCCCCAGACTCTAATGCATGTTTGTGGCGTCTTTGAGCAAAGATGAAAGGACAGTCTGCAGTTTTATCCACATCCTCTCCTGGTGCTTCTTTTTTAATGTCATCGAGCACCCATTTTCAAAGCACCTTGTTCCGTCTCTCAGCACACTTGTATTTCAGTGGCATGTTTGGAAGTTGTCAGAAAATGATTGTAGTTTGAAAGTACTTTTTTTTACTCCACTACTTTCCTCTCCTCCTGTCTTGTTTTGGTTTCTCTGTTAATGAGCTTTCCTCTCCCCCTCCTCAAAACCATTTCCTACCTAATTTGATCGCTCTCACACTCACCGCCTAAGTGTTGGACTATTAATGGAACATGTTTTTTTTTCTGTTAATGGTTTATCTCTACAGACTGCACATCAACAATACTCCCTTAGTTGTTTGATGACTGACTTTCCTCCTCTTCTCTCTTGGTTGTAGGATCGCAAGCTCTCCAAGTCGGAGCGTCAGCGCTTCAAAGAGGAAGCGGGGATGTTAAAGGGTCTCCAGCATCCTAACATTGTCCGCTTCTATGACTCCTGGGAGGGACCGTGCAAAGGAAAGAAATGTATTGTTCTGGTCACTGAGCTAATGACATCTGGCACACTGAAAACGTGAGTATTAAATGGATAAATGATTTTCCAACATGTGTGCTTTTTGACCTTTGTGGAGGGAACTATATTTAGCTGACCAACATGTAGCATGTTTTTGTAGTTCTACATTTGGCCAATTTTGCACTAAAATTTAAAGCTGGATTGATACTGAGCTAATCACTCAATGGAAAAGTAAGTCCAAAATGTATAGTATCATATCGTATCGTAACGTATTGTATCATATCATAATGTAACGTAACTTAACGTAACATAACGTACCATAGCATAACGTATCATACTGTATCGTAATGTAACGTAACTTAACGTAGCTTAACGTAGCATAACGTAACATAACGTATCGTAACGTAACGTATCGTAACGTAACGTAAAGTAACGTATAGTAATGTCATGTATCGTAGCATAATGCAAGGTATCGTAATGTAACATATTGTCTCGTAATGTTATGTATTGTATCATATTGTAATGTAATGTAACTTAACTCAACATAACATTACATAACATAATGTATTGTAATGTCATGTGATGTAACGTAACATAAGTTATCGTAATGTAACATATCGTAACGTAATGTAACGTATCACTTAGATTTGATCTTCTTGTTTTCCATTTTAGCTTGATTGAAAATTGCACACAGCCTGCCCATCCTAATTGTCTGTTTTTGTCTATTAATAGAAACATAATCTTAGTGATCATGCTGTAAAGCCCTACTGCTTATAGACAGTTCAAGTTGGGTTAGGTACTGCTGCAGGTGCATCTTGTTTTTTTAAGCAACTTTTTAGTTGGCAAAATGTGTCACCAAGACAAATGCACGTCAAGCCAGTTTGTGTATAATCCAACTGGTTCAAGCTCTTATACAGGACTAGACTAGGAAAACTGGATCTTCTACTCCAGCTAAATTGGATACAGACGTCAGACTGATGTATACGCACGTCAGACCGATGAACGCAGAGCTGCTCATGTGCAACATTTGCTTAAAAAAGGACTGCTTAAAATTCTAGGTATCACCACAAAAGCGAGAAGTTTACAAAAGATGTTGTTGCTTGTCACAAGCTGGGATGGAAAAGCACTTGTAGAGGTTGTTTTTCACTGCTCATCACACTTTTTGTAGTGCATAAAGACGAGCACTTATCCTAAGTAGAACCTTTTGAGCAGCTTTTCCCCCCTTTGCTTTGTGAGGACACTTTCATTATAGATGATGACTCACCTCCATTTTTGTTGTTTAACAAAATAAATAAAAAAACACAGTTAAGTTGCCCTCATTCATGTCAAGCCAATCTGCAGCTCTTTTTGATTTCAGCTGTTCAAATGGTCTTTCAGTGTTGTAAGCACCTGAGGTCCCAGCTGGAGATCAGAACTGGGTGCAGCTGTTTGTGGGTCAGCCTGTGTGTGTGACTCATTACATGTTCAGAATGTGTGTACGTGTTTGTTATGTGCAGTATGTGTCTGGCTGAAGGCCTGCAAATGTGGGTTTCAATGTCTGTTCCCTAATGAGGTGTTTCAAGTGTCAAATACACCAGAGGAGTTTTTCAGGCTGAAGAATCGTCCTAACGTGTAACAGGCTGTACTGTACATGCGTCTGTTTTGTATGTAAATAGCAGGAGCGTCCAATAGCAGGCGACTGATCCGTCAGTTGAGGTCATTGTCCACGCTGTGACCGCATGACAGTCTTTATAGAATAGATGTGTGTCTGTGAATGTGATTGTTGGGCTCCTGACACAATAAAAGGCTACAGTAAATGTCCGGCATGTGGCGGGCGGCGTGTCCTGTGCGGCGCGTCGTGGGGACACTGGCCCACCTGCCAGCTGCTGCTTCTGCTGCAGATTCCTCTCATTCCTGACAGACAGAAAAAAGGGGAGGGGTCGAAATGAGGCGAGCTGGTGGGGGGCTGATTAATGATCGGACTGATGCTTATATTCAGAGGGGTTTAGGAAGAGATTCAGACATAATAAGAGAGGAAGCTTAAGTGTCAATCAGCCAGAGAGGTGATCAATAGACAGATATAAAACTAGACATCTGTCCTAAAAGCAGCTTGACAGAGGGGCTCATAAACCCACATACCACCTATGACCACAAAGTAGAGAATAAAAACCATCTGTACTGAAGTACTTAGGGAAGTAGCGCCCTCCACTGGACCAAACAAGCTTTGTTTATCTGTTTTGAACATGCAGAAGCTGAGTAAATGCTTTTATTCTGCATCTGTGCATCATTTTTCAGACAAAACCTCGAACTTTTCTGTCTCTTTTTACTGCAAACCGTGTAAAAAGCTGGGAAATGAAAGTACTATGAGGTTTTTAGGAATAAAACATAAGGCCTTGGGCTAGAATGAATCACCTTCAACAAAAGCCATTAACAAAAACTGCCTTGACATTATCAACGATAATGAGGCAACATAACATCATTTGTGTGTCTTGTTTCCTACAATCAAAACTTTTAACCAAATATATGCAGCATAAAACAACAAAAGAATTAAAAGCAGCTGTTATTCACAAAATAATTTGGATTGAATTGTTTTTCCTGTTTACTTTCTTCATCCAGAACAATTTATCTAGGACATAAAGTTTCCTCAAATGCAGATGTGTTCCCCTGTGCGTATAATCCGTGCATGCACATATATGAACAGGGTCAGTGCTCCGGGGATTTGGCTGTCATCCAGATGAAGCCTGAAAAAGGAGAGGGGACCGCTGGACGCCGGAGAGGTGGAAAAATGAAAGTGAGATGATGAGAGGGAGGACTGATAGGGAAGGAGGGAGACAGTGAGGATGGAAACACTGACCAGAGCAGGCTCAGGGTATTAGGGGCCTCTTATCTTTGTGTGTCCAAGCATCTGTGTGAGTGTGTGTGTGTGTTACAGAGACAAAGACATGTGATTGTACTTTCTTTTTCTTGTGTGTCTGTGTATAAATACTTGCCATTCATGCGTGAAAATGTACTGTATGTACTGTTCACATTCTGTGTATTCAGATATACCTACATGTGTGTTGAAAAGGGAGCACGGTTGAGCGGCTCTGTGTAGAGCGGTGCTTTGTTCAGCATCACCCCGACATCGCATGCCACAGGGTTTAACTTTTCTGTCAACGGTGTTCTGAATCCAGACAGATAGGGGAAGAAAGTAGAAGAGACGAGCGGAGGAGAGGAGGCTGTTAAGGTAAAGAGATGGAAGGTAGAGAGGGAGGAAGAGGAGGAGACGTGCTGCTTCTGAGGAGATAAGTGAGAATGGGATGTGGAGCGTTAGGAAACGGGGGAAGATGTCGCATAAATACAAAGTTTTTTCTTGAGATATGTCTGCTTAGATTTGCTCCACACCCCGAAGGCAGACTCTGTGTTAGATATGTGGATTCACCAAATTCTCCTGTTTATAATAAACAACCATCATCACCCCTTTAAAGTCAGCGGACACTCTGTGTGCCTAAGGATTTCAGAAGTAAATTTGGAGTCATAAAACAAGGAGAAATGTATCCAATCTAGTTGGATTGTCTTCTTGTCTTCTGGAGTTCAAGGATGCCATTAGGACTGAACGCTGTAGAGGCATTACATAAAGAAATATAAGGAGACACCTGCAGCTGCACTACTTGCAGGAGAGGAGACACATTTTAAACCTCACCAGCTCCTGTTATTTTGGATGAAGCTGTGGTAAAACCGGAACAATCGTGTGAGAACAGCTCAGTACTTTTGACTTATAGCTGTTTTATTCAGTAAATGTGTCAATCATGACCCACTTCCACTCACTTATTTCCTGCTTTTCTCTATCTCATGCAGTGAACGAATTCTCCAACAAAAGCAATTTCAAGACACAATTAGCAGCTTTTGGGACTTTTAATGGGTTTTTCATTGTTTACTGACGGTCTCAGACTTGGCCTTGTTTGTGTGTTGACATTCTCATTGTTAAAGGAAAGAGCTGACCTTGTATTGAGTTTAAATAAAGCTTTCGTTAACAATCTACTTAAGTGAAGGAGATGCTCTTGATAACTATGCTCAGTCTCATAACAGTCCTTGATAAAACACACTCTGAACTATTGTGTTTTTCTTTAAAACGGGTACAAGGTCACATCTAAATCTGTGCAGTTTTGACAGCCAGTGATGGAGCACAGAGTCCCCGTTACTTGTGTGGGCTTCATTTTGAGTGATGGATCTACAGCGACTGTGTTGTTAGATCAGCTGTTCACACTCAGGATCTGTTCATACAGTAAGAGGAGCGGCCACCAATGCTAGAGCCAGACTCACTGATGCTGCTGTGCATCGGGTGGTGAAGATAACAACAGTCTCTGCAGTTTTCAGCTCTCATTTATTATTCAATTTGACCAAAATCTAAAACATTAACTTAAAATGTGTGAAAAATTTAAAGCACAATGACTCAAAGTGCTTGTGAGTTAACAACAAGAAATTGTCTTCACATAGTTGGCTTTGATGAGTCTGAGCTGAGAATATACATCATACCTCCAAGCCAAAAATTTGCTTTTTATTCAAAATATTAATTTAGACAGGGTGATTAAAAGCAACATTCAGATTCATTTTAGAAACTCCCTAAACTCTTAAAAATGAGTTACTACAGGGTCCCTTTTCATCTGAATATGCATCTGAATTTGATAAGTAGCCTGTCAAGTAAATGAGAGTGAAGGAAAACCAATAGGGACGTGTTGGTATGCCGCTATGTTCCTCACATGGTCACGTTTTAGGGGTCGTTGGGTTTCTTCTAGTTTACTCCCACATTCCAGAGTGGTACATACCAGGTGGACTGAAGGCTCACCCACAGGTGTGGATCTGTGTGCGACCTGTCAGAGGGTCTCACTGACTTAAACCCTGGAAAATGGTGCAAGTCTGTACCAACATATGACTTTGATGATAAAGTGGAGGGAATCATCAGAAAACTCCACTTGAGAAACCCTGTTTTTAACATCACTGATTAGGTTTTAATTACATGTTTTTAAGAAGTTAAATCTGTTTCCAAGCAGTTAATGTCAGTATCTTTATGTTGAAACCATCCAGTGTATCTGACTGCCTGTGACAGTTTATTTTGTGTTTGTTTTTATTCACTTGTTTATGTCAGTATTCATGAAGCATCTATTTGGAGAAGAATTGTCTTACTATAATCCACTGGCTTTTTAGAGCTCATCTTTAATTTAGACTTTAATTAAAAGCATAGTTTGTGTTATTGTCTGGATTGTGCTGCCCTGCTGTGAAAGAAAATCATTCTCCCTGCAATAATGTTCCTGTAGGAGACAATTAAAATAGTCATATTATCATCTGAGTGCCCCTCAACCTCAAGAAAGTGGTGTTACGAATGAGGTATGGCATGCACAATAGGGCAGTTTTGTTTTTGTGCTTTTGTTACGTCAAACTCTTAAATATGAAACCAGCTGGGATTGATTCTGTCAAACAAAAGGCCACTTGACCTGGACCTTGGATCACTGTAAAGTATTTGTTTAGCTGAACCTGCTGCTGTCTCTACAGTATTATACATGTAATCCTGTTTGGCTGACATGCTCTATTGTGTGCCATCCTCCCTGTCTTGCAGCTACCTGAAGCGTTTCAAGGTGATGAAAATCAAGGTGCTGCGTTCCTGGTGCAGACAGATCCTCAAAGGTCTCCACTTCCTTCACACCAGAGCCCCGCCTATCATACACAGGGACCTGAAGTGTGACAACATCTTCATCACAGGGCCCACGGGCTCGGTGAAGATAGGAGACCTGGGTTTAGCCACGCTGAAGAGGGCCTCATTTGCAAAGAGTGTCATAGGTAAGAAAACTTTAGAGACAAATACTTTTACAACAAAAAGGACTTTGTTTTGATTGAACGTTGAAGAGCAACATAACCGAAACTGGACTAAGGGGATGAGGTGTAACTTTAGTTAACCCATGTGTCTACTGATTTGAACATGTTGTATGGTGCACAATAAACTACAAAGTGCTGTCACACACACACAAGCAAAAATACCAAAAAGACATAAAATCTCAAAATACACTCAAGAACCAAATCAGCAAAAAGAATCGTAACAAAATAAAAACCCGTAAATCAAAGAACCCCCAAAACAAAGAATCCTGAACAGTAAAGGAACCCAAACATCAAAAGATCCTCAGGAAGGATGAACCCACAACAGTGAAACAGTGAAAAAAAACAACAGCATTAAATAAACAAATGTCACAAACCAAAATAAAACAAACAATCCTGCCCAAAGACCCTGTCATCAAAAGAAGTAAAACACAAACCCAAAGTCAAAAGAACCCAAATAAACATCATAACAACCAAAAAAACAAAGAACAAAGAAAGTTTAAAAAACAGCATGACCACAACAAAAAAACTTTTCCTCATCAAAGGACAGAAAATTACACCCCAAAGTAAAACAAAAAAACAAACAAACAAACAAAAAAACAGGAACAAGTTCCAAACAGTGAAATGCAAAAAAACCCCACAAAACCAGAAGAACCCATTAAAACAAAAGACCCCAAACAACAAAATCATGCAAATCTGAAGTAACCTGAAACATAAACACCTCACTGTAAAGAGAACCCAAACATAAACACTTAATCAAGACACAAAACAACAAAAGAACTCAATGAATCAAAACATCTGAAGCAACACAATAACCCACAATGCTGCTGTAATAAGCCAGGCAACATGAATAACTCTCCTGCATGCCAACAAACCTGCCTGCAAATTTCTGAAGGTGGTGAAAGACAAAAAAACAGTCATAATTTATGTGTTTTTCCGATAACAATTTCCCATAACAACAGTATTGTTTGTACACATACACGTCCGCACACGCTGTTTCATGAGAGCATAGACACGCACATCCTGCACAACTACACACGCCTACTGTACAGTGAATTTATTTCTTCTTAAATGTCTGGTCGTAAAAGCTAACCACAGGTATTCTCTGGGTAAAACACACACTATCCAGTCAGCTACTAAGCTAGGATTAAGCTGTCTGGAGATATGATGGAGAGCGCAGCCTGAATACACACCCTGCACCTCCAGTAATACACTCTAAGACTCAGACATTCAGCTGTGCAACATATTTTATTGTAGCTGACATGCAGTAGACTAATTACAAAGCTGACCGCAGATATTCTTGCGTTCACACATTTTCTCATACTCATTTGCATGGAAGAACGTCTTGATGCAGAATCAAATGCTTAGTATTTTGAACCCTTGCAGAAACACACAAACAAGCACACACACATCACGAGGCTCAAACAGAAATACTCGAAACAGTCAATGTGCTGGTTGTCTCCGAGATAAAAGACGTGATCAAAGAGGCTCAGAAATTCACATCCTTTAAGGTATTAAGTGTAATATAGTGACTGGAATGGCTAAATATAGCGGTTTGTTGTTTTTCTTTCCCTTTTTATCAGGAACCCCAGAGTTTATGGCCCCAGAGATGTACGAGGAGAAGTACGATGAATCTGTAGACGTCTATGCCTTTGGGATGTGCATGCTGGAGATGGCGACCTCAGAGTACCCCTACTCTGAATGCCAGAACGCTGCTCAGATCTACAGGAGGGTCACAAGTGTAAGTTTCCTGAAGTGCATGGGTATGGCAGAAGGAGTTTGGATTGAATCTCTGGAGTGTACTGCTTTAGAGACACCACACTGTGACATTCTTGTGTTGTAAATGACAGTTCTGTTCATCACTCAATCCTCGAACTCTCCGCCTCCACCCCTCCTCACTCGCTTGTTTACTGACTGTATTAATAAGTTTGGCATGAGCTGCAGGAGATCCAGTCATATGACTATGTTTTTGCAGTGGTTAGCCGCTCTCCCTTACGTTCCCTCCCTCCCTTCCTCGCTCTCTCTCCTTCTCTCCTTTTTTCTCTGTCCCAGGAATTAGGGAATTAAGATTTAAACAGTAGTAATGCAGGACAATTATGTTATTCCTGGCTGCACTTTTTTTTCTCCATTCCTAGAGAGCAAACATGTCTTATTAGAGCCAAAGTTTTTGTGGCTATAACCCTTAATTTTTGATGATTGTTATCCTGGAGGAAACTGGAGGTCATTGACCGCAGTTAAAGCAAAGCATGAAATCAAGTTAATCTGGTTTAAAATGCAGGAAATTAAGAAAATATGTGATTTTTTTGGTGATGGGCTATTGACAACAACCCGTGTCTAAAATTGTATCACGAGCAATCTAATTTTCTTCAACCCTGTGTACTTGACAGATGAAAAACATCTTAAAGTGGAGCACCTCGTTGCACTTCTAGTTTGGGTGACATTTGCAGCATTTAGGAAAAACTTATCTGACAGTTTGCTTGAATTCCTGTGAGGCAGAGGGGGAGAAAAAGGCAGACACCAAAACACAGACAGAGAGAGAGGATAACCGATGCAATCTGAGGCAGTTTTAAGATGAGTGCTGCTGAGGTCATCACCCCGACACACTCATCACAAATACACACACACACTTACACTCACAGAGGCAGATGAGTGCTGTCTCCCTCTTCCCCTCACAGGACTGCACTCAGCTTTGTAGAGGCTGACAGTGATGCTTAATGGACCAGAGGAATTTATTAGAAATCTCCCTTTTTTTCTCCTCTATTCTCATTTATTCCCTATTTTGTCGTTTTCCTCGCATCATCCATCTCATGTTTATTTAAATCCCAGTGCAAGAAGTGCTAGAAATGCAAAATATTTAAGTTTTTAAGGCAAGCTTTATCCTTCCTGAATTGAATGCAATCTTTACAAAACATCCTGTACATTTCAGACTAATGTGGAATTAGCTTGATCATCTCTTATTGATTGGATTTTGCTATAAAGTACACAAGCAGTGTTATTTGGAGCTTATGAACAAGCACAACATCCCCCTCAGCTAAAACAAGCGCGTCTGTTACCTCTGGTGAACATCAAAATGTAATGAAAATGTTAGACACACACTGGCAAAAATGGAGGGTTTAGTCTGCTTTCTGTTGCACACTGAAATTACAGTGTCATCTGTCCCGTTGTCTATTTTACGCACTATATTTCAAACCTGTAACCCTGAGATTGTTTGGCTCTTTTTAGTCTTGGTTTCAGCTCAATTTTTAGTCCCAGTCTTACCAGGAAATTCAAATGAATAAGATTTAGATGAAGATAAAGTCTCATCGTCTATTGACCACTGAGAAGGGGAAAAAGTTACTCAACTGTCTGTCTACTTTCATCTGAATCTCTTAATTTGATTTGAGAAGTTAAAGCAGAGGATAAATCCACAGTGTTTCTCTCCATATGTCCACCTATGTCCCCTCCTTTCACATCCTTACTTCGAGGAATATCTGATTAATGCTGTGTCCTCAGTCGTTCAGTTCACATCTCTGCTTGTGTGTTTCTGAGTAGAACTTAATCGCCATAATTTTAGATGCCAACAGCAAGGAGTCATTAAGCTGCTATGTGACAGAAAAACATGCAGTTAAACAACCAACTTCACTTGTCTGTATTTGTTACTGTCACACATGTACACACACACACACACACACACACACACACACACACACACACACACACACACACACACACACACACACACACACACAACATTGTGACAACCCCAGGGTTCCCCCATCACCTGCTCCCTTTTCATTTGACTGACTAATCCTTCCTCACAGCTCCATTCATGTGTCCCTCTGTGTCCTCACTGAGCTGGAGACCTCAGTTAACCCCACAAGTATTAAAACTGCTGCTTTATGAGAAAATTTAAAACACTCCTGTCCCACACTCGGGTTCTACTGAGTTATCATGCAGACTGTAGCAAATAGCTGAAACTGGGCTTCCTGCCTTTATTTACAAGCAGTCATTTGATGATCGTTACTTGAATTACAGTGGACATATGAGATGATTATATTCATATTTTTGTCATTAGTATTCCAATTACTAGTCCTATTTCTATTTAAGTCTGTGTTCCTACTCTTTTTCTTTTTCTCAGTCCTTTTTTTTCTTGTTTATTTTTCTATATTTATTTATATTCCTATTTGTATGTGCTGTTCTGTTTTTATGTCTTTTTTTATTCCTATTATTCTTTTAGTTTTCGCATCTATTTCTCTTTCTGTCATTTTCTTATCTGTAATCATGTTTCCAGTCCCATTCCTGTCTTTTTTTTTTTCACTTTTTATATATCTTTATCTTTTTCTATTCCTGATCCTATTTCTATTTTTCTTTTTTTATTCCTATGTTTGTTTCTATTTTAATTTCTATATCTATATTCTCATCCCTTTAATTGTTCATATTCTATTCCTATTCCTTCCCTTTTTTCCATCACTACGTTTTTTATATGTTTATACCGTTCCCCACTCCCCACGCTTATTTTGTTTGTTTTTCTATTTCTGTTCTTATCTCTTTTATTTTCTCATTTTCTGTTCCTGTTTCTGCTCTCGTCTCTTTCATTACTGTTGCTGTTCCAATTCTCATTCCCATTCATATTTGGCCAACAAGGAACCTTAGAAGGTAGAAAAGCCAAAAATGGGATTTAAAACTTTTCTTTTTCTTAATAATGTTGAAAAACAAGTTCCTTTAATGTCTTGTGCCTTAAAGTCACAAGAAGGAAAAATAGCACTATTTTGTGTCAATAATTAATACATTTGTTGTAAATCAGAGTTTGGGTTTAGTTTGATTCAGTCGTTTCTATGTCCTCATGTCACCTGCTTTATAGCTGTCATATCCAGTATGTATAAAGATACATGTCAGCAGTGTTAATTAATCCTGAACAGCTTTCTGAGTGAAGTTGTTTGTTGAACAAAGTTATTGATTTGTACTCTCTCAATGTTTATTCATCTTCATCCACAGAAGACTCAGAGCTCTCATTAGCTTTTATGGCTGAGGCTAATATGAATTATGGGGATATTCTTTATGGCTCCTCTTATAACACTTTGACATAATATGCTGTTGACATATGGTCCGTCTCCTCCTGGAACATTCCTAACCTCCAATCAGCCTTGTTAAAACTGAAATCTCAAACTCTCTGTCTCTCCTTCTCCTTCATCCTCCCTTCTTCTGTCAGACTTAATACCATTACTTCCTTCATCAGTGCTAACTTTGTTTGGCCCAGGAATCTCTGAACAACTTTGTGTGCTTGTGTGTGCTTGTGTGTGCTTGTGTGTGTGTGTGTGTGTGTGTGTGTGTGTGTGTGTGTGTGTGTGTGTGTGTGTGTGTGTGTGTGTGTGTCAGAGAGAGATGGGGGGTTGTTATGTAATTATGAACCAGGGGAGCTACAGGAGAGATACCAGCCAAGAAAGTTAGCAAAGAAAGAAAGAAAGAAAGAGGCGGAAAGAGGAGAGGACAGGGTTGATGGAAAGGAACAGAAGGAGGTGGTCATTTGATGGAACAAACATTTCTGACTGTTTGGCAAGCAGTCGGTCAGTCAGCCAGTGAGTAAAAATTGACAACTTCTTATTTATCCGCTAGTTAAACCAACCTCAGTACTTTTTAGGTAAGTGACTTTGTCTCACATACTTTTACTTTCATTATCCCTTACTCATGTGTTTTTAAGTTTTTAAATGCTTCCAATTTGCATCCATCTATGAAAGTATGTTTGTGGTTTTGTATTTGAGGTAAAGTGCTTTGATTATGATGTCTGGTATCTGTTTGAACAAGTATGAGTCATTTATTTCACCTGCTTTGTAAAAACCGTATTTCATCTGGGATTTGCCCAGAGACTCGATGCTACAAATAACTGATCCCATCATTTACCAGTTTGTTGACATTTCATGCGTAGCAGTGTTGTCACAACAAGTCTGAGACAGGTGGTGAAAATGAAAGATTTTACGTGGGATGATGTCATCTTTGGATCATTTGTGAATCAGCGATTACTTCATTTGGACTCTTTGTTTCGGTCTGTTCTGTGCCTCCACTAACCAAATTCGATCAAGTGAGCTGGTCACTGAGATGCCTTCTGTCGAGCTGCGTAGCTGAACTTCTGTTCAGTTTTGAACTTCTGAAAACTTTTTTACAAGCATGTGAATATTTCTTACTTTTCTATGCTACTTTAAAGTGGTTTTCCACACTAGCTGTTTCTTAACAATAGGTCACAGGGGGAGTCTTCACTCAGTGCCAAACTTCAGAATGGGTCCCTGCTGATCCTTTAAAGTTGTTTTTGATGTCTTAATTGGTTCCAATTGGCTATAATTTATTATTTAGTCCTGCATGGTATCTTGGCATATGTAGTTCAATCCATGGGTGGTGTCCCTAACTTAAGGCCATGTGTTTCAAATGATGAGGCTTAACTTTATTGAGGAAAATTACTCTCTTGTGTGGGTGAATATTTAATTTCACTTAATCCTCTTTTTAATGCTGTTAATTTATTGTAAGTAACAACAAGCTTTTTGTAAACCTGAATCTGTTGTTAGAAAATAAAATGTTTGAGGATGCAGACATTCAGCGTTACAGCACATGCATAAAGTATGTTAATTGAAAAATGGCAACAAGGGTGTTTTTCCCCCACAGTTGGAGTAGGAAGAAGACAAGTCTGTTATATTATCGTCAATCTTCATCACCTATAACCTTCACGTTTGGCGTATGAGTGGTTTAGTGCAGTTTCTTTCTTTAAAATCATCACTCCTCTCTCTCTCTGTGTGTGTGTGTGTGTGTGTGTGTGTGCAGGGAGTGAAGCCGGGCAGTTTTGACAAGGTAGCCATCCCTGAGGTGAAGGAAATCATAGAAGGCTGCATCAGGACAAACAAGGATGAGAGGTAAGACACAAACACACTCTTAGATCGAACCATGACCTGATCATTTAAATTATATCTTGACTTTACTGGGTGTATTATGGTGCATGAAATCACTAACGTTAACTTAATGTACTACAAAATCTGATTAAGTATTATGTAACATCACAAAAGTAAACAAAGCATATCACAAAGAGTATCTGTGTGACTTCACCAGGTCCTGTTCTGATTCACAGCCTCTTGGTCAAAAATAAAAAGTCCTCAGTTCTCTTTCTCCGCACTGTCGGAGCGCCAAAACATTCACTGTACCCTCTCCTGCTTTAGAAACACACCAAGGCTGAACTAGCACCCTCTTTGTCCTCACGTCGTCTCCTTATTGTCCAAACTCCTCGTCCCCTTGGTGAAGTAAAGTCATCTAATTGCATAAGTCGGATCAGATTGGATCTGGTCCAAGAGCACTCACAGCTGGAACATCAATTGTCCAATTTTCCTAATCTTTTTTGGTATTTAGGAGCCAAGAGAAAACCCCAGAACATTATCTGAAATCTGTGTATAAAGCTGTTCCTCTAAATGCTGTCAGCATGTCGATGCCTATGAAACCAATAAAAAACCATGTCCATCCTATTAGCTTATCAGCTGCAGGCCAGTTCACAAGGCTGTGAACAAATTTTGGACAAATTGGTATCAAGCTGTTACATGTATGTTTGTTTTTTTGTCTCTTGTTCTGGTAGGTATGCTATCAAAGTCCTGCTGAACCACGCATTTTTCCAGGAGGACACAGGGGTCAGGGTTGAACTGGCAGAGGAGGATGATGGGGAGATGATTGCCATCAAACTGTGGCTCAGGATAGAAGATGTGAAGAAGCTCAAAGGCAAGAAATAATTACTTTTCTTTATCTTCGGCTTAAATGCTTTGAAGAAGGATATTTTCTGCACTGTTCAGACCGAGTTTTGCTGCTAAAAGATTTGTATTTAAAAACCAAAGCTCATATTTACACTTCTTTGCAGGCAAATACAAAGACAACGAAGCTATCGAATTCTCCTTTGACCTAAACAAAGATGTCCCTGAAGATGTGGCGCAGGAAATGGTATGTACAGTTTAGAGGGGGGACTTGAGGACAGAAGTTGAGACAGGGACATGGGGAAGTGTTGGATTTTGTCAAAAGAGAGCAAACAAAAGGGAAGAACGTTTGATAGAAAGACACAGAAAATTATGTTTGCCTTTTGTTTCTGAGCTTGTGTGATCTGTGTGACTCCACTTAACCCCCCCACCCCTCCAGGTTGAATCAGGCTACGTCGCAGAGGCCGACCACAAGACCATGGCCAAGGCGATCAAGGACCGTGTGTCTTTGATCCGCAGGAAGAGAGAACAGAGGCAGCTGGTACGTGAGGAGCAGGAGAAGAGGAAACTGGAGAGTGAACAACAACAACTGCAGCAGCAGCAGCAGCAGCAACAACAACAACAAGAGGCAATCAAGACGACACACGTGCAGGTTTGTAGATCAGCAAGCGAAAAAAAAACTCTCTACGTGATACTGACAGGATGACAGAAGTCTCACCCATTGGTGCATCATTTAGTCATTGTCCTTTAAGTCCTTTATCCCTCTTTATATATCTATACCCCCCCCAGTTTGAGCCTGTCTTGTGTTTGTTTGCAGGCAGAGGCAGCAGAGGAGGCTGAACTGGAACAACAGCAGCATCATTATCAGCAAACAGGCATCTCACACACATGTAAGAAAAGCTTCAAACAGCAGATACGTATGATAATATGGGCCACCTCAACATCTATCATGGGATTTATCGGCAACAAGGGACTTTTTGTTGATAGCAGCGTCCATGTCATGTTTGGGTTTCAGATTATTCGTAAAAGAAGGGATATTCCCAAAAGGTCTCTATTATCAACTGATTTCTGCTCATCTACCTTGTAAAATGAAACCTTTACTGTACAGCTCTTATGTAATATTTTCCGGGCAGACACCCATCAACTTTATCACGAGCCGGGAGGGTGCTTCGAGGAGAGCATATTGTCATTGTTTTCCTGAAAAGCGGCAGCAATCATTGTTTAGTCAAATCTATCCTATTGTTCTCCAAAAACACTGCCCTGGAACTATTAATTTTTCCTTCCTCTCATTGTGTGCCATTGGAGGTGTTGTCATGCTTTTCATAAACAAAGTGTCCTCCCTGGTGGCTCGTGCACTTTCTAATGACTTATAAATAGTGCAGATCTCCTGTTATATAAGGTTATTCAAATGCCAAAGAAAGACAAACTGTAAATCATGGTTTCACTGTCAGCTTCTCTTTAGATCTGGAGTTTAACACACGCTCAAAATCTCTCTTTTTTTCCTTCCTCTCTAGCTGAAGGTGGTTTGGATAGTGGCCAGGGCTCCTCGGTTTTCTCATCAGACTCCCCCCACCTGGCTCAGCTGACCATGTCCTACAGCTGTCCCCCCTCTTCCCAGCCCCCTTCCCAGCCCCAAACCCCCTACCCTCCCACCCCTTCTGCAACCCCTCAGCAGCACCCCGGCTACGCCCAGCCACCGCAGCAAATGGTGAGTGCTGATGCCATCCAAGTTACACAAATGTAGGGTTTTTTCTGCACGTGTAAGGCCACGTTTGACACACCTGCGAGGAGTGCTGTGCTCATAGGCATGCTAAAAAATGACCAGACAGTTTGAAGTGAGCACTGCTTTGGAGTGAAGTTTGCAGTGGGTCAGAGTTGTTGAACTAAAAAGAGAAAAGCATGGTGTTTTTGGACTTGGAGATGGCTTTGTTATCCTGTATGAGCAACAACATACCACTGTCAGTAAATACTACATCTTGTACTAATAGCCTCACAAGCTAAATAGCTGTCCTGAAAATCATAAAGTCAATCCACCTCCTTCTTTTATAGAAATCTAGCTCTTTGTTTCTCTTTGTTTCGTCTTATAAAAGTCAAAGTTGTTTCATCTAAATCTATGAGATGACAAGCGCCTCTCTTTTCTAAAATCCTGTTTTCGTTGTCTTTTCGTTACTCCTTCTTGGTGTTTGTTGATATACATACATTCTCCAGAGCGTCGTAATTGTATATGCGTATTTTTATTTAATTTCTTGTCTCCTAATAGTAGCTGTTTTGCAGTATTTATCTTTGTAAGACTGGTTTTGAAACCTTATTTTGTTGACTGCATGGACAGTTTTACATTTTTAAAGAGAAAACCACACTGTTGTCATTCAGAAGTGTGATATTCAGGAAAGAATGACAAATAATACAAAATACAGTCTTCTTAAAAAGGACTTTTTAATAGTTTCATGAAGTATTCCTCTGTTCTTTGTAGACATTTGTTTCTTAACTGCAGGCAGCATATCACATTTGAATATAAGTGAAATATTAACCACATTCTTGTCCTTGTTTATCTACACTATATTCCTATTATTATTTATCTATTTTCATTCATGTATTAGGCACATTTAAATCTTCAGTAGAGATTTTAGATGAAGTACTCAAGAAACAAAAAACCTATAAGAACTTTTATAAATTGCTCTTAAAACACATATTTGCCAGATTCAAAATTTTCCATCTTCAATTTTAAAACTGCATATATATATCAAACTCTCTCAAGGAGAGGCAAACATTTACGATTAGATTTTTCACTTCAACTTTTCCATCTGGTGCTCTCTTCACTACAAATAAAGTCCAACTCCCAGGTTAGCAGAGCCTTAATAAATCAGCTCAGACTGATGTATTATTTACTGGCTGATTTTATCAGTTTGTTTGTTAATATACAAATCAAATGAAATTATAGTTCTGATTTATTTTTACGTCTCTCTATGATGTAATATAAGAGGTTCAAAGAGGCTAATGTCCTCTCCAAAGGTCATGTTTTGAGCTGAAACACTACTTTATCTTGTTGAACAACTTTGTAGTTAAAAATCTACATTTGCTTTTTTTTGTTCTTTGTCATTTTTAATTTCTAGACCTTTCCCCCATTTTTGTCACTTTTCAGTTTGACTCTTGTTTTATGTTTGCTGAAGATTTTTGTTTGTTTATAAAGTTTACTCAAGTTTTTTTCTTTATTATATATATATTTCTTTGGGTTATTGTGTTGCTCATGCTGTTTGTGTTGTTATACATCCCCTACTCCATTGTTACACATTTTCATGCGTACTGGAAAAACATTGATTCTGTGATTGATATGAAGCCAATGGTGATATAACCCTTTTCTCTTTTAGGAGTTGCAGCCCAGTTTTCACTGTTGTGACTCTTTATTGAAATGCTTTAATGTTTTTATTTAACATTTGAATTCAAGGTTTTTATGGTCACCTTTATTTCTTTTACTTATTTGATTACGTTGAGTTTACTTATTCTGTTAAGTTCTCATGTGGGTCCAGTAGTTGTGTTTGTTATTTTTGTGTTTGTTAATTTCTTTGTGTTTGTATTCCATGTCGGTCCCACCCTCCTCCATCACCCTACTCCCCGGCCCACAGCCTGCGTCCTGCCGTCGTCGCAATCGTAGCATGTCCGTATGCGTCCCCCCTACTTCCTACTCCATCTCCCACGCGCCTTTATCCCTGGCTGTCCGTCCAAAGCCACCCTCCACCCCTCCTCCAGACCTATCCTTCTCCTCATCCTCCCCCTGCATGCCTCTCTCAGCTGAGAGGGACACATTCGCCGGGCGCCTCTCCAAGGCCCTGGAGACAGTTCTCCCCCTTCACTCTGCCTCCTCCGTACCCAGCAGGGCCAGGCAGCGGAGGGCCAGCCTGCCAGCCCTGTTCTCCAGCCCTGTAGGTTCAAAAATCTTCATCTTAAAGATGTCACATGGGTGGTGAGAACCAGAGAGGAGAAGAGAGAGTGAAAGATGAGCCACAGTGGTGTCTGAAAGAAAAGAAGAAAAAAAAATCCAGGGTTATTTTTTATGTGCATGTGGTGAAGCTAACCCTGCAATCATGTTTAAAGTGTTTAAGTCTAAATGTATGTATTAGAAACATGCTGCTGCTGAATGAAACAGGGATGATTGGGTCATAAAACAGCTTGTATTACTCATGCTGATGCAGCAGTTGTGTTCATCACAGCTTTGTTCAGCACAAAAAAACAACTCATGATTCAACGCACATGATTCAGAAAATTAGATTTGCTGAAAAGTGAGTGTGCAGTATGAGTTTTACATCTCAGCAGCTTTTTCCTGCAGAGTTGATATTTATGCAGGGTCTGTTCTCTTCATTGTTATAATAGTTATTACATCTTCCATGCTGAGAAGTGTGCTATGACTTCAAAATTGGTTGCACCAAAGTTGTATGTTTCTGTCAAATCTAATATGAGGCATTAATTAAATAGAAAAAAGGCTGAATCTGTCTTGAATTGAAGCAGATTGGTGTGACATTAGTGTTTGTCAAACTTGGTTTGATTTCAGACGCTGATGTGAGCTCATCCTTCTTCCCAAACATCTCCTTTAACTCTCTCTGCCTCTTTTGGACCACAATGTGAGAACAGATCAACTAACTGAGCTGTAAGCTGTTCTATAACACACAAAATTCAATATCATGTGCATCTGCCATCAGGAAAACTGTCTTTTGATCATCAGGTGGCAGTAGCGTGGCAGTAGCGTGGCAGTAGCGTGGCAGTAGCGTGGCAATACCTGCGTCCAAATAGACTTGAAGCACTCTTTGGCTCTTTTACTGATCGTGTTTCTTTTTGTCTAGATCTTTGCTTGTGTTTTTGCTAAATGACTTTGTAACTTACTGAAGTGTCTGAGGGAAAAAGTACAAACAGAAGCTGAGACTCAAAGTGAAGGATGAGTATAACATGGACTTACAGACTTCACTTGTTAGTTTCTTGAGAATTACTCTAGAAACTTGCACAGAGGTGGAGATGATGCAGGTCAGTACAGCCTCTGATTTTGGAGTGTCTGCTCTACAAACTAAGTTCACCTGAAACCCCAGGACAGTAAAAAGTCAGCGATCAAGCCCAAACCTGACATTTGTACCAGGCTTTGAACATGTTTGATTCTGCTGCCAATACGGATTTTATTATGCTGATATAATATTTTTTTTTGTTTTTTTTTTACTCTTGAATTTGGCCTCAGGTGAATATTCAAGAAGTAAAAAGTCCTTCCCTGGCTGGTAAGAAAGTGCCCCTGAGAAAGAGCAAACTTAAGCCAGAAAGACTGTTTTCCTGAGTGCAGGTTCATCTGGATATTATTGAGCCCAGAGCCGTTTTCACTTTCCTCTCCTTGTATTTACGACCCAACTTTCTACCTTTGACTGTTTTATCTTTTGGTTGTCTGCATGTCTGCGACAGTCTGTCACTTTGTTTGTCTTCTTGCCTCTCCTCACTTCAGCTTTTAACTCATTTTTTACCCCTCTTTTTTTTCACGATGATTTTTTTATTTCCTCTTGTATCGTTTTGGAATTGATGCTCATGTATACACAATTTTCTCCATCTCGTGTTGGGCCGATGCTGTGTTTCTCTCTCTTATTTTCTGAGTCTCATCCTTAAATCCGTTGTATCTCATTGTCGCAGCAGCATTCAGTGCCACACCCTTACAGTGGTGGAGCAGCAGCAGGAGGAGGGAGCATCCCCCTGCCAAATCTCCCAGACCCCTCCACTATTTTCTTCCCCTCCATCCCAGAGCGGCCCATTTCTTTCTCTCCTCCGCCCACTGGGCCTCCGAAGGCCTACAACACCCAGAGACGCAAGAGCACCTCGATTTTGGAGGCGCACACCAGACACTTCCAGCCTGCCTATACTCGCTATGGCAGCAGCCTGCATCCTTTTTCTGGGATGGAGGGAGTAGAGACCCCCTCTCTTTTCATGATGAACCCCAGTTTTGCCCAAAGACTCGGGGTTGGGGAGCCGCTGCATCTCCCAGGACAGTCTGACCCAAGTTTGTACGGCTACAAAGACATGAGAGCAGAGCACGAAGAAGCAGTGAGGAGGTTGAGTCTTAATCAGGCGGCCTTATTGGACCATTATGAAGCAATGGCCTACGGAGGATACCAAATGACTGCACACCAGCTTTTCCATCAGCAGAGGCAAGCAGCAGCTGCAGCCGCTGGTTTGGGATATGAACCTGTTCCTCCACCACAACCAGCATTTTTGCACCCGCATCTAATACAAAGAATGAGCGCCCACAGCCCCATTCCTCAGCCTTTAACACCAATGAGTGCTCCTGCAGGTGGCACTGCTCCTCCTTCTTCTTCTGATGGATGCTATCCTCCACAACAGCATGCTTCTCCATCTCCTTTCTCCATCTCTGCTCCTCCTGTGATGGCTGATGCTCCACCGCCGGGTGGAAGCATGTTTGAGTTTCATTTAGCCGCAGCAGCCGCCGCTGCTGCCGGGGATCCAAGTGTCCTTGCGTCCAGACTCTTTAGAGCCCGGCGGAGCTCCATGGACCTCCCTCTAGAGGACAACACTGGAACTGGATCAGGAGGTTCAGGCACATACAGCCGCCTCCAGCCTGTGACGGAAGAGCTGTACACATACGCCAGTCCTGAGCTCCCCATCCCTCCAGGAAGTCTTCTTCTCCACCACACAGGCATAGCAGTAAAAGACAGAAGCCCTGAACCCTCTAGTGACTCTATGGCCTCCTCTGACGCCGGGGAGTTCCAGTCGCCTCCCCCACCTCCTCTCCTCCAATCATATGACTCCTCTGCTGCTCAGTCCATCCCTCACACTTCATCCGCCTCCCTATACGACTCATCTGTGGGAGTTTATCCCGTAGACCCCCAGGGACATCCGCCCTCTATGCAGAGCTTTCTCCCCCCGACTCCGTCCTCTGAGCTCCCGCTGGGGGGAGCGTCATCAACTCAGCTGGAGTCTCTGATGCAGAGCACCTGGGCCCGACACGGAGGAGTGGTTCCAGCCCAGCCTGATATGACGTACCATGAGTCATTGCTGGCCATGCAAGCCACTAACCCAGCTCTGGTACTAAGTTGAGACCTTAAATTCCCCCGTTTACCCTTGGGTTGATTACTAGTTAAAATAAGATCAGCTGCTTTTGAGCAAAGATCCACAAACACCTGTTGATTCAAGGTAACCTTGATAGTTTGGAGTTCTGCGCCCTCTCTTTCTTATGGTCGAAAACTATTCTTTAAAGAAGCTAATTGGCAATGTGTGGATCGTTCTTTGGAAAGTAGCTGATTGAATCCACATTAGTACTTTGACCCAAAGGCTTTTAAAATCCCAGTTTTTTGTTTACCCAGGAGCCCCCGCTGAAGCTTCCCTGTCGTTATATAGTCTGTGGTTGTGATTTTAATCTCCCCCAGAGTGAGTCTCATGCTCTGCCCTCTGAATGTCTCACAAACATCATCTGACTCTGTTTTTCCATCCAAACATGTCAGTCAGATGCTTAGATCCACTGCTGTACAGATATCATACTGGGGAGGGAATGACTCAGAACCGGGTTTTGTACATTCAGAACCAGAAACCTTTTTATGAGATCATTCAGGGGGTCATCTTTGAGATCCACTCTGGTGTTCAAGCTTTATATGCAAACAGTCTAAGCCCTCTTCTTTCTGTGTTTATGTTGTGATTTTATTTAGTTTTATTTTCTGTCAGTATCAGTAAGTACTCTTTTGTTTGTATGTTCATATATGAATGTATATGAGAAATGTGTGTTTGTGGAGGTATATTGTACGTGTGTATGATATACTTTCATTTCCGCTCATGCAAATTCAAAGTCCATTAAGTCCCGAGAATTTCTTAGTTCCTTAAATTCGCAGTCACTGGGCATCTACAAACCTTTACACATACTTTAACATGAAAATTAGAGAAAATCATATGTATACGATAAGACTGTGAGACTTTGTTGATTTGTATGAACAAACACACAGAAACATACAACAAAACAAAGAGGGCTCAGACAAACGCAGCAATGTAACCACGCAGGCAGAGATGTTTTCTGTATATTTCGACTGTTTTGTTTTATAATCGCTAAAGATACTGATGCTACGTCAGTTCTTTATTATGGCATACTGTGTTGTCATTTCCTGTCCAGACTGGAAATCATCCTCTTGCAAAAGGTTCAAAGGTCACAGTCCAAAATCATTAAACCCTTTGAATGCTGATATTACCGATCCCACCTTTACTTTCTTTATTGTTTACTTTGAACCGCTCACAATCACTGGTCTCCTCACTTTTTTTATCTTATCTGTTAGTACTTTCTTTTCTTTTACATCACTTTATTACTCTTTTTTTTTTAAATCTTTATAGACGTTTTATTTGTGAGAAATCAGTTTTGTAAACCCTGTGCTGTGTTTTCGTGAGTGCTTGTGATGTTAGGAAAAAGGTAGGTGGCAGTGTGTCCGATGTCAAATCTACCACATTAAAGTGAAGGCAGGAATCATGACAGGTTACTCATAACAGTCTAGTTTTTATTTAGAGAAAGCTGTACTGATGCAAAGTAAATAATTCAGATAGTTGTCAATTCAAGCTTCGACTTGATTGCTCAGTAGGAATGTTTCTCAAAAGTATTTCAAGATACAAAAACCTGCTGATTTTAAAACATGAGGGTAAAAACTCAAAACTAGATTATCCAACTGAAAACAAATCCTCCAACTATCCAAATTGCCCCAAAGTGATTGTATAACAAACTTCTATGAATCAATCACAGCTCAATATGATTCAGATGGGCAGCAGCTTTTATTTAAACAGGAATGGGAAGATCTGACGGCTTTAAATCCTGATGTATTTACGACTCTTTACTTTGCCCTGCATCTAATTTCATAGTTAGGAAGTGTTTGGATTCTTGCAAAAAGGAGTTCATTTTAAATAGTTAAGTTTAAATCCAATATTTCCATTTCAACAGCAGATATTTCAGCTTCCACTTTTTGGTTTATTGATGTTTTATCACTGCTGATCACTTCGGATTTGCATGCAAAGAAACCCTGTACTTACACCCTGCCTAACCCCAGTACTGTGCCTGTACTGTTATTTGAGCTCCACTAGCTGTGTTTATGCATAAAACTGTGTCTGTACAGATATTTGTGTATCTGTGTTTGTGTGCATGTGTGCATACACAAGAAGACCGACTTTAGGAACCAATCAGTAGACTAAACATACCTTGTGTTTGCACTCATGAGTGTTTTCTGACGGAGTAGCAACAAACCTTTTCTGATTGTTTCTTGTTTTCTCTCTCTCTTGATTTCTTCTCCAACGTTGCTCCTCTTCTTCCCTCTCTGTTTGTCTCTCTGTGAATCTGTCTTCCAACAGCAGGTTCAGACCCCAACCCCGCAGCCCTCTCCAGGACCCCCTCTGGTCCCTGCCACCACCCAGCCTGCTCCTCTTGGGACCTCCCAACAGGTAGAGCAACAAACTCAACAGCTGAAGCAGCTGCTTCTCATAAAAGCAGCTTCCTCATATCCTTATTCATCACTTTTCTAACTTTTTATTAATACTGTATCCCCTCGATGTACAAACCCCATGAAGATAACAACAAAAATAACTCCACAGTATTTTACTGTTATACAGTAATAAATCCTATGTCGGCTTTTTCTCTTTGAAGTTGTTGCCCTTGCTTGAAGGTTACCCCTCCCACAGAGCTGGCACTTCGCCCACAGTTATACCACAGTATCTCTGTGTTTGCCCCCAGCACAAAAACTCTGTGATGGACTAATTGCAGCCTTGAAATGATTTGATTGAGCATGAAATTAATCATCGGAGATCAAATGTTTCTTGTCATAAAAAGATGAAATATATTCAGTTCCCTTATTTGAACTATCCATTCTCCTATGATTTCACTCACCCTGATTTATATAGGGTGTGTTCCTGTGCTTAAAACTGTGTTCGAATCTTAAAGGAGATTTTATGCTGACAGTCATTTTGGAGAGTGCTGTCACATGTTTTTGAACTTTCTGAAAGTTGTTTTTACTTGCTTCAAAACCACTCAGGAAATTAACAATAAAGGAGATAACATATAACCAAATTTAATAAGGTAAATATGTCTTTCCCAGCTGGTGTTTTCCATATAACTCAGTTTTCTCATAACTGGGATTTGAGCTAATCCTTGTTATTAAGAGTCTGACATGATGGTGAACTGCTCTCGTAAAAAACAAGGATCTTTGTATGAAAAATGTTTATGTTCTATATATTTGGTCATTTCACCTCTTTTTTCTTCTCTTTTTTCACTCTCTTTCCCTCCTCTCTCCAGGTCATTTCATCCAGTCAGAGCAGCGCTTCAGTTCAGAGCCCCATACATGCATCCCTGCCGCAGGCGTCAGCACAGGTACAGGAAAGCAGCAGCATTAAGTCCAATATATGTAACACAATACTTCATAAATATATCCCTAATGCACTCAGCTGTCAGTTGTTCTGGATTCAATTTAAGCTTCCCATACATTCCTTCATTCGACTTTACCACACACACCTGCACACACACACCTGCACACACACACACACACACACACACACACACAGTAATTACACACACTTGAACTTCTGCACCCATATTAAAACTGCTGCTAGTTTATTACAGGCAAGAACTGAATAAGTCAAGAATACACCTCAGGGTTTTGTTCACCTTTACAGAGTCTGTCAGAGTTGTTTTACGCTTGACTGTATTTTATTCACACATGAATACACAAATGCAAACATGGACAGACACGTCTACTTCACAGAAAGAGATCAACATTCAGTAGAATTGTGTCAACAATTCCTTCATGATATTTGAGTCAGTTGTGTTAAATTCACTGATGATATTAAATCTTTAATAGGTTAGTGTTGAGGTGGTTTAAAGATCTCATCGTTTGAATTGAGAGTTTAAAATGTGATGTGAAAATTGAAAGAGTCCACTCCTATCTCAGCCAATTCTGGTTATTTGATGAGTCATGTGACTGATAGGTTATTATTTAATCTTTCTCAAGAACTCCAAAAGCTAAGTTGATGAAGTATTTGTGCCGATTTTGTCTATCCTATCATCATAGCATGTTTTACCGTTTGATCCTGAATGTGAGCTCAGTTTCTGTTGTTTTTCTGTCTGTTCTGTCTCTCTTATCCGCATGCTGCCTGTGCACATCACCTGGTTTGAGTTCACGTGTGTTTTCCTGTGTGTGTTTTTTTGTGTGTTTGCCAATATGTTTATCTTTTTGGTTAAAAAAAAACCTCTTTAGTTTTGTGACCTGAGTCCCTCCCCCAGTTTGGAGCATCTGTTTTTTCTATATCAAGCTGCTCAGCTAGCTCTGGTCCAGGTATCGTTAAATTTTGTAGAGTTTTTATGTATGTCTGTCTTTCTGTGTGTGTTATTGTTTGTGCGCACTTTTGAGAGTAACATGTGTAATCTGTGTTTTTGTACTTTGTGGATAAAGTTTTGGCAGCATTTCTACTCTGATACATCTTCTTTTATGTTTCCAAGGCATAAATTGTGAGCACACTTTGGCATATTATTGGCATAGCTTATTTTTTGGAGATGCAGATGGAGGATAATATTACCTCAATCAGACAGACAGCAGCTTTTATTCAAACAGCATCACCAGGACCACTTTCATCATGCTTGTGTCCTTCTTTCTATTGTTACCTTGTTTACAATCCGGTAGTTTGTGAGAATATTTTGAGATCAGTAATGTTTGTGTTTGCATACAGCTGCTGCAGCTTAAGTGATTCAATGCAACCTTTTCTACTGTCTCTGATTGTTTTTTTACAATAACTGAATGTATAATAGCATTTAAGTTTGACGTGCAGCAGGAGGTTTCCGTGCATTTTGTTATCACATTGATGGAAAGCAGCTGACTTGAGTTGTAGCTCTTTGAAGCTGTTTATTTGTTTGTAGCATGCAGAAGCAAACTCTTCTTCTCTTCTTTGTCCCAGAATCAGGACTTTGAATGCATCTGCTCTGAGTTAATTTTCTCTATGTGATGTATGAAAAAGTCTTGTTGTAATTTAGCCATCGCTCCTGACCGGTGTAGGAAAAATACTTGCTCTTCTTCTACCATAATTACTGAACACTGTGGGGATCCAGGTTTTTTAAGGTTGCATGATTTCTTTGAGGAGTCATGTGTGTGTGTTTTTTATTTAAACCACCATCCCGTCACAGGGTTTGTGGTTTTATTTTGTCCTCACTAAAAGGACTGAGTTGTCTTGCTCTGAAGGCTGTTTGTTGAGGGTCTTGCAGTTGAAGTCCACAGTCATGGATCAGTGAAGTTTTAGTGAATTAATATAAAAAAATAATCACTGAAGTTAATCATAATCAAGGCTGTTTATTTTCTCACTTGAAGTCACGGTATAGATAACAAAAGAAGCTGTAGTTTACTGATCCATCACTGAGGCAGTGCTCATCACATCTGACCACTTGCCGGGTTGACCAACATCCTTATCCTCCCTATAACTTTACCGCCTCCCTTTTTCTCACCTTTTCCTCCCACATTTTCTGCTTCACCCACCCTCTTATTTCTCTTTCTTTCTTATCTGCCCTCCTTCTCTTCCTCTTCCTCTTCCTCTTCCTCTCCTTGGCCCTTCTCCTCTTCTCAGCCCAGTGTTACTCCATCTGCTATATCCTCGGTGACCCCGCCCTCTCCGCCATCCCTCCCCGTTACCATGCCAACCACGGCCGTGGCCTCCCTCCCCCCTCCTCTTCCGGTCCCTGTAAGAGTGGTGCCCACTACCGTTGTTTCCCCTCCTTCTCCTCTTCCTCCTCCTCCTCCTCCTCCTACTGTGCCCACACCTGTGCCTCAGCCGTTGGCCACTGTGGTGCCAATCATCAGTGTAGTCACCGCCCCACCTGATACCCCCATGGAAGCCCCTCCCCAGGTACTGGACTGTCAAACCCATCACGTGGATTCCAGGTCCTGAGGCTGAATGCTGTAGTGTTTGGTTCACATCAGTTCTACAGTCTTTAATTTCTATCAGGGATTCAAAGTGGTGGTTTTGTTTTTTTAAGTAGTCTTATAAATGATGGATGTCAGTTCTGGACGTGGACAAAGCTTCGATTGGAAGGACAACAAGAACCATATGAAGATTACTCAAATTATGGTATTACCGTTTGGTAAAATTCCTTGTAAGGGTATATTATGTGTTTATGGTGCTGGCAACTTTCTGTTCCTCACCAAACTTCCTGGGTCAAATCACTGATCCAAAACATACAGCCATATTTCATGATTTGTCATTTCAAGAAGAGAAACATCAGTTTACTCAGTGATGACAACTATGTGGCATGGCAACAGTGGACGAGGGTTATTGAGTGTCGGTTCCAGAGTGCTCTCAAGTGTCTTAAAGAGACAAAAGGTGGAATTAAGTGTTCCTGGATGAGGCTGAAATTAGTTTTCAAAGACACTCATTTGGGATAAGGGAAACGTCTTGAGCTCTAAATTGTGTAAAGACACAAACAAAAGGATTAAAAGGACTGCTTATGGAACTTCAGGGTGTTTGAATTTTAATTCCAGCTGTCTGAAATCAATACGAGCAGTTTCCAGAGTGCTGATAAAACATCTGAAACATTACAGACAATAGAGGTAGACGTCCTCACTGCTGTGTCATCAAAGCTACTTCATACTTTCACACAAACAGAGAAGAAATGAGTAAACATAAAAGAGGTTTGAGAATGTTTTACTTTTTGTAAGTGGTCAAAGAGTGTGATGTGAGCCAGTACAGACCAATACTGAGGCGTTAGTGAGTAACAGACTACAGCAGGTGAGTGAGGAATCCTAGACTAAGCTCTAGACTAAGATCTTGACTTTTTCAGTGAAGTTAATTTTCCTGCGATTCTCACTGTACCAAGATATGCAAACAAAGTTTACAAAAACTCAAACTACACTTTGTTATAGCAGTGTGGTAGATGATATGCCAAGTCTATTGTATGGACTATTTTATTGTATTCCTTTGGAGTAGAAGTAGAGATTTCACAAGGGAAACAACATCTAAACAGCTATTGTCTGTTTTCATGTTTGTTGTATTTGCAGAATATTATTTTAATGATGGCTTTTGATGACTGGACAGTTTTCAGACTTGGTTTAAGTCCTGCAGGATATACTTGTGATGAAATGCTTTCCTGAGCCATTGACAGATTCAAGTTTAAAAGTCATGGATCAGGCATGTTTGCAGGTTCATCCTTACCTGTGAGTGAACTGACTGCAATGGTTAGCTTTTTGTTTTATAGCACATACTGACCATTTTGGTCAATAATAACATGTTTTATCAGAAATACTGGATGTTTACAACGAATAAGATACACTTTTCTTCCTTCATTCCCTAGTCGTAGTTGGTATTTGACCTCATTTAGATTATTTCCAAGAAAAATATTCTAGCGAGTCCTTGCTTCTCTTGAGTCTTGAAGATTTATTGCAATCTGGTAATTTATTTTCTCTAACTCTCGTCTCCCCTTGGCTTGAATTTCATACTCTTCATGTTTTTTTTTCCCTACAGTTCCCCTGCTGTTAAATGCTGATAGCAATCACACTGCCTGTGTATTTTTAATGCATTATAAATGTGCTTGTGTTTCAGTCTGCCTCTCAGTCTTCAGAACTGTCCCAGTCCCAACTACAGCCACCTCAAGTCCTTTCATCAATCGAAAGGTAATCGGTGCTCACAAAACCAAACTCCTGCATTCACTGAATTTATGTTGTACTCTAAGAAAAGCAAACGCTCTTCAAGTTTGACCTTTGTGCAGCTGTCCTTCCTTGTTAAATCTGTCCTCTTTATCCTCAGTGGTCACTCTGAGACTTCAGGCCTGAGTGACGGCAACGAAGGAGGGGGAGGCCGCCATGAAGGCCGCTCCACCAAACGTCATCAGAAGCGCTCCGTGCGGAGTCGATCACGCCATGAGAAGATCTCCAAGGCCAAGCTGAATGTTCTCAGTGTAATGATTTATCCCATAAATCTATTTAGCCATAATTGAACCATAAATCCTCTGATGAAGCCTTCGTTTGTTGGTATTTATTGGGTCATTACAGAGTTATGAAGCGCAGTAAAAGTTAGAAAATAGAAACATCCAATCAGGAAACTTATCTGTTTGTATTCTGGCATCTTCTCTCTAATTGTGCGTTTCTGTCCACCCCTTAAATTTTCTTGGTGTCCTCATGTAGATTTCAAACCGAGGAGACAGGGTGGCGGAGTGTCAACTTGAGACACACAACAGGAAGATGGTGACTTTCAGGTTTGATCTGGATGGAGACAACCCTGAGGAGATCGCGCAGATCATGGTACACATGCCATCAAATGATTTATTTTCCACACAACTGTTGATTCATTGACTTTGTCTCTCCGGTCATATTCATTCCTCTGTGAAAAGGTCGGCGTTAACTGCAGAACAGCCTGTGTGCCGTCTCCGTGAACAGGTTTTCGCACAAGGCAAAATAGCACTTCTCTGGCCTTGCTGCAGACCATCGTATTCATCGCATGTGACACACAAACTTACCCACATTGTAATCTGACTTCTTCCCCTTTGTGTCTGTGTGCAGGTCCAGAGTGAGTTCATCCTGGAGAGTGAGCGGGAGTCATTTATTGAGCAGGTCAGAGAGGTGATAGAGAACGCTGATGAGAAAGGTCTGGAGAGAGACACGAGCAGCAAGGTCAATTTAAGACTTTAAATGTCTTCGTTTGATTCTCTCTTTGTCCTCCTTTTTAATTTTAGATGTTAAAGATGTTTAAGAGTTAATTTGGTTTTATAAACTGCTGCTTTTGATGCCTCTGTTCAGTGCATGTTCATGAGTATGTATCTTGTCAATCTACAGATGGTCGGTGATATAGTGCAGCAGATTCCTGCTATATCTGTCCCAATGCAAGGTAAATACAACAATGTAGAAACACAACAACAGAGAAATTTCTGATTTTTCCTTTTTTATTATGAGCATCTACTTTTCATCCTGATGCTAACCTAGATAAACTGATTAAAAAATCACAGTTTTCATATTTTCTCCCACATATTTTAATCCTGTATGTGATTTATCTCCTCCCAGACATCCCACCCAGTGCCACGGCTCAGGTGGTCCACTCAGCAGGTCGGCGGTTCATCGTCAGCCCTGTACCAGAAGCCCGGCTGAAAGAGCAAATGTTCCCACCTTCTCCTTCTCCCTCTCCTGCCCCTTCAGCTGCTCCTGTTCTAGCTCCTCCTGTTGAGTCAGGTAAGAATGGAAATATCACTGAAGTGATTACCAAACAAGGACAAACACAATTATGTACAAGGTTGAAACAGATAAACTAGAATCGTCGCACGCGCACACCAAAAGGGAGTGCACTCTGCCACACACACACACTTATCAGATTAGACTGCAAAGCTTTTAGAGGAAATTGCAAAAATGTTCTGTCCAAATGCAATAACACACTGACATTCATTTAATTTGATAACATCCCATCCTCTGGTGGAACACTGGAATATAAAAGCTGTTCCTGATCTTGATTTGGATAATGTGGAATTGAGTAGCAGTCTGAAAAACACAATTTGCAAAACACAAAGTTCAAATATTGTAGCGTAATTTCAAGCACAAGCTCCAGCAGGGGTTTAAAATCCTCCATTATTTTATGAATATTGCAAAGAGGATTCAGCGGCGTCATTGTGTTTACTGGATTAACATACTCCTGTGGTATAAATCCATCAAATTTCTCGTGCGACGGTAACCCAAATCACAGGCGCCTAACGACCGTGTCCTCAGTCTAACTTTGACACATGATGTGACTACTGAAGCAACCATAACAAGACAGCCCTCTGTGACGGCCTAAAATAGCACCTGAAGGAGGGCGCACTACTTTAAAATTGTAGGATACGCATCAAACAAATGATTGCAGCAGAATGAAAAACATGAACTTTTTTAACTTTTTACCTTTGAATATTCACATCGTCATCTTCAAACTTTAAGTTTTCATTCTCCAAAAATGGATCCATAACTGAACTAATCACTCAGACCCTTAAAATTGGTTACTTTCTCCTTTGACTAAAGTTACCTCCTTTTTATATGTTGTCTTGTGTTATGGAATTTTTTATGACATCCAAAACAAATACATTTAGTCCAACTATGTGTGCTTAAAATACCTCTCCCCCTGCATAACTTTGTGCCTCAGTTGGGCCATCCTCTGACCCATAAGCCTCTGGGATTAAAACTGGGTGTCTGTTTATTTTTCCAGTCCCTCCAGCGTCAGCTCCAGCTCAGTCTCAGCCTCCAGTCCAGGGTATGCTGCTGTCCCAGTCTGCAGGAGCAATCAGCCTACAACAAGCCTTCTCTGAGCTCAGACAGAACCAGACCCAGTTCGACACAGGGCCCAGCACAGCCCCCGCCACCATCCACTCCACGCATCCTCCTCTGCAGCCTGCAGCAGCTCCTGTCCCCTCACAGCCCAGCTCTGTCTCTCCTCCTGTGGATGCTACTGTTCGACTTGTCTCCTCTAATTTAACACAGGAGCAGGTCTTAGAAACCCCATCCTCCGTCCCCTCTCCTGTGCCTGCTGTCTGTCTCAGCCCTCCTTGCTCTGCCTCCCCCCCTCCTCCTACTTTGGTAAATCAGTCCGTCCTTCAGTCACAGGTACTTTCACAGCCGGGGATCATTCAACCTCAGGGACAGGCGCAGGTTCAGGCTCAAGCACAAACTTCCCAACCCCTCCCTCAAACTGTCCCTGCTGTCACTTTAGTCCCTTCAGTTATACCACCATCCAGCATCCTCCCAACGATGCTTACCTCCCCTCCTCCTTCGCAGATTGCTCCCTTTGTTTCCTCACCTCCCTCCTCCACTTTCATACCAAGTGAAGTCTCCTCTGATCACCCGTCAGGCTCCCCCATCTCCTCCTCCTCCACTCCTTTGCTCTCCTGCAATGTCATCCCCACAACTGCCATCCCAGGCCCACAGCTCGCTCCTTCTGCTGTAATATCCTCTCCTCCTCCTTCCACCTCCTCATCTGCTGCGGGGCTCCAGCCGGTGACCACCAATGTTCCTGCAGTGCAACCAACTCTGGTGCACTCGCAGCCGCAGACAGCTGCGCTCCCAGGGCAAACGCATACACACTGTGGAGAGTGTGACGCAAGGTGAGGAGTGGATAACATGTCGCTCTATAGTCACTTTATTTTTTACAGTGAGATTGAGCATTTTTAGCAGATGTATCGTAGAAGCTCTTGTGGAAGAAGATTCAGGTAAAGGTGAAAGTTCTGTTTCACCTTTTTGTTAAAGTTGAAGGCTTGCTAAATTAAGTCATAGTGAAAAAGTAAAAAGCTGATTTTCCCTCTTGTAGAGAAACAAAATCATTCATTAATGTCTTCATCAGATGTGAATCATCTACTGAGTCTCAGGGCAAACCCGATGACATCCAAGCCCTCGAGAAGAAGCTGCGCTCTCTCTTTATGGACCTCGGCGGCGGGGTGTCTTCAGCAGACATCCTAGCTTCTGACCCTGCTTCTGGAGCTCACGCGGCAGGTACTTCATCTCCGATAGGACCCTCTTCTACCTCCAGCACATCTGTCGCCACCCCTGGCACCAGCCTGCCTGCCAATCCTCCCCAGCCTCCCTCCAGCTTGGCACTGGGGTCTCTGGGATCACCTGCTGCAATCCAGGGACCTGGAACTCCGATCTCCACCCCTGCACAGATCGGTATATAGATGAATACAGTTACATCATCTGTATGTGGCTTCCTTTAGCTTATATTTAGTCATGCTCACCAACTTTTCGATTTCAGTTTCTACAGTCAGCCCTGCCTCAACCTTTGGCCAGACTACTCCATCCAAACCCCCTTTGTCCAGGGTACCGGTGAGTGACCCAGTGTCCTTCATTTATTAAGTTAAAATCTTTGACTTGTTGTTAATGCTTTGGTACGCTAGCAGACAATAATTTAACGTTAAGAGAACCTGCTCAGTTAATTTTACAGTATTTCACTTACATGGTCTTGATGTTTTTACTCACTTTTCTTGGCATGAAAATATCTTTTAACATCCTCTACAATGACCACTCTTCCCACAACTTCCCTCCAAATCTCCTCTGTCTCATCTCTCCCTCTCTCTCTCATCTTGTCACATCTCTTCCTTTGGGATTAGGCCAGTTCTCCTACTTCAGAACTCCTGCCATCTTTCCCTGGACCTTGTCTAATACAGGTGTTTTAGAATTTTCTTTCCCTTTACTTCTGTTTAGAGATTATCCCTGGTACATTGCCATACGCATGCTGTGTCTTTGATGCTTAGGATTACTGCTTCATGTCCTACCTGTTGCTTTTAAGCACTGCTTTTGTCATGCAAAAAAAAAAAAACCCTGTTATGTAACTGAGAGGGGAAACTCAAGATGTTCAGTCTCACTCCAAAAAAGGCTATTTCAGTCTTTACGAGTCAAGAAAAGCAACAAAAGAACTCACAAGGGTGAAGGATGCACCATCAAACAGACACACTCAGATACACACTCTTTGAAGTACAATGAAGGGAAAAGAAAAACACAACTAGCTAGAAAGACAGAGGTGGTAGGAAGACAAGCTGAGGGGATAAGGGGTCTGATTTACCGTAGATTGAGACATTAATAACTTCTGTCAAAGAAGTATCCTGTCATTTAAAGGTACAGTGTGTAGTTTACAGCGGTGTTTAAAAGAATCGACTCGGTGAAACTGGAGGATAATATATGTTTAAAAAAACATGCCTACAGTATTTTACAACTACTTGAACTCTTTATGTTGACTCTGAGTGAGCCGACATAATTAGTTATGAACCAGAGAACTTAAGAAAAAGGAAGATCACACTTAGCATCACAGGAGCTTCTTTCCTTTAGGCCGCTGTAGCTTCACCAGTGTGAGGGACGAGCAAGCGGGCATTTCAATCCAGAATCTGAATATTGCTGAATATCTACAAAGTCCTGTAGGTGACTTTTTTTTAATTCACACGTACAATTTAGTATCTTGGACGTGCGTTTTAGTATACCGCAGGTGCGATTTAACTGTTCGTTAATAAACAAAATCACTTCTGTAAGTCCGAATATCGCAGATGGCAAAGCCGCTGTGCTTTAAGGATCCTGATGAGGCGTCTCCTACTCAAAACAATACCAAATGTGGCTAAGCTATTAAGTATCTCTTATACCTAAATGAAAGGAAATATTGATAATATGCTCTTTGTCCATAACACCGTCCTTCTTCTCTCACAAATGAGACACGCAGAGGATTATTTACAAATATGCATGCACAAGATACAAATAAAACGTATATACGAGATACGAATTAAAACGTACGTTTGAGATACTAAAATGCACATACGAATCAAAAAAAAAAATTCATGTCACCTCCCGGGCTCTCTGAGTATCTACATTTCTACACACTGTACCTTTAACCTCTAATGGGTGATACATCATCAGCGCCCCCTACAGGAAACCTGACCTACAGAGGTAACATTTTACAACTTGGGCAAGACCAGTCCTGTTATTTAGTCCTGCCGTCATCAGATGTGATTTTGATCATTTATTTATTTTACAGTAAAAACACTGAGCTAGAGTACTTTGTGTGTGTGTGTGTGTGTGTGTGTGTGTGTGTGTGTTGCTTTTGTTTCACTTTACCTGTGTTTGTGCAAGTCCATGCTTTTGGTCCAGTTTTGCTTGAGTCAAAAAAAGCTGAGTGGCTACTAGAGTTCAGCTTTATTTAACCCTTGTGCACCCCTAAGGACCGTTTTGGTCCTTCGTAACTATACTTTTGTGGATAATTTTGGCTGTGATGATGCAAATGGCATGAAAGTTTGTCAAAGTGTGCAATTTTAGGTGCAATTTATTTTTTTTACTTTTTTCTTCCTTTGACCTTTTTTGCATGTGAGCAATTTTTATACTTCAGTTAACACCCCTAAGGACCGAAACGGTCCCATTGACTCCCATTAAAACATGTTTTCTTCAATACGCTGCCAATGCAGTATAATTTTTGGAAATTTTTTTTTTCTCATGTACACCTATTCTTTGAGGGTCAAACTGTTTTTTTTTTTATGTCGACCAGCAGATGGCGCCATTTTTCTTTTTTCCTGCCATACCCTTTAGAACCAGAGGGGCACTGTTTTCCCTTTGTCACAGAGCTGGTTTATTTCATGCATATAGATAGATAGATTGATAGATATATAATTTATTGACCCCAAACTGGAAAATTCTCATGTTACAGCAGCAAAAAAATACAAAATAGAATTAAATATAAGAAGAAATATGTACAATGCAGACTAAAAATACTAAATATATACATTGAATACAGGCTAAATATACTAAACATCTTTAGAGAGAAAATACATTCAATAAAAACTATTTAGGTGTGATTTAGGGACATCATGGATTATGTGCATGTGTTTTCATGAATTACTTATGTGTGTGTGTGTGTGTGTGTGCATATGCAGCCATGAGAATAGCCAAAATCCTTCCAGAAACAGCGGCAGTTGTACAATCTGCACCTGCAGTTTCCTTCTGTGTGTGTGTGTGTGTGTGTGTGTGTGTGTCTGATTGTGTGTGTGTGATTGTGTGTCTGATTGTGTGTGTGTGCGCACGTGTGTGAGCAAGCTCATGAGGTTCATAGCGGGCACCTGATCAATGTGAGTGCGTAAAAGCAAGCAAGGAAGGGATGGAGTGTGTGTGTGTGTTTGTGTGTTAGTGTGTGTGTGTGTGTGTGTGTGTGTGTGTGTGTGTGTGTGTGTGTGAGTGTGTGTGTGTCTGTGTGTGAGATTGTGTGTGCGAGCGTGTGTGCGTGTGTAAGCGCACGCACGAGGTTCATAGCTGGCACCTGAAGAGGGAGGGCTTCATCAACTTGCTTGTGTAAAAGCAAGGGATGGATGGATGGATGGATGGATGGATGGTGTGTGTGTGTGTGTCTGTGTGTGTGTGTGTGTGTGTGTGTGTGTGTGTGTGTGTGTGTCTGATTGTTTGTGTGTGTGTGTGTGTGTGTGTTTGTGTGTCTGATTGTTTGTGTTGTGTGTGTGAGCGAGCGCACGAGGTTCATAGCAGGCACCTGATCGATGTGCGTGCGTAAAAGCAAGCAAGGGATGGATGGTGTGTGTGTGTGTGTGTGTGTGTGTGTGTGTGTGTTTGAGATTGTGTGTGAGATTGTGTGTGCGTGCATGCATGTGTGAGCGCACACACAAGGTTCATAGCGGGCACCTGAAGAGGGAGGATATCATCGATGTGCGTGCATAAAAGCAAGAGATGGATGGATGGATGGAAGGATAGATGGATGGTGTGTGTGTGTGTGTGTGTGTGTGTGTGTGTGTGTGTGTGTTATACACTACAGAAAAAAAAAATCTTTTCAAATCAATTTTCTCATCAATGTTTACCAATCCCATGCTCTTATAATCAAAAGTTTAAAAAAACGATTGAATTGGAAAATAATTCATCAAGTTTGTTTTTTGACTTAAAATAATATCAGGTTTTTACAAAAAAGACTGACGTTTATGGGGTTAAAATACAAAACCTGAATAAAGTTTTGCTATTAATGATTAGGTTATAAGTCAATGATGGCAGCCAAAAAATAAAATAAATAAATATATTTATTTAGACAATATTTCTACTGCAGCAAAATGGAGGGGACCGTTTCGGTCCTTAGGGGTGTTAATCGAAGTTTTTGTTATTATTCAACACTACAGAAAAAATACAAATCCTTTCAAATCAATTTTCTCATCAATGTTTACCAATCCCATGCTCTTATAATCAAAACTTTAAAAAAACAATTGAATTGGAAAATAATTCATCAAGTGTGTTTTTGGACTTAAAATAATATCAGGTTTTTACAAAAAAGACTGGCATTTATGGGGTTAAAATACAAAACCTGAATAAAGTTTTGCTATTTATGATTAGGTTATAAGTCAATGATGGCAGCCAAAAAAAAAAAAAATTAAATATATTTATTTAGACAATATTTCTACTGCAGCAAAATGGAGGGGACCGTTTCGGTCCTTAGGGGTGTTAATTGAAGTTTTTATTATTATTCAACACTACAGAAAAAATACAAATCCTTTCAAATCAATTTTCTCATCAATGTTTACCAATCCCATGCTCTAATAATCAAAAGTTTAAAAAATCAATTTGCATTTATAGGATGGAAAATAATTCACTAATTGTGTTTTTGGACTTAAAATAATATCAGGTTTTTACAAAAAAGACTGGCATTTATGGGGTTAAAATACAAAACCTGAATAAAGTTTTGCTATTTATGATTAGGTTATAAGTCAATGATGGCAGCCAAAAAAAAAAAAAATTAAATATATTTATTTAGACAATATTTCTACTGCAGCAAAATGGAGGGGACCGTTTCGGTCCTTAGGGGTGTTAATTGAAGTTTTTCTTAGGGGTGCACAAGGGTTAAGCATTAAAATCAAGTATTGCAAACTGACTGTTTCAGGAGTTATCAAGCACATGCTGTATTTGCTGAGCATCATTAAGACAATCTGAAGTCCTAGGAGCCGTACTTATGAGCTTTGAGCTTACCTGCGCTTGAATCTGTGCTTATTAAGTCATTTAGTGTGTGAATCTAAATTTGCATCTTTTTCCTCTTCCAGTCCCAGCAGCCTCTGGAGGACCTAGATGCTCAGTTAAGACGGGCACTAAGCCCTGAGACGGTTCCTGTCAGCACACACACACAGGTAAACACACACACATACACACACACACACACGTTTGATGTTCTACAAACTCCTTAAATGTGACAACGCTGGTCTCACCGATTTCCATCTCTTTTATATCACCAATTACAGGCGTCTCACAGTGGTGCACCTTCAGTGGGACATCCAAGTATGTACATTCATTTATCGTTTTACCAATCTGTGCGTGCCTGCATGTGTGTGTGTGTCTCAGATTAACATTTATTACTATGATATTTTTTCAGTTCCCTTCCACCTGGAGGAAGAAACCACATCCTCTCCAGCTCCTCCTCCTTCAGGTGGAATTAAACTGGGGAGGTTTCAGGTCAGATTTTCATACTGTGCTCAGACTTTTTCTTATTTTTTTATTTTATTTTTTTGTTTTAATCAGTTTCCAACTCTATTCATACTAAGTTGAAATAATCTCTCCTGACTGATTTCTTAAATTGAGTTGGTTTAATATTTGGGTTAATTTTGAAAACGGTGTGTGTCCTCAGGTCTCACTGGCTGCTGAGGAGCCTTCGGTCAAACACCCGGCCTGCACTGAATCTTCCTCCACCACCTCGTCCTCCTCGTCCTCTTCTTCCTCATCCTCTTCCAATTTCTCCAGCCCGGAGAACACACTGCACAAAGACTCTGCGACTGCTCTGAGAACAGGAGGAGCGGGACAAGGAGGAGATGTTGTTGATGGGCTCCCCCAGAGGGTTCTAGTAGGGTCCCATCAACCCTCCCCCATAACTTCGCCTTGTCCCTCTCCTAAACCGCCCACCACCATCGGACGCTTCCAGGTATTTTTCCTGGTTTTCTGTTTTCTATCTGATTTTCCTGGTGCTCAGTTGTTTGCCAAAACCATTCCTTTGATGATACACTGAATGTTTGGTTTAATTCAGGTTACAACCAGCACCGAGGCTCGTGTTGGTAGATTCTCAGTCAGTCGTGCCAAGGAGCAGAGCCCTGAGTCCCGCCAGACACTCCCCCTACCTGCTGCAAAAGCTGCAAATGGACCCAGTGATCCTGGCCAGCTTTTAAGTCCAGAATCCGCTCACAAAGCCTCGCTGCCGAGTCTGAACAATAACTCCTTTAATAACTCCTACATGAGCAGTGACAACGACTCTGAATTTGAGGATGAGGACTTCAAACGGGAAGTCGGCCGCCTCAGAGAAAAGTATGTTATCACTTCCTTTTCTGTTTTCTGCTCTTTCTTTTTCCTCTTTCCTCACCCCTGAGAATGAGGTCAACCACACTTTCCTCTTTTCCTGAAAAGCAACATGCAGCTCTTCCTAGAAAACTAGGTCCTTCTCCTCTCTGGTTGCTTTCACACCTTTCTAAGTTTAATTCTTTATTTCACCTGTTTTTTTATGCCATGTATTTTTAAATCCTTTTATCCACCAACAGGCACATGCGTGAAATCCAGGCACTCCACTCTCGCCAGAAAGAGGAAATAGAGAGCCTCTTTACAAAGCTTGGAAAGGTAACTTAAGTTTGTTACATCTGCACAGACATGTAACGACACACACAGCACGATGTGAAACCATTTCATTTCGGTCTCTGTGCAGGTTCCTCCAGCTGCAGTGCTCCCTCCAGTTATCGCCCTGACTGGCAGGAGGAGACGACCTACGAAAAGCAAATCATCCAAATCGTCCAGAACCAGCTCCACGCACGGCAGTAAGAGCCCCTTACAGCCAGGTGAGACCGTCGTTCATACATTTATAACAAGAGTCAATTCACCAAAAGTCCAGAACAACATGATTTTTTACTTGAATTTATCAGCGACAGCGCTTATTTCAATCTATAATGAATATAAGAGTTTCCCTCTACCTCCACCTGGGAAACAAAGTTCCTAAATGATATGCAACAAAATTTAAAAGCAACATGTAATTTTGTTAAAACTCAGTCCAGTTCATTCACAAGAGCACTTGTCTAAGTTGTATTGCTAACAGTTATCCTTGGTGATTCATACACTGATATCCTGTGGGAACATAAAAGTTGAATAATGTGATTCATGACCAAAAACCTGCTGAACTCACAGTTTTGTGCATTTTAGCAAATGCTCGCAGGCCAACATATGAAGCTAATGCTGTAAAGACTTCTTGATGAATTCAGGTTATGAGTGTTTATATTGTTTTTAGAAAAATTCAGCTCGGCAACATCAGCACAGCTCTACCTGCAAAAATACTATCTCACAGAGCTGCAGATAACTCCAATGATCGTCCATCTACTTCACCAAAATGTTGACTCATCATACAAAAGTCAGCAAAGCTTTTGATCCGTCAGCTCCACCCTGCAACTTTAAATTATAAGAAACCAAACTCATGACTTCAATCTCAGCCAGGATGATCAAATCGAAAATTATCCCTAACATCACATCATCTCTGTGTTTACGCATCTGTGTGCACATCGATGTGCGTGTGCGTTGATTGCTTTGTTACACGTGCATGTTGGTGTGTGCTGGAGCAGGCTCAGAGCTTCAACATTTCTGACTGCTTTCCCTGTCTGTCTCTCCCCGTGTGTGTCTGTGTGTGTGTCGGTGTGTCTGTGCATTGTCCCGGGTGAGGGGTGTCTCATCTCCCTGTTATTTTTGTATATGTGTGTGTGTCCGTGTGTGTTTGTGGGTCTCGGCCTCTGCGCTGTGTCCTTCTTGCCCTGTCCCCTCCTGCCTATGCCTTGTGCTATCTCCAGGCAGCACTTTATCCGCCCAGAGCGTCCCCACCATGTACCCCGGCCAGCTGGCTCTGTTAACCCCGGGAGGATTGGCCGATTCAGGCGGCAGCACAATGCTCCAGCCTCTCAAACCCTCTCCCTCCAGCAACAACCTGTGCTCTGCCTACACCAGCGAGGGGGCGCTGTCTGTGCCCAGCCTGTGTGCTCCCACCCCAGGTAGGCATGTGGATCCCAGTCTGCAGTAGGCCCCCCCTTAAACTTTGGATGCAGACCAACACAAAAGCATGCAGTCTGTTTGTCTTCACCTCCTCACAAAGAGACACTTCTCACATCTCTTTCTGTCTTTTTTTGTCTGTTACTCTCTCTCTCGGTGTAAAGCAGTGTGATGACTAACTGACTGTTACATTCTTTCATTCTTCACCTTCTCTGTCTTTCTCTTGTCTGACTCTATTCCTGTCTTCAACGTCTCTGTTCCTCTCTCTCCCTTTGCCTCTCCTTCTCTCTTTCCTCATCTTTTCTCTCCACCTTTTCCTCCCTCCTCCCTTTTTTCAGGCTGTGTAAAGTTCAGCTGGGGTTCGGAGCGTGTGGCCTTCAAGCCTGGCGGCAGGAGGACGCGCTTTCTGAGTACGCCCTGCTTGGCTCTTTGTGTGTAACGCTTTATTTCTTCGCTCTTCTCTTTTCACTCCTCATCTACTTACTTTTCTTAACCTTTTTTTTCTTTTCCTTTTTAAATTTTTTTTAACTCTTATATCTGTCAAGTCACGGTCGCCCTGTCTTCCAATGGGCTTTTACGCTTTTACTCAACAAAGTAATCTCTGATTGGTTTGAAAACGGTAGCAGCCAAGCTCAGTTTGACTATGACTACAGCCTTCAACCTTTTTAGCATCTTTATTTGCTAATGAAAGCTAAAATGTTAAGGCTTAGCAGAAAAAATTTAAAAAATTGTAGTCTTTCTGTTCCTGTTATGCTCTTCCATGACAAATACCCTGAAGTCTGGATTATAAGCATATACTGTATATACTTTGGACAACTTGGTTCCTGCCAGTATATGGATTTGAAGCTGAAAGTCTCTCGGTATTTCCACGTTTTTTCTCCACTTTCTGAAACCAATATTGCGCAGTAGCATTGTGTGCATTTGGGGTGAGAGTAGCAGAGAGTTGCTGTGATGCGTATTGGGTGAGCTATGCAATCTTTGCACGCCCATAGGCTGTATCACGTGTCAATCATAGAAAACATGAACCCCCTGATAACTTTTAAAAACGGAGCTTCACAGAAAAAAGAGGACTTGAGCACAAACCAGTCTGACAGTTACTACATGTCAACATTTAAAAATTTATATCCTGTGTAGTAAATTTCTAAAGTTTGTCCACTGCTCCATGAGGATGGCTGGAGGAGGTGGGATTTATCACCTATACTGCAGCCTGTCACCAGAGGGTGCTGTTCTCGGAGTGGCGTCACCCAGTGAGGAGGCAGACGGCGTCCATTCTATATACAGTCTATGATTATAAGTCAAGAGAAACAGGTTGTGCAGCTGTGAAACTCTGTCTAGTCACATCTTTGTAGCTATCCGTACAACTGTTGAGCTCAGTGTACGGTCGCTTTGAGATTTGTGAGGTACTATAGACAGGCTCTCTGAGACTCGCCCCTCCTTTGTCTCACTGAGAAGTTTTTTCAATCCAACAAGTGCTCCACAGGGCTTGATAGTATACCATCATTTTCTTTCAAATGAATAGGAGCTAATGAGGGTGTTGTTAAAAGCTAGACTGGTCCACTTCACTATACTTCAGACATTTAAGTGCCCTCATGCTTCATCAGGCCTCATTTTAAGATATCGTAACACAATCACAAATCTCTGCCTGCATTCTTTACTGGTATGTCGTTCCAACCCTGATACAGGATGCCGCTCACTTTTTCGGATGATAAAAACACTTCAAGTGCGTTGTATACACTCAATTTTGCAGTAATTCATCTCTTAAGTGCACATTCAATGCCAACCCCTGTGCACTTTTTGGCAGATTGGTAATAGCACAGCCAAATATGAAAAAAGAGCGTCATCAAGATGATTGAGGGAACACTTAGACTGTCTGCAGTGGCACTTTAAAAGGCTGTAGACGGTAACACCACTGCCATTTACTCTATGTCTGATACTCTATATGAAGTGTGGTGTCAGAAATCTCCAACTGTGGCTCCATCAATCAACCAGCAGTCTGTGACAGGAAAACTTAGCTTCACCTCGATGTTTAGGTTTCAATCCTATAGTTTGGAAACACCTGGAGTTACTTAAGTTAACAAGACCAGTTTAATGCTGTTTAAGATGTTTAATGCTATATGTTTCAGTATAGAGGGAATGCTCTGTATACAGTTGTTAATTTGATAACACTTTGTTTGACGTCTATCTCTATAACGCATTATAAATATATGTATAAAGCATTATAATCACGTTATAGCAATGTATAACTACAGTTATAAACACTCATAAATGATCATAATGCTTTATAGCAATAATCACAACACATTATAAAGCATTTTATCATGGCTTACAAGGTCAGGTATTATAATGTGTTGACAACTCACTGAAAATGACCACATAGATAATTCATTACGAATATTTTTGTGATGTGTTATAATTTACTTATAAACTTGTATAACTAAAATTATAAATGCTCAGTAATTATCATAAGGCTTTATAACAATAAGCATAACCCATTATAATACCTGACCTTGTAAGTCATGATAAAATGCTTTATAATGTGTTGTGATTATTGCTATAAAGCATTATGATCATTTATGAGCGTTTATAACTATAGTTATACAGTGCTATAACGTGATTATAATGCATTATACATACATTTATAATACATTATAGAGATAGGCGTCAAGTAAATGAATGTAGAATAACTTTTGTAAAAATTAAGTATTGAAAAAGGGAGTTAGGCATCATGAAAATCTCAGTTTCCTGACTAATAACTAGGAATAGCTGCATGAACACAAGTCAGGGACCCCAAAGTTCCCGGAGGAAAAGACTCATTCAGACAGCAGCTCCACAGAGATGAACATTAACTTATTTATTTATTTTTTTTACCATGAGGCTGATATAGAAACCTATTAAAACAGACAGAAGTCCATTATGAGTAGCATTGACATTGTAGTGGGTGTCTTCTGTTTCTAAGCTTTGTTTTAAAGAAATCAGATGGACTAACAGAGGAAGACAAGAGGAGACCTGATGCGATTTCTTTTTATTCGTTCTGTTTTTATTTGGGAACATGAAATTCTCCTTCATTTAACTCGGTTAATGACATTTACTCATTCATTTCAACACAGTTCTGTTCAGACACTGTTCATTTACTCCATTATTCATAACCAGATACTTCTCGCAGATCATATTATAGCCATACAGATTAGTTAATTGTTGGTGAAATGTTCTGTGCCTGATGATGGGATGTTTATGAATGCCTCTGAACCCTCTGCAGCTCGAAGCCTTTCTCTCCCTTCCTTCCCTCACTCCCTCTTTTCACCCCCTTGTCTCTCTCTCACCTGTGACCCCCCAAACACTGCACAGCAAGGAGGGGAGAGAGACAGACCTGGGTCTTGGTTATCAGAGTAAAAGTTATTTCCCAGTCTGATATGTGGTATTGCATCCAAACTCTAAAGCCAGAGCTGTTTTGGTTCCACTTGATTCTGGTAAAGCTGCTGAACAAACTCAAGAAGAGTGCAGCAACTCAGAGTTTTGGGAAATTAATCCAAATTGTGTTTGAATCCTAATTTGGACCCAGTTCTGGCGTAGCCCTGCGAGCTGTAGAGAGGACTCAGAACCCGGGGTTGGTTACCTAAAAGCGTCTTTAAGCTGCAGGACAGACGAGACTTTGAGGCAGTCTGAGGATAAAGGAGTCTGTGGAGTCTCAAATTTGGTGTTGGCATGAAAGATTTAGATTTATAGTCATTTGTATTGAGGATTGAAATATTTTGTTGCCACTGCAGTAACTAAATGTCTGACTTTGTGTCTTATTACTTTGAACGACTATATTTGAATCTCTTTTCAGTAAGTGACAGCGTCTCATATCCCTGCTTGGATGTTATTGGGCAACTGAACCCCAAAATCTTGTTAATGTTCACCTGAACTTCAAGTAATGGTGCTTTGTGTTTGGTTGTCGATGGTTTGTGGGTGGGGTTTAACTCTGACTCTCTCCCAATCCTCCAATCGTTGTCTTCCGGCCGCACAGGGAAGATGGTGAAAAAAGTCTGCCCCTGCAACCAGCTCTGTAGTAATTATCGCTCTTTTTGGTCCTTCCTCCCTCTATCCATCCATCCCCCTTCCTCCATCCTAGCACTCGCTCTCCCACGCTTCCTCCTGCTCTCTGTTGGATGTCCTACCTTGATGTAAAAACTTTGATCCTCTGTCAGATTTAAGTTCAAGTCAGTTACTTCAGCTCATAGAAACACTTTTTTTTGTAATTTTTGAAAATAAAGAAAAGATTGTTGACAGTAAATAATGAAAGAAGATTTTACTTCAGGTCTGAAATGACTGACTTGAGCTGCTGTCACAAACTCACACTGCATGCACTCACACAAACAAACAAACACACACTAACACACCTGAACCACTGAAGGCCACTCCGCCCCCTTCCTGTTTTATTTTGTGCCCTGTCATGGCTGCATCCCCCAGAATCCCATGCTGCTGCAGTCAGTCATGACTCAGCATCTCCTCATTCTTAATTTCCTCCATTTTATTTGGCATGACATGACAGTTGTAAAATAATAGTTTACCAGCTTACTACTGTGTCTTTCCTTGTGTAATATCTGACGTAACAGAATTTCATTCATAGAATAATGAATAAAGAATTAAAGAAATGAGGAAATAAAGGAAATTATTATCAGTAACAGATTTGAACAGTGCTGATATCCTCCTACAATAAATTAAATGTGTCTATTTTTAAGGGTGTGTCTGCAATATTTAGGGATCCAGATTTGACCGACGTGAAACATTTGGATTAATTTGTTAAATGAAACCAGCAGAGCGTGTCACAGAGAGCCATGAGATATTAAACTGTCTTCTCCAGAGGGATGAATACAAACACACCAGCACATTACAAGTACAAAGACATAAATTGACTACACACAGATACAGAGCAATAAGAGATGGACACATAATGAGGACAAATCGACAGTTTAATTAGAGAAACTTGTTAAGGTCTTAAAAACAAATACAGAACGACGAACAAGAGAATTAAAAAAACAGGCTCACGAGAAAGTAAGGCTTGCATCAAAAAGAGGATTGGAACAAAGACTGATCTGTTTTGCAAAATGTCAGCATTTAATCCTGGCATTAATCTAAAGTACTCCAAAGTTAGCACAGCGTCTAGTTTGCTGTGTGTCTCATTTGCTGTGATGATCAGGTTTGGCAAAAAGCAAATCAAGAGCTTTAATGGAGCTCCAGAGCCACCTACTGGTCGAACTTTGAACTAAACACAAGCTCAGTGAGAGCAACTGTGGTTTACAGCAGGCCTGGCTTCTTCAGTGAAGCAGCATTTTGTGGGTGAATGCTGGTGGGCATGCCAAATAGTCATCAAAGTGCCCACTTTGTTTTGGAAGTTGCTTCAGTGTCATAATTTCTCATCTTCCTGCTGGTCATCTCCATTATTAAAACTAAACAGTATAATTCCCTAACCATGTCAAACATGCTGACCTGCCCTAAAACTCTGCCCTGACCAGCCTCTGTTACCATGTAGTGGCCCTTCTTCATGGTCAAGACAGGAAATACATTTCATTAATTCAGTCAAACACTATAGTGATTGTGAAGTGTGTTCAGTATCTAATGCTCTTTGCTCTTCTTCTTCTCTCCTCTCTCCTCTGTCTGCCTTCACAGGGACGAACAGCACCAACGCAGTTAGTGGCTCAGGGGGTCTGGGTCAGAGCCAAGGAGGTTCCCAGTGTCTTCCCTCTAACATCACAGTCCCCCACCAGAGGAAAGGAACGTTCACTGATGACCTCCATAAACTGGTGGACAACTGGGCCAGAGATGCCATGAACCTCTCACAGGTTTACATTCTCACAATTTGTTTTCTTTGCAATAGAGGAGGAGCTGTCTTATATGTTTTTTGTTTTGATCTTCCACTCAATCTCAAAGATAAGAAAGGGAACATAAAGTTACCATGTGAAGTCTGGCAAAAATTTCAATTAGATCTACTGGTGCATAAAATTAGTGCTTTGGATCCTCCTGCTTTGTGAGAAGAGAAAAAAAAATAAACTACAGGGGGGAGATTTTTTAGATTTCTATTTTGAGATCAAAGTCAAAATTTCAGGATTAAAGTCGAAATTTAAAAAAGTCTAAATGAAATGCCGTATGGCTTAAGTTTGTCGTAGTCATCCATGTGCCAGAGCGCATTGGGTCCTCAGCTTTGGTAATGCCTGCACCTCAGACGCCGAGCTCATCTGTGCTCCATCCCTTCAGGATCAATCAACTCAATCGGTTGTCTCATTGTATCTTGAGGTACAACATAGCCTCGCTGTATAGCACGCAGGTATAACCATTGATAACCCTGCATCTGCATCTTATCTTCGGCACAGTCTTTTCAGAGTCTGAATACTTATGACCACACTGTGTTTGTGTGCTAAAAGAGCAAGGATTACTAAATCCAATTCAGCATACACCTTTATAAACTCTTCTACAGAGGACATGTTGTCAAGTGACCAGCGATAATGCTGTTGATTGATTATCGTAAATCTCAACATTACGACTATTCATGAAATTTCATCTTTATTTGCGTCTGCTTTAATCTTGAAATTTCTATTTAATTCACAAAATGTCAACTTTATTAATTTCACTTTAACCTTGAAATTTTGACTTTAATGTCAGAATTAAAAATTTTTAATCTCAAAATTTTGACTTCAATCTCGAAATTTCAATTTTAATCTCAAAATTTCAACTTCATTGACATAATTTAAATTTTTTAATCTCAAAAATTTCAACTTTAATCTCAAAATTTCGTCTGTAATCTCCTTCCTTTAATTATTTATTTTCTCTTCGTGTGGCCCTAATCCTCTTTTGTACTTTTCAGTGTATAAGTTAGAGAACTTTATTCTTTTTTTCAGGGTAAGAGGAGTGCCAAACAGCTGCAGCAGGCCCCATCACAAGGACACAGCTACGAGGTTAGTGTAGAAACACACCTCACCACATGGCCAGGCTAACTTGTTAAGGTTGAGGCTACAGCAAACAGTAGCTTTGTCTGTACTTGCCTTCACTTCAATAAGCTCCCACAGAGTAATGTATTGAATAACTAAATCTATTCTCAAAGATTTTATGACTACATCAAGATTCAGACAGTCTGTCAGTTGTGGGTATTTGTGTTAAAATGCGGAACCGTGTTGGTGAGAATAAATCACTTCTTTTCCGTAAACTCTCATCTCTCCAGGTGATACAGTCTGCTAGCTTGGGCAGGAAGTACTCTGCTCCCAGCCAACTGTGTCCCAGCAGCATCGGAGGCTCCGCCCACCTCCCCACAAACCCCACCACTGCTACCTCTCTGGCTGCCCGCAAGGGCTCCCTGTGCCACCCGCCCGCCTCCTCCACCTCCCCTCAACCCCAGCCTCCCCAGTTCATCCACTACACCCCCACTGCCGCCTATAGTGCACAATGGTCTGGTCCCGCTCACGGGCTTTCCACCCCACACCAGGCACCTGCACAGCCCGGGCCCCTGCTGGTCAGCACCTCCCAGCCCCTCGGCCCCTACCCAGCTGTATCAGTGGGAGGGCAGGGTCAGATCCCAGGCCAGGGTCCGCTCCAGGCTTTTCATCTCGCCAACGCTATGCAGAAGTCTGTCAGCAACCCAGGAGGACCCAACCTAAGGACCACGTAGGGCTGGGGGAGAGGGCTGGTTTGAATCACGGCCCGACTGGACTGGACCGGACCAGAGTGCAACAGAGATTTACGTGCTCGATCTGCTGGGGGAGGATGGAAGAGCAGGAAGAGAGCGAGGAGTTTGACGTGACAGAAGGAGACAGAGCGCAGGGAGTGAAGAAGAAGAACCAGGAACACCTCTCTATCCATCCATGAGTGAAAGCTGTCACATGATCTCCCTTTTCTGCTGTGCTGGACTGTTGGCTTGTGTGCCAAACGCTCAAAGATAACGAAAAAAGACTTGAGTGCAATGAAAAGAGGCCAAAGAGGTTTTGACAGGGTGTAGGATTGGTGTTGGTACCTGTTGTGTTATTAAGGCACTTATCGCTCGGTCGCACTTGTGCTACTTTAGCTTTAAATCAAGTGAACTAGTCTTTAGGAGGCGGGTCAAACAGTCATACCTTTAAGATGTTGCAAAAGGGGATGTTACATAATTTAAAAGGAGGGAAGAGTGTGGCGGCCGGCTTTCATGGAAACAAAATTTAGTCCTTGTATCCACTCAGCAACTCTTAATAGCTTCTCATGCTAAAGTTGCTAAAAATATTTACATAAAAGAAACAAAAATGAGGGTTTTTTTCCAAATTTAATATTGAGATGACATGAGCCGTACCTTTCTGTTTGAGCGTGAGGCTTTAAGTCAAAGATCACAGCTTTGATTTAAGGTGAAAGCAGGACAGAAAGACGCATGAGCAGCTTCTTAAATTCAGGGAGCTGCTAAGAATTGGAAATTTCCCTCAACTTTTAAAAGCACATATAATCCCACAAAAATCAAACCAAATTTACAGCAGGGATTAAAAACAAAATCTGGATCTGAGCTGCCTGGTTTAGAGACGGTGTCATTCAGCACCTGGTGGAGTATTTGTTCTGTCAGCTTGAGGTTGAATTGTGACGACTACTCCTTTGTTATCCTCCGGGTCTTGCCTCCGCCCTGGTCGGACAAACTGCTCAAACAGATGGAGAGAAATGGAGGAAAGAAAGACGAGAGAGAGAAAAAAAGAGAGAGAGAGAGAGTGCTTGACTTAGATAGCAAGCACTTCCTCTGTTCCTCTTTTCACTCTCAGCTGAAGTACTGAATGGAAAATGACAGAAGCTTCTGCGCAGCGAACGCCTCCTCACCCTCACCACTCCACCTCTCTCTCTCTCCATCCATCCCTCCCTCTATCTCTCCACCTCTCCGTTGCCATTCACAGCAATAACAGCAGCAACCTTTTAGAGAAAAACCTGAGCGGACTCGGCGTGAAACAGTGGCCTTGTTATCAGAATAATACGGAGTCCCTGTACAGTTTGTGTCTCGGTTTATTTTTTAGGATGTCGCTATTATGATTCCAATTTAATGTTGATTTTGTTCTGTTGGGTTGTGTTTGGTTTGCTGCACTCACACACACACACGCATATGTACACACACACACACACACAGACATGTAAATACACACACATGGTTTGAGGCGTAGCAGCAGTTTAACAGATTCACTCTTAAATGCCTCAGTTCTCATTATCATTAGTTTGCTTTCGACGTTTGTGTTGAAATGACGGCAGTGTACATTAATGTCATAATTATTGTTGTGAATGATTATTATTCTATTTAAAAAGAAACAAAAACAAGAGTGTGTTCTGTCGACGGACCTGTTATACAAGCACATCGGTGTGCGATGTGGAAACACTGTGATTATTGTCGTTTATTCTTAGCCGATGTTGTTGGACAACATTAGTTTTAGGGTGAAATGTCGCAAATAAAGAAAAACAAAGAGCAAACGGGGGACGGCTTTGGGGTGCTTTCGCTTTCAGTTCACGGCGAATTCAACAGGAAATGTGAAAAAAAAAATTGAATTCAGTTGTTGTCCTTACATCCAGTTCAGAGGGACTGTATTCCAAACGAATGCCTTACAGTAACTTTTCACCTGCAGCTTCAGTTTTACTCAAATCTGACCGGATTGAAAGTGGAAACTCACCCCAATGCCTGCTCACAAAGAAATCCTTGGTGGACGGCAGGATAGTAAATATTTAGATATAAAGTAATGCTAGCTATTTTTTTCTTAATACAGTACTTATATATCAGACACTTTAAATAGCCCTCCTCTTCCCTTTCTCCCTGTTCTGTTAGATGAATGTGAATGTATAAACCAATGGTGTCCATTTTAATGTACTTGAAGACTGTCTATTGTTTTTTTTTTCTTCCTTTTGCTTCCCTCAGACCCCCAAACTCCACCTAGAGCCTCTGGTGAAAAACTGGAGGTGCTCACTAGTGCCTTGCATCATTGTTGCTTGTTTTGTTGGGGGTGGAGGACTTTGGGTTACGGTAAGCACACTTTGGCAGCATGTGTGGGAAGTTTTCAGGAGTTTCACTTTGGTGTCAGTGGTGATTGGGTTGCAGGTATGCAGTAGATTGATGGAGATGCGGTTCGATGGATGTTGTTGGCTGCTACTGTGTGGTTTGTGGTTAATAATCAATGTGTGGGGAGTGTAAACTGAGAATGGCCCCACATGTTGAGATCAAAGCAAAGAAAATCCTTTATATTAACCAAAACAAAGCCTGTTTTCTGCTGCCATTGAAGTCAATAAGACTGACCACTGAAAATTTGATAAAGGTTAACCCTAAAGAGGCCTGACTGTGACTTTGACCCAGTTACAACCCAGATGTGATGATTATTGGAGGGAACATGAGAGTTTATCAGTGCCATTTTTTGTTTTTCAGGGTTTTAAATGTAGATATTGGACGTGGGAAGGAGGTGGAAAGAGGTTTTTTTTTTCAGGAGAGAGTTGTTGAAGATTGTATTTGAAGCTTGGACCACTCTGTACTTTAGAGGCACTGGTTTACAGGAGCTGGTGCTGGATACAGTCAGCAGAGGGCGTGTCGGTAAAGTGATCAAAAGTACACTTCATTTTTAGTAACGGATGTTTTTCCTCTGTTTGTGTTTTTACCAAAAAGTGGCCTCTGGATTTGAAAGTCTTGAACAGAATTGTTAGAAATCAGTGAAGTGGGAGAGCAGGAAAAAAGCTCTGAAGATTTTTTGTTTGTTGTTTTTTTTTAAGGGTCTACTATGGGAGTCACATCTATCATACACGTTATGGCAAATTAAAAAAAACAGCATAGTAGCCTCAAAGTGATTGAAAAAAAACCTGAAAACTTTGCTTGAAATAGAATTGCTTTTGCACGTTTGTAGCTGAATAAGAATCGCTCGACATTTTTCTGATGTCAAAAACAACCAAAACTTTCTTTTCAGCATTCTTACCACCCGCCTGTGGTCTGAAGTTGATGAAGAAAATACGTAAAGTTTTCAGGGTTTTTCTTTTTTCTATCAAAAGCAGTATAAAAAATACCAACGACGGAGTTGTAAGAGCTATCCTGCTCCTTCCCTGTTTTCATCTCAATGGAAAAGATGTCGGCTGTCTTGTATTTGATCATCAAAAAGCATTTAAAAAGCCAGCAGAGTGTTTCTGTCTTTGTAACAGATTTCATAGGGAGTGCCGCCTCATCAGAGATCTGCAGCTTTAGGGTCTTTCAAAGGTATGAAAACTGTCTCATTTTTATCATCTGATTCTGCAGCTACACCATTTGGTTTTAATTCACAGAGCAAATATAAGGAAGTATTTGAAGATATCAGGCAGTGGTATAGGTGGTGTTGGTGGTGGTTATGATTGTACTGACATTGATGATGGTGGTTAAAATGATGGAAGTAATAATGGATTTAAGGCTTTTAACACTTGGTCCTCCTCTTTCTTTTCTTATTTTTCAGAGCAAATGACTCATATCTGGTACACTTTGACATTCACTTTTCTGTTTTTGTGGTTTTGCTGGGAATAGGTGTTACTCTGTGCAACAAAAAAGAAAAAAAAACAACAACAATGCTTTTTGCGTCTTTCTTTCCATTCGTCGTGAATAATAATGCAACGTTTTTACTACTAGGCAAGTTTGGTTGAAGCTGTGAATAATCATTTGGGCCACTTTGCTTTAGTTCTTGTTGAAAGTATTCTGTTTATTATGATCTGTTGAAGAAGAAGTCAAACTTTTACGTGTGTCTCCAACTCAGTGCCATTTGACTTCAGTGGAGCGCTAGCATCAGCTAACATGAGTGTTTCTTTCTTCTTCTGTCTCACTGGAGCTGCTTTGGTTGCCATTTCACCACCTGGATTTTTTTCAATTTGCATCTGCTCAAACCTCTAATGATTTCCACAGTAGGAGTTTGATGTCCTTTTGCAGTGTGTGTAAGTTATTACTTCAAACAGAAAAAAAAAAATAAAGCAATGCAATTCTATTTAAAGTAACAGTTTGCTTTGGGTTCTGCACCTGGTGGAGACTCTTATTTTGAAAGCTCTATCAGTCATAGCAGTTGTGGTGTTGTTCTAGAGTTGTAGCGGGCTCTTACTGTGAAAGGGTTATCCAGATAGGGCGCTCTTATTGTGAAGTATCCTGAAGTTACAGTAGGATAGTAGGAGTCTTTCTTTTCTGGTGACACATGTGGAGTGTAGCAATAGTTGTTTTAAACTTACACACATTACATTCACTTTTTGTTTGACAGTTTATGCCTGCTCAAGACGTGTTTATGTTTTCTGCTTGAACTGTAAAGTGCCCATGTGTACAAAATGCCTTTCAGATCAACACACACACACACACACACACACACAGGTCCATCCTGTGCATATGTTTGCTTGCTGCTGTGGAATGACGTCGAGTCTTGAGCATAGCGACAGTTTCTCCTTCAGACTGTTACTGACATGTTGATTATGTTTCTGCTCTCACTGATGTTTTAATTTCTTATTCCTCACATGTTTTATCAGCAGTTTTAATGTCTCTAGCAGCACCTAACTTAATTCAGTGGTTTCTTTTTTTTTTCTGTAACGTGTTTGACATTGTACAAAGTGGTTGAATTTAAAAATACACATGGATAAATGAATGAAAGAAAATCAAAAGATACATGTAGGGAGTCATCGGCAGCCTTTAAAGGTATGTTTTGCACTAAGTATAGAGTGTTCAAGCTTCATATTAAAAAAAAAAACTTTGCGCTTTGCGCTACAATACAATGAAATTTGTTACTTTATTTGTAAAAACTTAATAAATAAAAGTTGTTTAAATGATCTCGAGTGAGTTGAGTGTCAATTAATGTAAATATGCTTAATAAATCGAGTCATATTTATCATGTATTGGTGTGTTTTAATCATAGACTGTATATACTATGGACAACTTGGTTCCGCTTTCCTCCAGTATACAGATTTGAAGCCAAAAAGCTCTTGGTAATTCAGCATTTTCTCTCCATTTCCTAAAACCAACATTGCGCCGTAGCGTTGTACGCACCCCACCACTTGCACAGTAGCGTTGTGCGCATTTGGCGGGAAAGTCGCCGATAGTCGTTGTGATGCGCTCGGTTCAAACAGCGTATTCCCCGGGTGAGATACGCAATCTTCGTACGCCCATGGGCTGTATCAAGTGTCAATCATAGAAAACATGAACCCCCTAATAACTTTTAAAAATGACAGTAACTACATGTCAGCACCGCAAGCAGGGAGGAGAAAAGTTTATATTCCATGTAATAGAATTCTAAAGTTTGACCACAGCTCCATAAGCTTTGCTGGCGGAGGTGGGATTTATGACCTATACTGCAGCCCGTCACTAGAGGGTGCTGTTCTCGGAGTGGCTTCACCCACTGAGGAGGCAGGCGGTGTCCATTCTTTATACAGTCTATGGTTTTAATCTTAAAAGGTTTCAGTGTAATAATGAGATCAACATACAAAAGATAGACATGGTGGTACGGTGAAATGCCAAATAGTCCAAGATATGGATATAAATTCTGACTTTAGATGGTCAACTTTATAATTTATTGTAAATATTTTATTCTGAAATTGTAAAAATAGGGCTGTCTTTAGCTGCTTGGCTGACAACTACCCCCTTGAACCTGTTTCCAACATTAAAAATTAGGGTTATAAAAACATCAGTCTTTTTACTGATGGTCTTGTAGATGCTCTTTTAGATATTAAAAATAATGAATGAGTATCAGTATGACTTTTCATCCCTTTCATAAACATACAAAGAAAAAAAACAGGAGCTTTAACCAGTTTATGCTCTCATAAACAGCAATACATTTTCCATGAGTTTTTATTGTTATGTTCAGAAACTGAAAAAATTTATGAAAGAGGTTGAGAAATTAGCTTGTAGAAGTGTCATATTACTAATCAGTCTCAGTAAATGGGACTGGTAACACAGGCATGTACTTTTCCTGTCCACATGGGGGCAGCACTGATCCCCATTTGCTGTCGAACCTGCAGGGTTGGCTGTATATATTTGACACCTTCCTGTCATCCAGACCACAATAAACAGTTTCTTGCTTCCAGGCCGATCAGGAAACACCTCGTTGTGAGGTGTGAATCCGGGCTTCCTACTTGTCTCCATGGAAACGAGTAAAATAACACAGTCAACCCAGAGAAAAATAGGCCTGAGGAAGGAAGAGGGGCAGAGGGGAATGAGACTTACCGGTTCATTACAACAATAAATTTCCATCATGCCGTTTTCCTGCTGTGATATGAATACTACACTGCAAGAAGTTTCACACTTTTGGATGAGGAATTTTTACCCCACTTAAAACTGTTGTAACCTTTTACAGTGTAGTTTAAAATCATGACTGTACATTTGCCAAATTTAAGCAAAAATCGTGCAAAATTGATGTTTTTATTTGCTGGAAAATGCTGTTTTTTTTTCTTAGATTTCCTCTGTGGAAACATAGGATGAGAAAAACCTGATCACCCCTCTCTGGCTGTTTTATTTTAATGTGACAATTACACACTATGTTATACTACTTCTTTATTTGTGAGTGGATTTGACTGTTTTGCCACCAAACTGCAGGAACCAAAACTCAAACTAGGGCCCTGTTTTTAGAGTTTGAAGTTCCTGCACTAGCTCAAGGACAGGTGTGACCTTCACATCAGACACAAGGGTGAAGAAACAGTCAGTCCAAGCACCATTAAGCACTTAATGGAGCACACATTATACATTCAAATTACACAGAAAGTCAAGTATGACAGAACTTCAGCAAAATATACTTAACAGGTGATTTTTCTGCAGAGTCACAGCCACAGAAAAACTCCACAGCCTTGAAAAGAAATGTCTTACATGTTTATGCAACTGGAAGAGGAAGGATACAACTATTTAGACTGATAAACAGAGCATGGACTTGGTTAGAAAATCTGCTTCATCTGTATTTCACTAGAGTACAGTAAGTCCCCTCCTCTTTTTATCCATTCTGTAGTCGTGACCAATTAGTGAACTTGCATGACAATGGCCTTTTATCTACAGCAGCATGAAATGAAAGGACACTCAGAGAGAGAGAGAGAGCGTTGTGAGAGGAAAAGAGAGCAAGAGTGAGAAAGTGAGTAAGAAAAGGGGGTCTTGATGTCACACGTGTGGGAGACGATACAAACGCACAGATTGCAAATTGTACAGCCAGTTCTACAAAACAGTTTATGTAAATGTTAAAAGCATTGACTGAAAAAAGGTATTTTGCTTGAAAGCCTCCTAAGAGTCAGAGAATTTAAAAGAGAGTCTGATATGTACATGTTTGAGTTTTCCTTTTGCTTTCATTGTAAGCGCCACTCTAAAGCTGAGTCTTTTGATTTCTAGCCTGTTAGATTACAGCCAATCTGAGTGCCTCAAAAACAGATAATACCGATAAAAACAAACAATCATTTTTAAACAGCTTTTAACATCGTGACCATAGACAGTCTTTGATCATGACCTATCAAAACTGCAGGTTAACCACAGAGATCAAGTCAGCCTGAGAATCTCAAACACAGCACATTTGGCAAACCTGCTGTGTTGTTTTGCTACACAACAAGAAGTGATGTTGAGAATCAAATGTTGTTCGATTTTCTACATATTTATGAGGTAAAGTCGACATTGATATATCACAGTTCAGTTCCTCTGATATGTGTCTGAATATAAATATGACACTTGTATAACACTTGTAACTTTGAAATATCTCAGCTCTTAGCCCTGTTGTTATCCAAACATATAAAGTGACATTGATATTATCATAACAAAGAAGCCATTGGTACATTAGTATCATGTGTCTACGCTGATTGTTATTACAGTGCTGGCTACTGACGTTTGTACTATATACAAAGATTAATACCTGTTATATAAGCTATTCAGTTGACTGAGAGTTTCCATATGGGCCTCATGAAGACCTGTGTGTATGACAGTGAGAGTGTTTAATAAACACCAACCTTGCATATCTTGTTCCTGCATAAAAACCTTGAGGATCAGGATTTAAGTGTCTGTGTAAGTGGTTGTTTTTATAGGTTAAGCTGATGATACAATTGAATCAGAGATATTTTATGATGGAGTTAACATATATTCATGATAACATCCTCATACTACTTCAATATCTTGAAAACAGCAATTATATAAAAAAATTGTGACAACCAGGAAAGTATCTGAATCTCCATGTTTTCACTCCTGTTATCTTTATCTTGCATATTAACCACATCAACTACTGATTAGGTTATTATTACTGCTCCAGATACCCTTTGCTGCCCTTGAATGAAGCAGTTCACCTTGACCTGCTGCTGGACTGTGACCGGTGCATGGCTGAACCGGAACACCTATGGAGACTGGTGATGACAGTAAAAACAGGTCAGTACTGACTTCGTTCATGATCATTAGCGCTTAACCCTTTAATGCCTGAAACCACAAATTATGGCCAGAAAATTTCAATTTTTTTGGAGCTGAAATGTTTATTTCTCTTACTACTGAAAACCAAAAAAAATCCAATATCCTTCAAATTTAACAAATATATTTCTTTATCTCATTTGATACATTAGATGTTTTTGGAAACTGATAAACTACAAGAGGACATTTTTATCATTTATCAGACTGTATTCAGTGTTTTTTTAGTAATTTGTTGATCATATTGATTTGATAGAAGTATATAAAAGTTGCTGTATTACCTTTTCATTGTTGTAAGGATTTATATGAAAAATCGCTTGTAATTTTCTCAAACTTGTAAAATCCCAGACTGTGTAACAGAGGTGGACATACTCTCCTCATAGTTTCCTTCGTGCATGGACCTTGCATGTATAGTAACCGCCAGCAGAGGGTGTCTGCACTGCTCACAAAAAGTCTAATTGTAGGAAACTGATAAGAAAATGAAAACCTCTTTTTCTCATCATCTATAATTAAGTCATCTTTAAAATAGTATAATGTCTGTGTTATAAGTGTGTGTCCCATTCAGTGCAAAATAGATGATTAAAGCTACTATAAGGAGTTTTTAGCTAGTTATGAAACAGATTGAAATTTATGTTGGTACCTCTTTACAACCTGCAAAAGTAAAACCTGCAGAAGACAATCAGCACAAGACTGATCAAATCTATATGATAATTTTTAATGCCTGTAACTAAAGCTGCAGGGTAGGTGTCAGATGCAGTAAGAGCAACAGCAAAAGTTTAGGGTAATAGGATAAAATGGGAAATGACAGCATAGATATTCACTGGTCAAGCTAAACAAAGAGATGAGAGGAACTGCAAACACAAACCAAAATATCCTTAAAGGAGCTTTAAATATGAGACAAACTGCTACTACAGCATGGGGTCACTTCCCTTTCCAAAGCTGATTATCAGACTGTTTATAGTGTTTAAAGATCCCATTCTTCCCCCTATGCAACAGTGATGGTGTTGCAACCTGGCTGTGTTTGGTGTAATCATGTAGCTGTGTAAGCAGAGGCTGCAGGTTTTCGCTCAGTGATGTGGGCTCCTGAGTCATCACGGTCTCCCGCTGGTGTTTCTTTTGGCTGGAGATAAGCTTTTCTCCCCTCATTTGTTTATCCTGCCCAGATCAACATGGTGATGAGTTTTAAATTGCACACAAATCTGCTGGCAGGAAGAGAGTTTGCGGCTGAAGCACACTGAGTATTTCATTATGTTTTACTTTTTAAAGGCTTTAAAGGTCTTTTCCTGTCCAGGGTGTCCTCTTTTTTCCTGTATGTGTTTGTTTACGTCAGTGTGTGAGGGGTGTTTGTGTGTGTTTAAACAGACTGGAGGAGATGGAGCTGTGCAGATGAACACAAACAAACACTGTGTATCTCTATACACTGCCTCTGCCCACCAAACAGGTCAGCATGTTCACTCCCTGAACAGACATCTTGTCCTGCAAAAGGACTAAGTGAGCTCAGAAGTACATGTAATGAAACTTTCTTACAGTTTATAAGTCAGATTGCCGTGGCAAGCATAACCAAGAGAGGAAGCCTGCTCTGTGTGAAACCACCAGAAACTTGAAGGGGTGTGTGTTTGTGTGGGTGTAGAGGGAGAAATAAACCACTGAACATTTATGATCATTTAAAGGCCACTGAAGGAAATAAACAACTCAAAGGTGTGCCTTGAGTTGTTTGAACCTGCAGCATGGTTATAAAAATCAGCTTCAAGGTCTGCTTTGAATTCCATCTGTAAACCTTATCAGAGCAAGGCTGTTAAAGAGAAACAGAAAAGTGGTGTCTTTGTCATTTAATAACAGATTTACCAAGGTTTAAATTCACTATCTTTTGCACTGTTTGGGCCGAACTTAAACATTAACTACTTGTAACAACATCCAAGAAAGATAGACTGTTTCTGAACAGTATAAATGGAGTAAAAACAGCAGCATGTGATTGAGTGTATTAACCAAAAACTGGTTTTGCTGCTGGTTATTAAAGTCACAGTAAATGACAAAGTGGCACCTGCTCAATATGATGAAGTTTCAGTTACAGAAAGAATGCAGGTTCATCCTGTATTTCCTGGTAATGAGATACACACTTTCAACACACAAAACACACACAAAAAACGGGTTGTGAGAGGAAAGTTTCCTCTGCAAGTCACACGGGTGAGAAAATGTCCCTAAACAAACACTCGCTAACTGCAAGGAAAACTCACATCACTCATTTACTGGATAACTACGCACAGACACACTTTCACACAAATACTCCGACGGAGTCGAGAAACTGATTGATATGTGAACTTGTGCATGTCTGTCATCTGTACATGCCAGCATATGTGTAATGTGTGTGCACTTTATTACTCTGTTTATGTATTATGAGGTGATAAGTGAACTCTGAGGGGGTTGTATTTTTCTAAGTGTTCCTCTAAGTGTGTGTCTTGCATGTGTGTTTGTGTGCGGGTGTTTTATGACCCTGAGAATTTTTCAGATAGGATCTAGCCTTGACCGGTAGACTTCGCTATTATAAACCTGCTCCTTATTACAGTGGGTGGAGCAGTGTGTGTGAGTGTGAGTGCTGCACTATCAGTCATAGTTGCATGTGTGTGCAGAGTGTGCAGACAGAGTGCAGCCTGTCTGGTGGGCTTTGTGGTGAATGCAGTGATCTGTAGATTAGATACTTAATGTGCAGTTAATGTAGGTTCTGCAATGAACACACACGCACACACACACACACACATGCACGCACGCACACACACACACACACACACGCAGAAGCCGAAATGAGAAGCTGCTGAGTTGCCTCCTCCACCAGCAGTTCAAGCACTCAGTTTGATGTCCATTGTTGTGAGTGGGCTGCTGCTGCTGCTGTATTGGTTTGCCTGTGAATTATTTCACCATGAATCGAACAGAATGGGAGTCCAAGTTCAATCTGCTGATGATGATGATGATGATGACAAAGACACCAAATGTTTTCAAGCAGCTGACAAAGTCGCAGCTGATCAAAACGAAAGAGTCACATTCAGGCGACAGGCGGAGTCTGTCATTTTCCTCTTTTTCTTTCCATCTCTCGCTTTCTCTTCCTTTCTCTCCCCCGCCCTTCCTAAACCACACCTTCAATCAGCTGACAAGCCCACTTACATGTAGTCACCCCACTACACTCTGTCTGGCTGTGATAGTTTGACCCTCCCTCTCCTTCCTCTTTTTATTAACTCTCTCCTCATCCCTTTTTAGTCTTACTCTGTTAAATTCTGTGCTAATATTAAACAGTCATTCATGAGAACTTTACTTCAGTACTTTAGTAAACACACTTACACCACTGGCTTTGGATGTTAAAGCTCCTAAAAGGAACTTTCGCTCTGTTCCAGTTTTGGCACCCCTGTGGACAAAACAGACCACTCTTATCTTGTCCGCCACATACTTTGGTAGTTGATTATGACAACAAATCTCATCCTGCTGACTTTTGGTGGTCAAATGTTGTTTTTATTTAATGTGAATATTTTTAGTAGAAATTGTAGAAAACAGGAGTTTCTTTAGATGCAAGTCTTGGACCTGCCCGCTCACACTGATTTCAGACAATGAAAGGTCCATCGACTACAGCGGGGTGACGCAGCCCAAGGAAGAACATTTATGATCATTTTTTCATGGAAATGCAATCAGACCGAGATGCTAAAGCAGAAGAACTACCACGTCTGCAGTGCAAAATGATCAATATGATAATTATTACTTCAAGGAAATAATAAAGTAATAATCATAAATGTTCTTCCTTGAGCTACGCCACCCCACAGCAGTCCATAATTGACTGGCCTGAGGTCTCACGACAAACAGGCAGCTGCTGGAAGAGAGACGGTGAGTCGTGTTTAGTGTCTTTGACAAAGAAATTAGGCAAAGTTAAAAAGATGTTTGGTGGCTAGTACTATGGCTGGGACCCTATATGTACTGTTGATGAAGTTAGGTGCTGTTCTGAGCATTATTTGTGGCTATAGAGTGGCGTTTTGGTGTAGGTTTGTTTATAGCTCCTCAGACCGATGTGTATTGCTATCGTGTGGTCATTACTAAAGGTGGTTTAACTAGAGAAGCAAGTGGTCGGCAACATTCATCTTTTGACGGGGGTGTCTAACTCGGTGTTACAGTGTGTTTGACCCTAAATTAATTTTACACCGGAATATCCCTTTAAGATGAATTTCAGTGTATTTTATACTTGTCAAAAACTCCTTATAGGATCTTTAAATCCACAAAGTCAACATCAGGCCTAGTAGTGTTAGCAGCAGTAGAATTATGGAGTGGAACATTAAAAAAACACTACAACCTGCAACAAACAAGAGCTAAGAATAAAAATATGTTCTCACCTTTTTCTTTTCAGCTTGTCTGTATAGTGAACTATATGTATTTTCTTGTACGCATACAAACTAAAAACACACACATGCTCGACCACGAACACTTTCCATAGGCTTAATGAATCACCCACCGACCCCTGTTCACACAGAAGCCTCATGCAGCTTCGTGCACACACCCACACACACACCGTCATCTCTCTCTCTCTCTCTCTCTCTCTCTCTCCTTCCTCACTTCCTCCCTCTCTGTCTGTCTCTGACGCTCGCGGAGGCTCTCTCTCGAAAGCCGCTTTGACAGCTCGGAGCAGCTCACGCGGGCCGGAGGTCAGGTCTGCATATTGGATCTTTTCTGTAGAACGTGCGCAGCCCCTCGCGCGCTGTTATCTGCGGTGAAGAGCTGCGGCGGTGGATCTGAATAGCTTCCTTCGTGTGAGACCTTCAGCTTCTTGAGAGCTACTTCTCTGAGAGTTTCTTTTGGTTTAATCGGGGGATTTAAACACCGAGAGCGCTGTCGATCACAGGGAGCAAGGAAAAATCTGGAAAGGTGAGTTTATTAACAGTCAAAAACTCGGGCAAAGTCTTTTTGTAGAAAAGCTCGACTGATGTCAGGATGAGTAGCAGAAACATAAACTAGTTCAGTATAATAACGTCTTATTTTTATCCCAGCTAAACCAAACCTTTCTTCTGTAATCTCATATCAAGTTGGTTTTTCTTACATATAATTTCTTCCATTTTGTATTTTTGTGCGTTGCATGCATTCATAGTTCAGTATTGCACACTGGTTGCCCTCAGGTAGCTGGCCACCTCAGATGACACTCCAAAACTCTCATAGTTATAAATTATGACTGGCTATTTTTTCTTGTCAGTATCAAGTTTCGCATTAAAAACTGTGGGCTGTGCTGCAACAGGCTTAAGTTAGTCCTCTTTGTTTTACTGTCAGTCCTTAAGAAATCAGGTGTATGCTTTCCATATGTTGCAACTCAGTTTTCAAGTTAGAAAATCTACAATCTAGGGCTGGGTGATAAAACGATAATGATATATCAAAAATGAATGTCCCTCAATATCAATATAAAACGCGGTCAATATGCTTTTCGATAGTCGGCATTCTGACATGTTTTGGTAAACTATGCGAATAGCCAATGAAAAGGGCTGAATTAGGACCAAGCAACAAACAACTTCATAGTAGCAGGCTGCAGCTATACGTAACTATAGCACTTTAACACGAGGAGCCGATAGCACAGTCTGTGACAAAAAAAGAGAATGAGTTCTACCCCCGGCAGAAATGCAGATAAAGGCTTAATAGAGGATGACATTGTTCACAACACTGGCACGAAAACGTTGGTGGTGTGGAGGGTTTTTTTTTTTTTTGAGGTCGGACATGAAGCAAAGTAGTGTGCACCACAAATTATGCTCAGTACATGATCTTGCAAAGTCGGGGTATACCTCAAATCTTTTTCACCACCTGAAATAGTGCGATGTGGCAGAGCATGAGCAATGTGATAGGTTAAAAACCCAGAGCAAGGAGGTCATGGCATCTGTGCAGCGGAAATAGCCGATCATTCTGCTCTCTGTAGCGCAACACCTTTCGACAAAACGTCAGAGAGACACAAAGACCTCACAGATGCAGTAGCTTATTGTATTGCAAAAGACATGCCACCAATAAGCACTGCTAAATTTACTTTTTTTTTATATCGTGATGTATATCAATATTGACTGATATGAAAAAAATATATCATTATAGACTTTCCCCATATTGCCCAGCCTTACTACAAACACATGAGTGTTACATATTTAATATGCTGGAGGGCACAGTCTAGAATTAGGAATATTCAGATAAATCCAGAGGTAAGGTTTAGTTTTTATCGCTCCCTTGCTCACCCCTCCCATCAGTGAAGTAAAGTTGACCTTGAAGGATAAGAGGCTCTCCAAAATGCTTAAAATTCATACATTAGTCAAGGATTAAACAACAAAGATGGATGTCATCCAAGATCATTTTGCCATCAAGCACTCATGAATTCCAAAATGCGTGTGTTATAAGTTTGTGCATTCTGTGCTGCTGTAGAAACATCACAGTGCAAGATGGCGGCCACTGTGTGAGTTGACAAAGATATAGTGGATTTTACGTTCAGGAGATCATACTTGATTTAATCATACTTGAGATAATTGTATTTCATTTCTATCATGCTTTTTTTGCTAAATACTGCTAAATTCTACACACTGTACCTGTAATGTTATTTATAAAAGTGCCATACCAGGGAAAAAAAGATTATATTGATTCCAAGAACCCATGACTGATTAGGGTTATAGAAATAATTGAACATTTGAAGGTTAGTGAAAAGAAGAGGCGCACTATGATAGTTTTTTTTCATGGGGCCCACAATCTCCAGCAAGTGCAGAATTAGGTGGGATTAAAAGAGACAGGAAGGATCGATAAATGCTTTTTTTTTTTTTTAACACACATACCTCCTTGCAGAAGTCAGCGCCCAAGTTGGGCCACCCCTGTTAAAGCAGTGTGACCTCGCCCCTGTCTTGTAGACAAGTGGCAGACTTGACGGCTGTTGTCAGGGTTTGATAGCTCTTAAAAAACAACACCAATGATTTATACAGCAGGACCTCCAGCTTGTGGTTTGGTTTATCGCCAGAGGCTGGCAGAGGTAGAGCAGAAAAACCTGCTGCAAGAAGCTGCAAACACTGACTTAAGCACTTGTCTGGTGCAGGGTGGTTATTTCCCCATTGCTCTGCCAGTCTGCAAAACGCTGTGTGTGTTGTGTGTTCCAGCTGAAGCAGATTATGGGTGTTAATTTTCAGCAGTGGAGTCTCTGGTATCTACTTACAATGTAAACTGTCTGCTGCTGAGAGAGAAGAGGAGGAGGAGGAGGCTTTAAACTCAGAGAAGTCAGGATTTTAAATGAGTGGGAGCTCAATGGTTTCATTTGTTTTGATCGCTCATGAATATCTGTTCGAGGGCTTTTTGAGAAACTCTCAAGTTCTCTGAACCACAGCCCGTGAAACTCAGTATGAAGGGCCCTCAAACCAGACCAAAAAGTGGAGCAAGAACAAGTTGGTCAGCCGGGCATGCAGCACCAGGATAAAGCTATGATACATGTGTGTCATTCAGTCCTTGAATTTCAAAGTGTAAGTAAGCTGAACTAAAATAGAGCGATAATATCACAGAATTTCTCACCACTTGGTTTCTTGAAAGTGGTACCTTTCTGATCTGGATTCACGTTTACTCATCCAGATTCAGATTCAAACAGGAGGTGAAAATCACAGTCTTCCAGCAAAGTCAAAGAGAAACAACACTGACATTTAGAAAAAGAACATCGATGTTGTGCTTGGATAATAAGCCAAATAGATATCATCAGTTTGAAGAGAAGTATCTCCCACTGGTGTTTTGGTGGGTTTTCTTGTATGCAGATAAACTTTCCATGTGGCTGAAAGTGGTAACACATCAGCTGAATTTCCACTCCAGTTCAGTTCTCAACTTCAAACACTGACCAACACATTGGCCTCGATACACATAATCGGAGGAGGAAAATTATTATCAAATAACAGCTGATCGAAGGTTGAAGGTTGTATCGTGACAATAATTATCTCCAGGAAGTAAAGCCTAACCCACATTTAGGTCATGACTTGGCAAACAGACGAACACTGTTTTTGAGTAGACCACATTATCTCTGATCATGACCTAAACTTCACTAGGGCCACCATACTAAAACCCCTTTGTGTTCATGCTGTGCAGCCAAACGCCTAAAAGCCCTTTCTTGAACTGTGATGCTACTCGCTGTGGCTCGAATGCTTCAGGTTTTATAGATTTTATTACATGGTATCAGAGCAAAGAATCGGCAAAAATATTGTTTTATTTATGCCACGAAGCAGCCCCAGCTGTACCCTGTTTGGCCCGCTGCAATAAACCTGCCTTATAAATGTGTTACTCTATCTCTGTGTCTTTTTGTGAGCATGTGTGTGAGAGAGTGTGTGAGTGTGTGCAGGGGCATTTGAGTTCATGCAATATCAAATGTCTGTCTCTGCCACTTTACTGTAATTAGATTATAATACTGTCTTGTTAGCTTGACAGTGAATACAGACACCTGTCTGTCTGTGTGTTTGCTGTCTGTGAGTTTACCACACGCCTGACTTAGCCTATCGTATCTTATCAACATTAAACTCTTCTCTGTTTATTTAGTGGGTGAAATCTGCTCGTATGTTTGCTCAAAAAGTGATTTCCTCTCCATTTCAGGACAACCTAAAACCCAATAGTTTGATATATTAACAGCATGAACAGTGTTTGAAATTGTCTGGTTGTCTTTAAAAAAGACAAACCGAAAGTGTTTTGTGAGTGAAAAGTATCTTTCACATCCCATTTTGTTCTGAACGAAGTGAAACCACGTCTGTAGAAAATACGTCTGTTTCCCACAGCGCAGCCCCTTATCCCACATGAGTTTCTCTCCACCACACTGTCTTTTCTGACTTTAACTGGGAGGTGACATTAAACTTTCAAAACTTGCTTCTTGTGGGTTCAAGAAAGCAAGCAGCCATCGATGAATGATAACAAATAATTGTAATCACAGTTTAAAGGGATATTCCAGCATAAAATTAATTTAGGGTTAAACACACCGTAACACCGAGTTAGACACCCCCATCGAGAGATGACTGTTGCCGGCTGCTTGCTTCTCTAGTTATAACAACTTTAGTAACAACCGCAGATAGCAATACACAGCGGTCTGAGGAGCCATAAACAAACCTCAACCAAAACACCACTCTATATCCACAAATAATGCTCAGAACAGCACCTAACTTCATCAACAGTACAGATAGGGTCCCAGCCACAGCACTAGCCACCAAACATCTTTTTAACTTTGCCTGATTTCTTTAGCAAAGAGACTAAACACAACTCACCTACTCTCTTCCAGCAGCCGCTACGGACTGCTGTGGGGTGACGCAGCTCAAGGAAGAACATTTATGATCATTTCTTTATCATTTCTTTGAAGTAATAATCACCATATTAATAATTTTGCACTGCAGACACAGTAGTTCCTCTGCCTTAGCATCTCGGTCTGATTGCATTTCCATGAAGAAATGATGAAAAGAGTGGGTGAGTTGTGTTTGGTCTCTTAAGAAATCAGGCAAAGTTAATAAGATGTTTGGTGGCTAGTGCTATTGCTGGGACCCTTTATGTGCTGTTGATGAAGTTAGGTGCTGTTCTGAGCATTATTTGTGGCTATAGAGTGGCTTTTTGGTTGAGGTTTATTTATGGCTCCTCAGGCCGCTGCATATTGCTATCTTGCAGTCGTTACTTAAGTCGGTATAACTAGAGAAGCAAGCAGTTGGCAACATTCATCTCCCGAGGGGATGTCTAACTCTGTGTTACGGTGTGTTTGAAATTAATTAATTTTATGCCAGAATATCCCTTTAAGTCATGGCTGTTTTATTTAAGTGTTCCAGTGAATCATGACAGAGTGACAACGAGCCAGCATGCACCTGATACTAAGGTGGTTAAATCAAGCTCAGCTATTATTAACTTTCATTTTTGCACCTTTTCTTTTCCTGCTGTGACATGTCAAAGTAACTTCCAGGAAACTTGGGTTGGGTTCAAACTAGAAAATCAGCTCAGTCCATAAAGTCTGTTTATCAAATTGATTTTTTTCAAGATCTCTACCAGTAATTCCTCTTGTTTCCTCATTCAGATGCCGACACATTTGCGATGGATCCTGATTGGTCGCTAGGTCCCAGCTGTCTGTCCAGACAAGCATGGAGCGAGAGGGTTCGTTCAGGAGGTAAGAGCACACAGACTCAAAAACGCCTCTGAGTGCAGCAGCTCCAACCTCATTTTTCTCTTTTTGCTCCCGTCCTCCGGGACGCACAAAAAGGTAGATGAAAGTGGAAAAACAGACACACAAATACAGTCGCACACATTCCTCAATGACCTCATTCGTTCTTTCATTCATGCAAACATCCCTCTTATCCTCCTTTGTCAAGTAATTAGACCGCAGCGTTTTCTCCCACAACTCTTCCTGTTGTTTCAGAGCCAAGAACAAAAAGTGTTTGTCTTCTGTGTTACAACAGCCTCTATCAGCTGATGTTGTCTTTTTGCTGTGATTTCAGGTATTACTTTATGAACTTCTTGCAGTTCGGGATTTTATCTCAGTCTCTGTATCTTTTCTTTCCTGTTTTGATTTATTTATGAGAGATTTTGATTATTTCTTTTGCAGGGAGTTCAGGGACTCACCCTCACTTTGACCCATGAACTGTGTATTTGTGTCGCTGTGTGTGTCAGTGTCTCGCTGTATGTGTGTTTATGCCCAGGGCTCCTGTTTCTTACACTGACCTATTTATATGGAGTTGAACTGAGATCCAGGTTGACAGACAAACCTTAAAAACACACATACACACACCTTTTCTCCATTTCCTGATATATTTGTGTAGGCCTCTGACTGTCTATCTCTTCCTTTTACCTTACCCACTTTCTATCAGTCTTTTTGGCTCCTTTTCTTTTTGTTTTCTGTCATTATTCGCATGGCATGAATCATCACCAGCTCTGTGAAACCAGTGGAAAGGGTCAAAAGAAGCCGAAACTACATTTAAACCAATAAAACAGTGATGAAAAAAAAAAGAAATCATCTGTGGGATAAGAGCCTGAAAGCTTGATCTGTCTTTGGATTCACACAGAAAGAAAGAGAAGAGGAGGAAGTGACATGTGTGTCACCTTTAAATCCTTCCTCTCCCTCTTGGCAGCTCTTGAACCTCAAAGGGTTCCTTTGTTCGCCTGGCACAAAAGCTCACCGGGTCACATGGTCACCGGTTGGCATAGACTGGCAGAGGGAGAAGGAGAAAAGAGGGTAGCGAGGAATAAAAGCAGTTAAGGTAGAAGGAAAAGAAAAGAGGTAGAAGAGGAAAATAAAAGCAGGAAGGGCTGTTTATAAAAAAAAGGGCTGAGAAAGTTGAAGCTGAGACACATTTTTTCCTCCAAACCTTCATCCAAGTCTTGTTCTTTAGTCCATGGGACACACACTCATGGAGTGGGGATATGTGGTGCCTTTTCAGTTCCTAGAGTAAGTACTCCATGTGGAAATGTGAGACTGTGTGTGTTTCTACAAAGTCTGTTCTTTGAGCTCTAAGACTTGCAAAAAATGGTAATTTGTAGTATGAATGAAGAAGTCTTCTGTTTCAAAAAAAAAAAAAAAAAAACTTTATTTACACGTCTTTTATGGACAGGAGAGACAATTTTAGCTGTAATAGAAAAAAACTTAAAGATACGTTACATTTGCATACATACATGAATATAAATGTGCAGTTAATATTATGCTGTCTAATGTAAGGAACGTAATATTCACTTCACATATTGCAGTGATACTTTACCTACATTTTTATTTTCTATTCTCTCAAACTGACTTCGTTTTGTATCTTGTTCCTCTCCTTTAAAGTTGAAAGGTCCTCACTGAATAACTCAGTGGTTCTCAAGTCCAGTCCTCGAAGCCCACTGTCCTGCATGTTTTGGATGTTTCCCTGCTCCAACACACCTGATTCAAATGATCAGCTCGTTATCAAGCTCTGTAATGGCTTAATAACGAGCTGATCATTTGAATCAGGTGTGTTGGAGCAGGGAAACATCCAAAACATGCAGGACAGGGGGGGCTCGAGGACTGGATTGAGAACCACTGGATTAAGTGAACCTATCTCAACCATCACAGCTCAACAATACTCTCAAACCTTTTATCCAGGACTGAAGGCCAAAATGTCCTCACTATCCCCTTTTCAGAAACTCCAGGTCTGCACTTGACAAAACTATGAGAGCACACAAAACACACTGAATAAATCCAAAGATTCATTCAATTGTGATTTATAATTTGAAAAACTGCCTCAACTTCATCGCTCCTCCTTTTTCTTCTGCTTCACTCTCAATTTCTTGTTGGTTTGTTTCTTTCTTTGGTGCTTTGTCTTCTCCTCTGTCTATACCTCCATATGCCCATACTTTGCTCTTTGTTTATCACTTAATGCTCCTCAAATCTCCATCCTTCACATCACTCCCTCACACTCCGCCCTTTCACGCTAAGTATAGTTTGAGTTGAAAGCATGTATACCTCTCTCTCTCCTTGTTTTCTTTTCTGTTTTTTTACTTATTCCACCTTACTCTCTCTCTCTCTCTGTTTTTCCTCTTTCCTGGCTTTCCTCTCCTCCTGACAGTGCTGTATGTCTCCAGAGCCGTAGATCAGCTTATGCAAACATTAGCAGATGGCTAATAAAACCTGTCACCCATCAATAAATGCTAGCATTGTCATCTGTTTCAGATGCTTTCTTTATAACCTTTCTCAGATTTGTTTTCAACTGGTCGTGAGTTTCTGTAGGTGGAAAGTAGGTTTGGACTTGGCTCCACCAGTATCATCCAAAACCCACAGTGGACTTGAAATCGTGCATATTTATATTATTTCTGTTTTTCTGTGTTTTGGATTTCGAGGAGCCTCCACAGTAAGCTGAGGTTGGGAGGTGGCTCGTCCTCCAGCCTCACTGACCTCTCGCAGTCGAAAAATACTGGAGGGGGAGGTGGAGGAGGAGGAGATAAGGGAGGACTGTCAGAAGAGGGCAGCAGGGACAAAGGGACCCAGCAGAGGAGGGCTGGGGCCAACGCCACCTGGAACAGGTCAGTGTGTGAAAGACTGATGCATATTTAAGTCATACATGTGAGCCCTGGAGTTTTATACATCCATGTTTACACAGATATGCTTTTGTGCTGTTTCTTTGACATCTCCAGCTGAGAGCTCTGTTTGCAGTATTTTTTTTTATGCTATGAACACAAACCTTTTGAACACACATGCATGCACATCAACAATCTTTCTGTCTCTTTTGCTTCAGGGTCCATCTCAGTCTCTTTTTATTTCCGTACTCCTCTCCTCTTCTCATCTCTTTCTGCTTCAAAGATCCCTTTCTTCTCTGGTCTTTTTTCTTGTTTCTCTGGTTATTTTTACAGCCGTTCAGCTTCATTTTACTCAGAACATGTAGCGAGAAGAAACAAAGTTCATGCCCCTCCCGATCTTTCATGTCCTCCTCTTTAACTTTTACATTGTGTCCACCTTTGATCCAGTTTTCTCATGATTTATATTTTCTGAAATCTTGAAATCAGATGTCTTGACATCAGCTGGCTACATGCACTTAAGCTGACAAACCTGGACTTCCAAGGGAAGTAAATAATGTGACATCCATCAGTCCAGCTTTCTCTGGATGATGCTTCAATTTAAAACATTTACTTTGACTTTTATAGGTTTTATAGAACATATGAACACATATATCACAGTTTAAAGACATATAGTGTTTCATCAAATCATCTAAAAATATTCTATTATTGTGTTTCCATTAAGTACTTTTGTTTGTGATTATTTCCCAGCATCCACAACGCAGTAATTTCAGTTTTCCAGAAGAAGGATCTTGGAGAAAATGAACTCTACACTCTGAATGAAGGTGTCAGGTGAGCTGTCCTGTTTTATTTGTTTGTTTCTCCTTCTTGCTCAGTGATTTGCACCCATGCACATGCCAAATGTTGCACTTGAGCTAGTTTGTGTTTTATGACCAGGCTAAATGATGGTGTTTCTCCTGTAATTTCCCACCTTTTCTTGCTGTAATGTTGGTTTTACTCGCCTGGGGAGACACGCTTTGTCAGATAATGACAGCTACAGCTTACTAAATTCAGCTTTACAGATTTGTTAATGCATGCTCACTAACATTTCTGGCATTTTATGCCTTTTTGGAGAGAATAGGACACTGAATAAAGCAGAAACGTGGGAGAGGATGGAGTGACATGTGGGAAAGTGCCAAAAGGTTGATATCAAACGTAATCGCAGAGTTTTCTGGCGCCCCACCAGCAACATTTCTTGACTGTTTGTTCCTCTGAAATAAAACATCTTAAAGTTAAAAAGGGAAAATAACAGGGTGAAGTTACAGGGAGGTCAATGGTGTATATATATGTGTATGTGTGTTTACAGTAGTGCTTTAGAGCAGCTGAGACAGTTCTGTCAAACTGACCCCAGGCATGCACAGGATACATGACACAGCACATACACACAAACAGGCTGTGCGTATATTTACTGTAAACAGTTTATCCACACACATACAAACATACACATGCACATTTCTGCACTTTTTCCTGAGAGTGTCTGTCCAAAATGGCGTTTTATGTTTTTTTTCCCCTCATTCTAATCTGAACCCTTCTTAAAATTTGATTATAATGCAGTTTTGTGTGGAAATGCTATAACCTTTTCCCAACATCTTTTCTCATTTCCTGAGTCTGCTGCTGTTCAAACACTGCTCCTCTGCGGGGCTCAAGAGCTCATTAGTTTTGGTCCACGTTATAGAGAGTTTGTGTCATGTCTGAGTCGTCAGTATGAATGTTTCCATGTGTACTTACTTACACTCTTTGTGTGTTTGCAGACAGCTGCTGAAGACAGAGCTGGGTTCCTTCTTTACCGAGTACCTTCAGAACCAGCTGCTCACTAAGGGGATGGTCATACTGAGAGACAAGATCCGCTTCTATGAAGGTACACACAAATGCACCTGTGTATGCACATATATCACACATCATTTCGTGAGCTTAACGCTAAAAAGTTTACATGCTCATTAAACTTGAACTAGCATGTCCTATTTCACCATTTTGGTCAAGGTTGATGACACCCTTGGGTAACCAGCTTCTTACCACATAACAAATGTGCAGCAAAACTATGTAAACTCTTGTTTATGTCTCCCTACAATGGCGTTGGACAAATGTACTCAGTCTATCCAGAAACACAATAATTGTCTAAAAACCATCAGATTTTAGGTGAACCCTTGAGCTATTACCTGGAACTGTGAGAGCTTGACTTTATTTCTCCACCAGGAAACACAGAGTGAGTTAGAAGGAGCCATAAAAGTGAGAACAGGGCGCTGACATTAATTTGTTCTGTCTATTGTGGTTTATGTGTGACCTTTCTTCAAGGCACCTTTGAAATCGTAGAACACACACTGACTGTGACAGATTTTCAGCACTGTCGTCATGGTAACCAGACAGGAAGCGATATCTTGCGTCGATTTGCCCGGAGTTAGTGAGAAATGTAAGATAAGACAAACCGCTGCAGACGCATCAGTTCGGTTAAGATGACGCTATGAAAGATGAAGATGAAAGAGCATGTGGTTGTTCTCAGGTCTGGCAACGCCTGTGGGAATCTCTTTTTTATAACCATTTCCTGAGTTATTAATGTCTTTATTAAGAGGATAGGAAGAGAGGGCAATGACATGCAGGGAAGAAGCACAGGTTGGAGTCGACGCATTTAAAACCACAATTCGCGGTTTAAACTTGAGCTTTTAACTTGCGACTTTACACACATATCTCAAATATTTTTCACATTAGAGTTCATTGCTGTTATCTATTTGTCTCCTCACTCCTTTTCTCCTCTTCATTAAAGGTCAGAAGCTGCTGGACTCTCTTGCCGACACATGGGACTTCTTCTTCTGTGACGTCCTAACCATGCTGCTGGCAATCTTCTACCCTGTACAGGTACACACACACACACACACACACACACACACACACACACACACACACACACACACACACACACACTGAGAAATACACAAACTCTGGGGCTTATTTCCTCCCTGAAATATAGTGTGTTAACATGTGTGTATATTGTGCTGTCAGGGAAAGGAGCCATCTGTGCGTCAGCTGGCTCTGCTCCACTTCAGAAATATCATCACCCTCAACCTGAAACTGGACGAAGCTCTGTCTCGACCCAGGGCCAGAGTTCCTCCTTCTATTATTCAGATGCTGCTAATACTACAGGTACTTTTCATCTCTTTTTCATCGTCCACTCAAGCACTCTTCTTGCACAGACAAACAGCCTTGACTGATGCAGGGTCGAGAGAAGAGGGCAAATGACAGCAGATGGGGAAAAGAGGAGCAGAGGATACAGGGAGCTGCAGAGTTTGTTCTTGCAAAGGGATCTCACAGGAAGTAATCTCAGTGTGAACACAGAGCGCAGTAATCTTCCCATGACCACTCATTGCCCTCTGTGTCCCGCCTGTGTCTGAATATTTGTGTTAATGTTTGTCTGCGTGAATAATGCATGTTTGCACCGATTTTTAAAGCCCCTGTATCCCCCCGAAAAATGAACTCAAGGAAGGTTAGTCATGTTTCTGACCCTACTGGCAATGTGCAGTTTGTATGAATTTCTAAGTGATGAGAGAACAGAAAGAAATAGATGTGGATTTTCCAAGTTAAGTAGAATTTTAAAAGAAGAAGAAAGAAAGGACAAGAGTTTATAACAAGTGAACAAATGCACTCCAGTTTATCTTCTTCTGAACCAGGTTTTTTGTTTTTTTTCTACTTCTGTTTAGAGTTTCTTGTAACAAACACCAAATTATTTATTACTGTCATTTCCTTGGGAAACAGGAAGAGGATTGTTCACGAGTCATTTAACTGGGGTGTCTTTCTGCTGCCCAGAAAATACTCTGAATTTTTCTTTTTAGTAAGACATCACTTGAATTCAGATATTTTAATGTATATCCTGCATTTTTAGGCTATTTTTTCACGTCTGGAGCCTTTGTAAGGAGCTTTCTGACATTTATAAAATTGACTAAAAATCATAAATGTTCCTTTTTATGATGTACAAAAGCAAAAAAAGACTAAAAGCAACAACTGAAAAAGATTAAAAGCTGATTATGCCTCATAGTAAGATGTAACATGAAGGTGAGGGAGGAGATGCAAATGTGCTCTCCACTGTGTGTCTGGGATTTTTTTTTTCCTGTTACTTTGGACGTCACTGTAGTGACTCAGTGACCCAAAACTGCTGCTTCCAGAGTCACATTGAGGCAAGACAAGCAAACCAGACAAGTGGAAGGTATGGAGAGTAACATTTGATGCAAAAGCAGAAAAAAAACAAGTTGTTTGTTTTTTTGTTTTAATCTATTGTGAAGAGGATAATTTTATTTGAACTGTTATCAGAGTGTGTGAGAGAGATAAAATCTAAGATCGTTGTTGCTACTTCTTGTTTCATCTGTTAGTAATTTCCCTCTCATTCTGTGACGCCAATTCACAGAGGTCTGGTCTATTTATGTGGTTGGTTTCTGCGCTGTGGTTTTGATGCATGGGTTCGATGATTCACAGAACTAGATTTCATAGATCCTTTCTTTGTTATGTGAAGACTTTAGGTACCATCTGGGTCCATGTGTATCACAGCCAGCATGAAAATTAGGTAACAGAAGTATCAAAGCTTTGGAATCTACTGAACCAGATTCCAGCTTAAAGGAAAAGTAAAATTATTTTTATTATGTGTCCTCACACCATCTAAAGACGTACAGAGCCAACTTTGCAACAGAAAAGATCTTGTTTCTCATTTTCCACGGCTCCTCATTTATGACACATGACATAATTGATTTTCTGGGTTATAATTACTTCTCTGATCTGCGCACAAGAATCCAGTTTACTTTAGGTCAATACCCCAGGGTCCCCTGGAGACAGTGCAGACACAAGAAAGCCTATCCGCAGTAATCTGGGTGATCTGGGCACCTCAAAAACAAGCAAAACCAGATGCACACTCACAAAAACACCTTTTTTTCCCATCAAAGCAACTGGTTGTGAGTGTGAATCACAGAAACAACAGTTACCCAAGTTTTTGTAACACAGTTCCTCATATTGTACAAGAACAGTGTCCTGCATGTTTTACTTTGTTTGAGCAATGGTTAACTATACTGTAGCTGTTGTAGCTATTGTAGGAAACTTAGCGCATGAAACCAAACAGTAACCAGATGGGGAACAGAGTAGAGCACCCAAATAAGCAGGTCAGTCATGAAGGGAGCTCCTCCTGGACAATCTCTTGTTACTCTGGGGCTCATTTAGCTCCCACTATTCTCAAACAAAAACCTTTTAGCGGCATAAACAGAGAGGATTGTTAGTTTTGTTTGGATGTACAGTTTTGTCAATGTACCCCAAATTTTACTTAAAGGTGGGGTAGGCAGGATCTGAGGAAGTGCCAGTTTTTGGGAGAAATCTTGAATGTAAACACTACCCCTCCCAACCAGATATAATGCAGATATATACTTCAGATAATTACAAATGGGGTCGAGTCAACGTGAAATTTCATTTATGTTGACCTGGCTTTTTAGCGTTTGTCTGGTTTTTCCTTCTTTTTTATGCACCTGTTATTCCACCAGAGTCTCCGGTATTTACTTTGTTTTCTTGCTTGTGTTGGCAGTCGTGGCCAAAGGCGGATTCAGACAATTTTCTGTACTTTCTGGTTGGTTTCTACTGTCTGATATTGTAGCACGCTAACTTTGTTTGGGCTTGTGAACGACAAAGGGGAGCAGCGTTCACCTCACAACCAATCAGGTTGGGGGAGGCGGAGAATGGCTTTGTTTACAGTCAGAAAGAGCAGGCCGCTCAAAAAATTTAATAAGTTGGCTACACAGACATAACAAAACCCAGCGATATCGTTATATTACCAGATGTCATCAATAACTAATAGCTACTGACTGATATCAAAGGCTTTTTCATATATACACCACAAAAAAATATGTTTTTTTACTGGAATCCTGCCTACCCCACCTTTAACTTTTTTTTTTAACAACTTTTCCCCGACTTAACAATGAAACTCTATTCCTAGCATCTGTGACCAATGAGTGATTTGTTAAAATGAAAGGAAACCTTCAATGACTTTTACTGTTATAGCACTGTATTTCCTGTTTGCAGATGAGATGTGTTTAGCACTATGTTAATTTAGCTAACTTTCTAGAGACTTTTGATTTCACTCAGTATCTGGAGGATGGATTAAAACACAAAGTCCATCAGAATTCTTCCTTTCTTTCTTCTATAACTGGTCATGTTTTCCCGGCTTTTAGAGTTACCACCAGCAGCAGCAAACAAGTCCCACTTCCTGGCTTATACAAACTCATGTTTGTGTGCGTTGTGTGTCTGATGCAGGGAGTTCATGAATCAAAAGGAGTAACAGATGACTACCTTCGACTGGAGTCTCTCATCCAAAAGGTGGTCTCTCCCTACCTCGGCACTCATGGCTTATACTCCAGAGATGGATCTTCCAATTTGCACTGCTCTTCCTGCCTTTTAGGTATGTGTGTATCGAGTAAAACACATTTCATATTTCATATTTCTAGTTATAGCATATTCAACTATAACAACTCCAACAACCCTCTCTCCAGAGAAGCGTTTGCAGCGCTCCTGGCCCTCCAAACCAGGCAACTCTGCCGCCAAGAACCCAGTGGTACGTTCCAAGAGCTACAATGTTCCCATGCTAACCCCTGTGGTGGAGTACGACGTTGACTCCTCCTCGGGAGGTGGCACAGGTATTCGGCGACACTCCGTCTCTGAGATTACTTCCTGCTTGGAGGAGACCAGCTCTGTGGCTGAATCAACAAACACTGCCAACAACAACACCACCAGCACATCCAGCCTTGCCAACCACTCCCCAGCTTCCACAGCCTCTGCTGCACTTTCAGGTACAGCTACACTCACAGGCTTTACTCTGAAGTGATCAATGCATTATCAACTTTTTTCACAGTTCTGCCATTGATTTTTCCAGGGGTGTGTCCAGAAGGTAGGCAAGGTCCTGAACTCTCTCCATTTTTTTTCCACAGACACTGTGACCTCCAGCCAGGGCCCCCCAACCAGAGACTCTGACAGTCCTGTAGGTCCCCTCCCTCTCCACTCCCAGAATCACTCCCCCTGCATCCTCCCTGAGCTGTCCCCAGCCGAGGATACACACTGCACCGGCTCGCTGGTGTCAGACTCCCCCGCATCCTCAAGAGTGCTGGCTCACGACACGAGCTCCGGTCCCAGTCCCGCTTCCAGCCCTGAAATCATGATGGACCACATCCTGGAGTCTCTGGACTCTGAGCCAGAGCACGACGGCATCTTTCTGGACTTCTCCCGTCGCTGTTCTGTAGGGTCAACGCACAGTGCAGAAAGCAACAGGCAGAGTGTGGCGTAACACACACACGCACAAACACCTCAAAGGAGATCCCCTCAGACTGCTGAGTCAATCCTGACGGTTCTCTCTCTCTCTCTCTCTCTCTCTCTCTCTCTCTCTCTCTATCTCTGTCTCTCTCTGTCCTGTTGTTTTATAGACTTAACAACATCAGGGATTCTATCAAACTGAATTATTTTTCTATTAGATGTAATTACTCATTCTTGAAAACAAGTCTAACCTCTTAAGACTGCAAAAAAACAACAATTTGGATATTTTAGACCATTTCTTTCTAACATCAGCACTGACCTCTTTGGGAATTTACCAGTGTTGGTCAAAGGTTAAATCTCTGCGATATATATTTTCATGAATGAAACTTTTGGATAAACACTGAGCCGGTGATGACAACTCATCCCTGCACTTGCTGAAGAATGAAAGACTGATGCTAGTGATGATCTTTAGCTGTCATATTCAAACTTTAACATTTCAAACTGAAACAATCTCTCCAGTTTAGCCTGTGATGCTTTTAAATTATCATTCGAACTTGTGTTTTTACTTGATGATTAAAGATTTTCTTCAAATTTTGCACTTTGTCCCTTAAATCTTAAAGTGTGTTGCTAATCAAAATCCAAACTGATAACCCTGATATTTTTCTGGTCCTGTTTCAAGTATTATGAGGAAAACATTTTTAAAAAGGACATTTTAATTAGCTAGTTCAAGGGGGGATGGTTCAAAAGTTAGAGAAATTAGCACTGTCATTTACAGATTATGTTTATAAAAGGTTGTCCAGAATATTCAGTCTCTGCCGCTTGTCAGTAAATTGTAAATTCAACTGTATCAAATCCTGGATCTCTTTGATTTCCTGACAAATCAAAATCATTTGTCCAAGTCACTTCTGCTTCAGCTCAGAGGATCTCAGAGTCAGTGATTCAGATAGTGACATTCCGTTTAAAGCAAATGTTAGAAGACTTCATCAAAGACAAACATGTATAAAGACAGTCTTAATGTAATGCCTCTAAACAATTAGGTCAATATGGGACCATACACTTGAATCTCTTAATTCTGGCATTAGATGATTTTTTCGTTCATGATTTGTTCCTATTCTGTGTTAAACACAGTTATAAACTCTGAGAACCTCGATGTGAACCGATGGGTTAGATCCTTTTTATTTTAGATACTGCCATCTTGTGTCGTTTTTTTCAAAGTGCAAGGTACAAACAGCAATTACAGAAACGACTGGCCCTTAACACCAAACAGACCAGTGAGGAGAAAAGAAAACAAGAAGACAATCGAGGAAAAACATGTGCCTGTTGAAGAACAGATAAAACCCAAGAGAGAAAGTTGTTCAAAAAACCAACTGGATGTATCACTTCTTCAGAAACAAGGTGTGTGAGCTTCGATGCAAACAGGTATGAATCTTTGTTTTCAGTCTCTGATTGATGGTGATTGATTCTTCAAAAGTACATGCAAGAAACCGGGTAAGGGCATCCTTAAAGCTTTTGTAGAATTCACCAGTAATGCCGTCATTTCCAGGAGATTAATTGTCTTTCAGTGAATCTACAGCTTTAAGTATTTCATATTTAGAGACTTTTTGGTCACACAAGTCCTAAAGTGGGTTGTCGATTTTTTTAATGTAGTGATTTATAGTTTGACAGTACACATCCATTTGCTGTTCATCAAGAGTTTGCCTGGAGTACAGTTTTTCATAAAAGTTAGCCACATAGAGATTATTGGTTTATCTTTACAAATCGTACCATTAAATTTAAGTTTGCTCACAGAAGACATTTCAGCATTTCTTACAAATACATGTGGTCCTTGTGGTTCAGGGGTTTAGTCATCTGCCTGGGACCCCTGAGGTTGTGGGTTTGATCCTTATCCAGGACTCTGTGAATTATTGTAGGCCAGTGTTTAAATAAAAAAGGGTGTAAAGTGTTCCTGAAACTGTCATGATTATTTCTCCGTGGCTCAAAGTATAAGGAGACTGACTGGGACTCCTGAGGTTGTGGGTTTCAGCTTTACCTTACCCAGGTCAAGCAGTTGTTCTTGTAACTTACTATTTTAGTGCATTTTATTTATCGCTGAGAATTCATGTTCAATGCCTTGTGACTGCGTGACTTGACTGAACCAGACGCTCTGGTGTGATTTTAAGTTACCACTAGGAGGCGCCAGAGCCAAGAAATTTGTACAGACACACTTACCTGGAAAAAAAACAACAAAAAACAAAAACCTTGCTGTAAAATGAGTTTTCTTTCAAAAAAATTTTTTTTTAACAATTTAGATCAATTTCAGGACAAAATAACACTCTGAAAGGTAAAGTAAAAACAGGTACACAGGCCTGTTTGATTTTCCATAATTGATTTATACATTTGACATCACACTGCTTGAAATAATCTGCCATTTCTGGTGTGAGGAGGCATCCGGTGGTGCAGAACACAATAGCCAAATACATTTGAAATGTAATTGGATGTTTAATAGGACAGGTAATTTCATGACAGGGACTGAGAGTAGACCACTGTTGGCAGTTTGGCATTGTAACTAAACTCATTTTGCTGACAACTGTTCATGGACTCTGGCTGTGAGCGAAAGGATTATTAGGAGTATGCCTGAGGACAAATGTGTCTGTTTTCTTAAGAAAACAAAACTTGGACACGGATGAGCAAAGTGAAAATGTATATACTGCAACTTCAGATCATCACAGACTAACGACTGAAGCAGGAACTATGTACAGTATTTACATGGCAGGAAGCTAAACCCAGCTCAGCTTCAGATGTGGTTTCTAACAGCTTAAAAGCATCAGGGATTAAACTTGGGTACATTCAGCAAAGAACGATTCATAATGCTTCATTAGCAAGCACCAATCTTCAAAAATCACTGCTCTAAATAACTTGACTATATATTTTCTCCTCTATATTCCAGCTCACAACATAAAACTGCTTCACACTGTCTGAGGTCTCCAGTCCAGCTTCACACTGAGGTTTGTATTCACTCCTCACTTTTGCATACACACTCACATACATTTATATCCATGTCTTTTTAGTGACTGGGAGTTTTGTTAAGAAGTGTGCAGACCACAGCAATTGATTTGACATTCATGGGCATCACAATTTATGTTAGCACTTCAGCACTGTAATATCTAGCTGTGAAAAAAAACAAACCTAAATGTTAAACTTGTGCTTTTATCTTCTTTGGGCTTAAAAAAATCTTTTGTTTTTCTACGCTTCACTTTTATTCTTCCAGTCCTCCATCCAGATATTCTTTGACTTTATATTTCGAACACTGTGCATACAATTTTGTGCTTTGATGAAACTCAATGACCTGTTTTTCGTGAGCCATAAAAGAACAGATCTTTACAAGAGTGACACTGTAGTGTGTTAACTTTTGTACATGTTAATAGTGGAGTGCAGTCACATCAACTTTATATGGTATTGCTTGGTGACCATGATGGGTCAAACATTCAGCATGTAAACAGTACTGTGGAACATTTGAGGTCCTTTTTTTCGGTTTGGAAGAGCTGCATATATGTATGCATTTCAAAATCAAATCACTGAGTCTGTATATATGCATGATTTACAGACTCTTCTGCACTTTTGTTGCAGATGTTGGGCATCAGTCAAAGACGTCTTCAGTCCGTGTAGAAATAAGGCGAGACTCCCCGTGATGCAAAGTGAAGAAAGATTCAGGCTTCAGTCCTTTCTGCTCGAGGGCCTCTCTGAGACGAACCGGCGGCTCCAGGTAGAACTGAATGAAGATACAACAGAGAACAGGAGGGTGAGACTGTTATTGTTAGTTTTAGATTTAGTGTAGCAGCATTTTCACTAAGCAGTACAGTACGGTGTGATATAGAACCCAAATAATGAAGAGAGCGTTAAGAATTAATGTCTCTCTCAAACACAATTGTATTTGATTAGTAATGTTATGGACCTTAATGAATTATGGCTCTGGTTTATAGAGGTTTTTTTCATATCAGGGGATGCTTTGGAGAGCTGAATCTACACATTAGCTGAGCAGAGGAGCACAAAGATGGATTCCACTAGTGTTGTGTCGTTTAGGAACGATTCCTTCAAAAGAACCGAATCTTTTAAGTGAGCGTACTGAACTGAATCACTTCCTCCAGTGATTCGTTCGTTCCTCACTCCAGTTGAGCTGAGGTGAGAAACAGCATTGCCAGTCGAGCAGCCGAAGAACGAGGGACCGCATGCGCCGACACCTGTGGTGAATGAATCACGCATCGAACTGGAATCATTTTTGTCAGACAAAACTACCAACTTTTTTTTTTTTTTTTTACTGCTAAATTGCCACCACAACAACTTGCAAACAATAGGACACAGCATGTATGTTAGAATAATGTGCATAAATGTATATAGAAGTTATCATTATTCCTCATATTCTTATGTAAGAGTTGACTACAAGTATAAACTGTTTTGACCTCTTTTTATACATTATATAAGAGTGTTTCCTAACTTCTCTCTTCAATAGATTTACTACACAGCACAACAATGTTACTTTCAGTTTTCTGTGACTGTCTTTCCTATCAGCAGGTGGGGGTGTGTGAGTGATGGATCCTCCGCGGTAAATCGTGGGGAGTTTTTGAGGAGGTGCCGCTGTTATCAGAAGGAGCTCATTAGATGCCGCCTTGACCTTCACATATTCACAAGTGTTCATTATGCTTTATGAGAATGTTTACTTTGCTGCACCATTTATCACCCCTTTAGAAACATTATGTATCCAGGGACTAAATAAAAGAGCACGGACAGAAAAAGAACCCTCAGTGTGGTACTGAGATATCCAAAACACATCTCTGTCCATTACTCAAACTTATCCATTGTCTTTCTCCTTTTTATTTCAGGTAAAATGCAAGCAGGTTTTAAACCTAACATTTCTTTGGTCCTTCGAGCCGGATTCCAATAGACCAGACGATTCCAGCAGGTGAGGTGGACGACAGATAAGACCGTGGCCACGGCAGACTCTTTAGGATGAGTCTTGAAGACCTCTTTGAGGAACTGGACTCGACCTGCCTGCTGGGATCCGACGGTTGACGGAAATCCGAAGCCAAGGGGAAAGACAAGTGGTGAGTTGGTCTTTTATAAAAAGGAGCGTGGAATGATTGAAATTCACTTCGCGTAGAGAATTTATAAAAGACCAAAAAAGGGTGCCGGAGTCCTACTACTAGAAATAGTTTAAATTCCGAGAAGGGTGCCGGAGTCCTACTAGAAATAGTTTAAATTCCGAAGAAGGGTGCCGGAGTCCTACTAGAAATAGTTTAAATTCCGAAGAAGGGTGCCGGAGTCCTACTAGAAGTAGTTTAAATTCCGATGAAGACGCGCGGGTCCGGTGTGGTACCGTTGACAAAGGCCTAATTGAAAAAAAAGAAAAGAAAAAAAAAAGAAAAATTCTGCAGAACAAAACACGTGTTAAAAGTGTGATTGTGAAAGTGTGAGAGTGATTGGAATAGGCATATATCACTAGATATATCCTATTCATACCAAAACAGTGGGATTGTAAGTAGTGACCTTATTGTGGAAGCAAAGGCAAGAATTCTCCACTCGCAAGAGTAGAAGCGAGAATTACCACATAAGGAATTTTTATCACTACCCCATTGAAAGAACCCAGCTTAATAGGACACCCTAGGTGTCACCTAAGCTGGACTAAAACACATAAAAATGGGGACGGGAGCCAGTAAGGCTAAATTAGATAAACTAAAAAGTCAAGACTGGAAAGTTTTCCAGACAGAGCCCGAAAAATTACAATTCCTCGAATTATGGGTAACTAAATTTGGATTCGATGGCAGCCTAAGAACAAGCCAATTAAATAAACTACATGACTCCATAAGCATAAAATATGGGTGTCAAATGATTGATGAATGGAAAAAAGTAGCAAAAGCCAGAGAGGATGGAGAAAGGAGGAGAAAAAAGGGGAGAAGCAGAAGAGGATTCAGAGGTAGAGGACAAGATAGGCCCAGACCAGGAGGAGCAAATCAAAGAGGAACAGGGTGCTGGGCGTGTGGAAAGGAGGGACATATAGCCCGCTATTGCAATAACAAATCAAAGGGAGGAAGGCGTGAGCAGTCAGTACGAGATCAAAAGCTATAAGTAAAGACAACTTTAATAATAATTATTATTATAAAATAATACTGATAATAATGCAGAAATGAAAGGTAGAAAAGGCAGTTAAAAAAGCAGAAAGGTTTAATGCAGACTGCAAATTTTTAGCAAGTTAAATTCTCTGTACAGTCTCTGTTCTCTGCACAAATGATAAAATGATTCATCAGAGGCCAGTTACGACCTTGACTCCTCCAGAGACACAGCACCCAAAGAATCCCTCCCTATGCAGAAGCATGTAGCTATTAAAAGACAAAACTGTGACTAAACTGTTACAGTCTATGAAGTATAAGTTGTACATGTAGACGTGTCACTGGAGAAGAAGAGGTTTTCTGACCTCAGCTGGCATCCCTGTTAAACATTTGAACCAACTGATTGATATTATACCTTATTGGAACTTAAAGAAGTAACCATAGTAAAGTGCAGAGAACACCAAAGCTAACTTGGAATTAAAAACCCTTTCTATAATGCTATTTAACGTAAGATTAACTCCAAATGTGACAATGAATTTCATACTATATGAGATAAATAGGACGACTATGGAATAATAAGAGAGATGATAAACCATTTGATGACTATGACAGAGAGAACAAGAAAGAAGCAGGTTAAGAGGCAGAAATTTCAATAGAGAAGGCGATAGAGGAAATAGAAGTTTTGACAAGAGTTATGAATCACAAGAGCAAAGAGATACAGAACAGTACCCTGACCAAGGTCATGAACCACAACATCAGAGAATTGTAGAGCTTTTTGTCACTAGGTGAAGAGCTGTAGAAAAACGTATCAAGCAGGACTAGAAGAGGGAGAGACAGCAAATGTTATTTGACAGAAATAAAGAGAAAGTGTGAACAGAGACGAGACAGAGGAGGAAGAAGTGCTAAACTTGGAGAAGATAAATAAATATATAAAGATATTTTGATAGATAGATAGATAGATATACTTTATTGATCCCAAACTGGGAAATTCTCTTGTTATAGCAGCAAAAAGTAAATATAAAACTAAATATAAGAAGTAGTACAATGCAGACTAAAAATAATAAAAATACTAAGTATAAACAATAAATATAGGCTAAATATACTAAACATCCTAAGAGATAAAAGTGAGATATGAAGAACGTGGACTATTGAAATTAGTAAAAAATATGAAATGAGTAATAAATATGAAATGAGAAATATTACAGATGGGATGATAGATATACAGACAATTTAAGGTGCTCTGTAATATGATGTGATAGGAGTTTTTAAGAATGGACTATACAGCAGACAGGCGTGAGTCCCTGTCTGACATATGTGAGTTATTTAACAGTGCAATAACTTGTGGCAGGACAGATTTCCTGTATCAGCGGAGCTGCAACAGTCATTTGGAGAAGGAATACATTGTGCAGACATAACACCGCAGATATAGTTAATGATTCAGGGTTTACCCTTAACCTTTTTGTGTGGCTCCGGTGCAAAGAAAACAGTTCTTAGACATAAACTATCACAGATTAGGTTTTCCAAACAAAAGATTTTTGTCAAATCAACACACAGAGAGAGCTTGAGAGATAGTAATAGCGAGTCATGGGCTTTGCCATGTCTCGACAGGAGGGAGGAGTGTAGTAGTTAACCCTATTGATTCATAAATTATTTAAAAAAAAAAAAAAATAATAAAATTGTTTGATTTGTTCAGTTTAGACATAATGCTCAAGACAGTATAAAACCAAAAAGAGGCCAATTTCCACCAACCAATGCATCATTTGAAGCCATACACATGGACTTCATAGAATTAAATCAGTGTGAGAGAAAGAAATACTGTTCAGTGTTAATAGATCCTTTCACTAAATGGATAGAATTATTTCCTGTCACCCATCCAGATGCATTAACAGTAGCAGAAATCCTGTGTAGAGAAATAATTTCTTGATTTGACATTCAAAAACGAATCTACACAGACAATGGAACTCATTTTGTAAATGAAATAAATGAATAAATAAATAATAATAACTAGAAAATGCAATTTCTGAAGAAATTGCGAGATGGATTGCTCCAGCTAAAATTGCCATCGCTAAGCTGCTATAGTAAATGGTTTAAGTTAAAAAATTATGCGAAAGAGATGAGATTTGAAGATTCAAAAAGGTTTAAATCAGTTTAATTTAGTTGGAATTAGTTTGAAAAAATTGAATACTGAGTGAAGAATGAAATGATTTAAAACTGAAAAAATTAAAATGATCATAATCTGGATGTATAGAGAAGTTGAAGGCTTTTAAAGTTGTGTAAAGAAAATGTGAGAAAAGGGCCACTTTAAAAATTCCATAATCCATTTCTAATAAAAAAAATTGGTCGGAAAATCTGGACTATCTCTGAAAGTATGAATGTTAGGAAAATTTTGAATATAAACTGGAATCTCCTGAAGTTTGAATGGTTTTTAATACGTTTAAGTAAGTGGAAGGAATTAAAAAAAAAATTAAGGTACTGCTAATGACACCCACAGCAGTAAAAATAGCACAAAGAAGTAGTTGGATACATCTTTCCCATTGCAAAAAAAAAAACCTATATGGGTTTTAGTTAGGAAAGTCTGACTTCAAAGGGGGGCGTCCTTATAGTGGGCGTTCGTCTCAATGTCAGTGAAGATTAGCTGGTGTTGAATTCCTTAGGAGCTTAGGAAAATGGGGAAGTTAAGTATCTTACTTCTGCTAAACCTGATACTGTTAATTTACCTACTGAAAACATTATTTACAACTTCAGATGAACTTAAGGAAGGAAAGAGAAGTGACAACAACAATAGTCCTCACATCCTGCGTGACAACCAATCAAAAATCACATTCAGCTGTTCTGAAGGCAACCATGTGCAGAGAGGAAACCTGAGAGATAGTGAGCAGGGGTATGAATCACCCAGACGGACACCACAGTTGCTTCGTGTGCTGAAGACACTGAGAACTTTACCATAGCTTAACTGCTACTAGGCGTTTGAGTTATTCTGTTTACAATGGGATTTTGTGTATGCTTGTTTTGTCAATAAACACTTATACTTATGTTTATTAAAGGTACATCACAAAATAAAATAAAAAAAAATAATAATTAAAAAATGGTGGAAGAAGAATATTAATAAAGATATGAATAACATATAGTGGAATGCTTAGCAATCCCTCTCAATAAATAATGATTAAGAAAAACTAATTTGAAGTGAACATGTGGTACAGATATGCAAAAATATCTAGCAAAAATGAAGAATCTGTCTAACTTCTATGTCTGTACTAGGAATTCCCTAACCATAACAAAAGTGTATGTGTTTTCTGTAGCTGTACCTGAATGACAGCAGACTGATAATAGGACCTTAGTGACTTTAATCCTAACTGTTGTAACTTTCCAGACCAGTGTGGCAAATTTAACCTCTGCAGTTAGTCTTATTCCTTTGTTGAGCCACTCCAGAGTAAAAGAAATTAGCAAACAGAGTCAGACCCGATTTATATAGATAGTTCCTTGTGAGGTACCAGATGAGTATAAACTAGTAAATCAAATTGCTGCAGGCTTTGAGTCTCTCGTCTGTCCTTGGTGTACAATGAACAAAAATATAGATCAAATCAGAATCAACTACATCCATTTCAACGTTCAAAAGCTAGGTAATTGGACTGAGGCTGGTTTTCAGGCCGTTCACTCGCAGTTATCTGCAACATCCCTGATGGCTTTCCAAAACCGTATAGCCCTTGACATGCTGCTGGCAGAAACAGGAGGTGTATGTGCCATGTTTGGAGAAACGTGTCGCACGTTCATTCCTGATGACACTGCTGCTGATAGCAGCCTCACTCGAGCCATAGAGGGCCTAAAAATGCTTAACAGCAAAATGAAAGACCACTCAGGAATAGATAACTTCTTTTGGGATGATTGGATGAATGTATTTGGAAAATACAAAAATCTTGTAGATTCAGTCCTAATCTCTGTTGCTGTTTTTGCAGCTAATTTGACCTTGTGTGGATGTTGTTGTATTTCTGTATTTGTTCTCTTCTTAACCGCCTTATCACCACAGCGTTGTCCCCTGTGGAGCAGCAGATGCAGGAGCTGTACCCGCTGCTCCATCAGCAGGACGAGGAGGACAGACTTGATGACACTCAATGGCCTGACCTGTGCCCCAATCCGGATGCTGAGTGTAATTCTGACTAAAGCAACATCTTGTACCTCTGTGTGTAAATTCTTTGTAGTCATACACATGAACTCGCAGCTGAAAATCGAGAGAAGTGGCTGAACTAGAGGGATTATGAGAATTTGAGCAAAGTAATGATAAACAGGAGGGAAATGTTAGAATAATGTGCATAAATGTATATAGAAGTTATCATTATTCCTCATATTCTTATGTAAGAGTTGACTACAAGTATAAACTGTTTTGACCTCTTTTTATACATTATATAAGAGTGTTTCCTAACTTCTCTCTTCAATAGATTTACTACACAGCACAACAATGTTACTTTCAGTTTTCTGTGACTGTCTTTCCTATCAGCAGGTGGGGGTGTGTGAGTGATGGATCCTCCGCGGTAAATCGTGGGGAGTTTTTGAGGAGGTGCCGCTGTTATCAGAAGGAGCTCATTAGATGCCGCCTTGACCTTCACATATTCACAAGTGTTCATTATGCTTTATGAGAATGTTTACTTTGCTGCACCATTTATCACCCCTTTAGAAACATTATGTATCCAGGGACTAAATAAAAGAGCACGGACAGAAAAAGAACCCTCAGTGTGGTACTGAGATATCCAAAACACATCTCTGTCCATTACTCAAACTTATCCATTGTCTTTCTCCTTTTTATTTCAGGTAAAATGCAAGCAGGTTTTAAACCTAACAATGTAACAATTAGTGCATAAAACCTGCAGCATCCTAGTGTTGCAGCGGTTTGCAAGGGAACGGTGCATGTTCAGCGTGAATTCTTCTAAACGTTTGTATTTGTATTTTGTTTATTTAGCACAGATTAAAAACAGTGCAAGGAGGGAACGAAGCCGATGGGCTTATACAGAGTTCCACTCCCGTCAGGTCAGAGAAAACATAAGGTTCAGTGAACAAATCACTCACTGAGCCCAATTTACCGAGCAGACCTAATAGCATATCATAGGAAAATCTGTCACATATCACAAACCTGTTTGCCAAAGCAACACAGCCAAACACTCTCGTCTCCTGGTCCCAGAAGCTTTGATCTGCACTGAATCCTGAACTGTTCAGCTGTGTATCTGTTCAGGAGGTCAGAGTCGCAGGCTTTTTCTACTAAGCGCTACATGATTCAGTGATTTGGTCAACGAATCTTTTGAACGAATCTTTTTATTAGTGAAATGATTCTAGTGATTCAGTAAATCTAAAAGAACTGCCGTGCCCATCACTTGATCCCACAGAAGAGGCAGACCACAAAGGTTGATTTACCCTAACCTAATGTTATTTTATACTGACATTGCTTACCTGTAGTCAAGGTGGACAGAAATGTCACCGTATGTTTACATGGAGAGCTGTACCAGTTGCTTCTTTCTTGAATATCTTTTGACTGAGAGCCGCTTGGCTTGCAGAAAACGATTCGGGTGAGAGACTGCTCACCGTACCAAACTGTGCCAAACTAAACCAGAGTGCTTGGTGGAAACGCACCATTTGAGTGTGCAGGGTTTTGTCAGCTTGTCCATAACTTTCTGAGAATGGCAGTGAGCCAGAGGCTGCATTAAACCGTGTAAGCTGCAGAAATAGTCCAACAGCTTAACAAACAATGACACTTTTGTTAGGTTGTGCTACTAGAACATCACAGAGTCACAGCACTTTATGGAGCACTCTGACGTTGTGTCTTTTATAGCAGCTACACTGAAACTTTTCAGACTATTTTGAAATGGTAATAATGAAGGTGCATACTGCATTACAGCTTTGTAATGACAGGGTTATTGTGGGGTGATACAATGCTGTTATGACATTAGATAATCATTTCACCAGGTGGCACTGACGGAGTAGAGTTGATGTGCCCCCTGTCCTCACGGCCCTCAAATGCACTCTCTCCTAAGTGTAGACCACTGACCAGATTGGGATTGGGACTAAGCACCTGTTTCCATCTTTACTTACCTCATAAGCGAGAGCAAACGTGCCCCAGTGAATGGCCACAGACTGTTTGGCTTGAAGGTCTTGGTGAATCTGGACGGCCTCCTCTGGATCTACATGCTGCCCCTGCATCATATCCCTAAAAAACAAAACATTAACACTTATTACAAAACGTGTCACAATACGGACTTTGATTTGAAGCCTGCAGTGTTTTAGTTTTTGTAGAAACTGGACTACAGAACCCTCTTGTGGTATAATCCAGCATCTGCTACAATATCTAACTTTATAAAGTATACATATAATTTATAGTTATGGTTAAAGGAGTCATCTGAGATGACATTATCTTTGTGTAGGTCTTCTTTTTAACTTCCTGTTGACACCAAGGGGGGGACAACAGAAAGATGTCTCTATGTAAGATCACTGTTACAAGACTCACCTGGGCTGGTAGGCTCCAATGGGGATCGCTGCGAGATCAAATGGTCCGAAGCGACGTCCAATCTCCTGGAAAGAAGAGCAGTAGCCAGTATCACCAGCGAAGAAGAAGCGATGTTCGGGACCCAGAACAGACCAACTGCCCCATAAAGACTGTGGAGGAGATCAGGTTTGAGATGAAGAGTCATATTAATAAAAACTTTGACAATCTTAGTAACAGGATATGAGGTGACCTTAACTGTGCATGTGTCTGCATCATCGACGTAGATGTATCATCTTAGTTAGTGTTGGGCAGTATGAACGAAATCCTATATCACGGTACGAGTGATTTCATATCACAGTAATGGTATATATCATGGTATGTTTTTCCTCCTGTAAATTCAGTTAATGGCTTAAAAATAACCATACTGAGGACTTTAGGAGGTCTGCTGGACATACTGGTGATTATAGGGAGCGCACCCAAACCTGACCAATCAAACAGAGCGAACAAACTCTGACTCTGAGGGATACAGCAGACATCTGCTCTCTCTCTTTCCGGTATAAACGGTACAGCAAAATTTCAACCAGTAGACACTTTTATACCGTCATACCGCCCAACACTAATCTTAGTCATAGCAAAAAGGAGCCTTGATCTACAGTTCAATGGTATTCGGTCAGTATTAGCTATAACCGTAATATTTAAAACACCTTGTTATCATCAAGTGCTGTTCGTTTGCTCCAGTGCTGAGAGGGCGTGCAGACGAATGTGATGTCATCATGACCCGGGACACAGTTCTCCTCCCACCAGTCTAGCTCCATCACGTTCTCACAGCCCATCTTCACCAGCCAGTCCATCAGACCCAGGGGCACGAACCTGTAAACACAAACACACCTTAACACGTGCCATCATTAAAGCAGGGGACATCTTTGACGTTATCAACCCCGACTGAAGATCCGCACGCACCAGCGTAGCTCCCCTCCAAAGCGCTCATTGAGACTGGCAACAGATCCAACATCCAGATGGTCGTAATGGGAGTGACTGATGACCACAGCATCAATCCTGGGCAGCTGTTGGTAGAAGGAAAAAAGGTTTTACAGCAACCAAAATGAAGACGCACTGAGGAGGGGGATTTAAGAAGAAAACTGACCTGCTCTACTGTACACGGGGGCCCTCTGAACCTTTTGGGCCCCATGAACTGGAAGGGTGAGGCCCTCTGGCTGAAAATGGGGTCAGTCAGAATATTAAGCCCATCCATTTCAACCAGAACTGTGGCATGACCCAACCAGGTCACTCTCAGACCTGGACCAGACTCTGACAGGTCCGGGCTCTGCACAAAGTAGGGTTCGATAACTGGAAGCTCGCTGTCCAGAGCCTGCAGGAGAAAAAAGAAAAAGAGATATGAGTGAGTTTATCTGACTTAAATGTGATGACACACTTTCTCCAGACACAGAACAGATTGCCTTTCCATCATGATCTCTATGGTTGTTGATCAGCAGATCCATTCCTATGGGTATTATGTAATAAGACTATACAATCTGTCCCAGAAAGGGTTAAACATTTTCTATTGCTCTGTGAAAGCTGCTTTGAAAGCCTGATAAGCTCTTACTGAGCTCAGCAGGGTTTCTTCTCAGAGCAACGACTGCTTTATGAGAGAGTCAACAATGAGCAATACTCTTACTGACTAATGTGGAGTATGAACAGTACACTTGGATAATCTATGTGAAGCACTTCTGTATAATATTTTCTTACTCACTTCTTTACTTGTTGGCACATTGCTGTGATTTTTATCCAGCAGTAAGAACCTGAGCAAGGTGGCATATGAAGGAAACCTCCATGTTGGCCAGGGGTTCGTCCAGCGACCATGTTTGTCTCTGCAGGATTTAGTCACATCCTCCTACATTCAAATAAAGAATAAAACATTTTTGAAGTTAGTTTGAAAGTAAAAAAAAAAAACTAAACACAGCGAGGAGAGAAGTGGAGGGATGGCATGTTAGGAGACAGAGTCCATGCTAACAGTGAGGTTTCAGGTTGTTTAAGATAACACAGGTGGGGTGTCTGTGTATACAGGTGAAGGACGCTCTTTTCGAGGCTCACTGAAGGGAGTTTTTACCTCCAGTCGGTAATCAAGGCGAAAGCTCTTGCGGGACGAGCGAGTGGAGCTGCTTTTCCTCGGGGTCTCAGGGTCCGCCTCTCCTCCCTCAGCACCTCTCAGCACTGTGCCATCCTGGAGTAACATTAAAAAACAATTGTTTTTTTCTTTCAGGGGCATAAATTACAGCTTTGTTTCATTCAGTATTCCTCATTGACAAACCTTTACAACTACATAAACCATAATGCAGCTCGCTCCTTAAATGTCCAGGCACACAGCTGGTAGCAGCTAATAACAAAGCCCTACATCTGAATCTACTATTGCTGCTGGTTGTCTCTCTTTCTGCATCTCGCTCTATCCCCTCTCTAAACCCAACGCAGTAGCAGCAGATGACTGTCTAACATGAGTCTGGTTCAGCTCAAGGTTTCTGCCTGTTGAAGGAAGTTTTTCCTCTCCACCGTAACTTAAGTTTCACTCTCATGGAGTTGAAGATGGGACTGAATCAGGTCTAATCTTACAGGATGGAGTTCAATCTTATCCCATCTTTATGTTGGGTTGACCAGTTTTTTTGTTCAGCATCTTCAGATAACATTTATTGTGAATTGGTGCTATACAAATAAAGATTAATTGATTGATTGAGTGTACTGGTTTAACTTTAAATAACATAACTTCACTTCTTGATCCTGTTTGCAATGAAATCAAAATTTGTCATCATCACTGGTTGAAAACTGAAAACACCTTTTTTAAATTCATTTACATGTAAGAAGAGAAAAACAAGTTTGGCTTCATCTTTTCACAGACACCTTGACATTTCAGAGTAAGAGGAGTGTATGGTTGTTTCAGAACTGAAAATAATGCATTCCACTGAGATTACTGGAGTACAATAACATGGCTCACCAGGTCACACAAGTTGGTTCCACCTGTTCTCTTCCTGCTATGACTAACCAACATATCTGCTTTTATTAAGTTAACTTTTAGCTATTGATGGCAATTTTTTGACAAAAATGTAGACAGCTAACTGCAGAAAACACACCTCAAAATGAAAGCGGCACTTCTAAAAACAAGGCTGTAGATGTTCCTTTTTCTCTTGAACAAGTTCAAATCAACAAATATTACACTTCCTTCCCATCAAGTTGTGAGATGATTCATTTCTCACCTCGACCAGGCCTTTTTTCTCCTCCAGCGTCGCACTTTCTGACAATGACGGCTTGTCCATGAGCTCACTACCACACCTAGTACACAAACAAACACACACTTTTAATTCTACTTCACAGTCATAACATTTCACATGCGAGTCTTACTGCAGCTGGTTATACAAGAGTGAGTGTAGCACTGCTGAAATGATAACAGATAACGCTCAACCGTCAGCTGGACCTCAGGGGTTTGCATGAGACAAAAGGTGATAGTCCCACAGCGAGATTGGCATCAGTATTCAAATCAGCTGAGCCCATTATGACTAACGTTTAAGAGCAACCACAGGCCTCACTAACACTGTGACTCACCAACATTCACTTTGTTTTCTAACATCTTGCTTTCCTGAATGATGACACAACTTGCTTGGCAAGTAAAACTGATAAACAACCAACAGTTTTACTCTTGTGTAACACAGTTTGTGATGATGGCACATGATCAAAAAACAAACAAACAGAAGGTTCCCTGTGATAACGAAAAGCCTCATTTACTACATGATCATACAAAACTGACATTTCCCTCCTGTTTTTGTGTTTCAAATTGGAGTCATGAAATCATACAGTCATAACTGCATGAGGAAAAATGCAGTTTACTCCTCTTTAGAAGGATATCCACCTCAAACATAGTTATTATGCAATATCAAACTTTGATCTGAGTCGTGGACTGGGTACAAGTAACTGTCTTTACACTGATTCTTGTACTGGACGGGAAATCATAAATCATAAAATCATAAAAGCGCAGGTTGGAGGAGGGTAAGAAACACCTACACTTGTAGACACAAAAATGAACACTGGCACCAACAGCCAGAGCCTGCAAGCCTAATCACAGCCCTCCTCCATGCTACCATTATCTACAACAATCCTAGAGCAGTACACACCCTCACTAACTACTATTCACTCATCAATGAGCCCTTCGTGCATGTATACTTAAATAGATACAGCACATATTGATTTGACATGGTCGTAGGATGTGGTCTCTTCCATGCATTAGGTGAAAGATGGATCATCTTACATGTTAGGAGAAGTTATGGCTGGAAAAGGTATGCGAAAAACACCGTAATGCAACGAAAGCCCCACACTGCACTTGCCCTCTCTGGGGAACTCCATACATTAAAGCTATGGCGTGCTGATGATGCACTTAGCCTCATGAATGGACTTTAACTGCACACTACACACAGACACTGGGACAACAATGGAGCTCTGTGGAGGACAACCAAACAAAGATCTATGTAGGCAGCCAGCGTGCCTGATGTGGACATATAAACAACAAACGCAGCCTGAGGTCAGGAGTTTCTGTCAAGAGTGTGTGCAGTCCAATTACATTTAATCTTCTTCATTATGAGAAAGTCAAAACACATCATCTATGCCACCTGTGGAGGAAAATCAATGCTCAAATGATCAAATGAATCTCACTTGAAAACAGCAAAGTGTTCACACAGTCAATGATATCATGACACTACTCTTAGTGACACTGACAGAAAGCCTCACTGATTAACATGTTTGGAAACTTCAAACTATTTCCTGTTTATAATGTTTGAACAGATATTGACACAGACAGGAAAGACAGTAACAACCATATTGACAGTGTAGCAACAAATCAAGCCAAACCCAAGCAAACTTTTCACTCATTTTCACAGTAGAATGTGTTCAGGAGAGAATTGACTGAGAGAAATACTAAACAAATTAACATGCCCCCCGTTACTTCAAGGCTACCACACACTGACTGTGAGAGTGCCACACACGTCGTTATGCTCCACCAAACATGCCAGTTGTCACTATTTTAAGCCAACTCACCTGAAAACTTGAACGCAGCAGAACAGCACCGCTCGTTATCTTAGCAAGGCGACATGTTTGTTGCATTAACGTTAGCCATACCCTGAGTTTTAACGCGAACACACTAACATAATTGACAGCTAAACGCTCTCCCTCAGCATTACCAATGCAGTTTGCATTAGCATGGATGTATATTAAAGACAGTAGGCAGCAGAGCAGGGTGGGTGGCAGCAGTAAATGCCGATGGTAAGATGTCTCTCAAAGGTATGACGCGGAGTTTGAACTGCAGCAGGACGGTGAGGAGGATCATTAGTCGGTACCAGCTCTGACGTCGATGCAAAAGCCCTCGGATCACGTGACCTCTCGAAAAAGTGTCGCTGTGACTGCAGGCTAAACTTAACCTCTCTAAAAAAAAAACAACTTTATGAAATTGAAAACGCATAATTCATTCACAATAAAAATAAATAAATAAAAATTAACAAATTTAAAAACTATTCAAAAAAAGGATGAAAGAAAGAAAGAAAGAAAGAAAGAAAGAAAGAAAGAAAGAAAGAAAGAAAGAAAACAGAAAAACACTTCTTACCAAGGTGTCTTAATTTTTATTATAGTTTCGAAAAAAAACAGGTAATAATACGAGGTAATAATGATAATAATAATAATAATAATAATTTTATTATTATTGTAGACATGATATAATTTTTCTTTTATTTAACATTTTAATTTCATTTAATGAATTACCTCATTTATATTATAATATTTCAATTCTCGTTAACTTAGTTTTACAAACTTATTTTCCACTATCCACCTTTAAAAAAAAAAAAACACTATTATTACTATTATCATTATTGTTATTATGATTATAGACATTATCTATTTTTTTTGTTTAACATTTTAATCTCACTTCATGAATTGCCTCATTCATATTACAATATTTCAATTCTTGTTAACTTAGTTTACAAATTTATTTTCCACTATCCACCTTTTTAAAAATTATTATTATTATTAATAATAATATTATTATCATTATAGATTTTATTGGTTAGTGGTTTCTCTTTTTTTAACGTTTTAATCTCGTTTAGAGAATTGCCTCATTCATATTATAATACTTCAATTTCCGTTCAGTTAAATCTAGTTAAATCTTAAATTGATCCATCAAAACAACATGTGCTACTTTTACATAAAGTTAATCAAAATTATTGTGTTTAATCAAAAATGGATGCTAGGCGTCTTCCAGGAATTTTTTAAGTAAAAATAAAAATAAAATCCTTTACTGTTGACGTTAAACTAGGTTTGCATGTTTCGTTCGCATTTGTACAAAAAGAAAGAACGAAGTTGGCACACATTCTTTTTCGCACTCTTTTACAGAAAGCAGACTTACCCTGAATGCCTCGTCCTGATTGAGGGCACTTGGACAGCTTTAAACCAGTGCAGACAAACTTCATTCAGTCGCCCGGTGGACTGACTTAACCTAAAACTACACGAGAGGGACAAATGAACGGAGCTACACAACACCTTCTCCATTCTTCTTCTTTGTATCGACACATACTTTGCAGGGACTTTTAAAAACTGCACAAAAGTTGTGTCAAACTCGAGGAAAGTGGCTTAGCGTCCATGGCGCCCTAGACGGTTTTTATTTCGGCAGTAGAAGTAGTTATAACTTCCTGTGAGATGCTTTCAAGGACTCACGGAATTTTGAAAATTAATATCGCTACGTTATTGTTCAGCCATTTATCAATCCCCAAGTTATACATAAATCTTAAAAAGTTGTCTGTAACCTAAACACGTTTTGATCTTGACTCGTATTTATCATTTTTGAGCTACTGAATGCATGAATTATTAAATAAACTTTTATCAGGCTCGCATTTATCACCTCTGTTTCTCGCTGAAGTTCCCTTTCTGTTGATTTGAGCACCTTTACACCCAGCCAGTCATTTCAACTATAATGCCAATATACAGTAAACCATCCATGTAAATGGTGGACCCTAAATTGTTATCCAGACAAGATAAGAACTGGGAAATATGTAGTTTAAGTTTTCAAAAAATCCTCTCTCTGTTAAACAAAAGTAAGAACTTATAGTACACAATCTTTCCACCTACATCAGACATGAACATTTGGATGAAATAAAGACAACACTTTTAACACATACTCTTTATGTAGAAAACCACAAGCTCAATTAAAAAAAAAAAAACAGGGGAAAACAAAAAGAAATTAGCTATTTATATACAAAACTGTCCATGTTGATTCTACAGTGATGCTGCACTATAAAGAGAAGGTAAAACTTCCTCTGAATCAGACTAATTTTATCAAGATAATTGGACAAGGCTTATCTGAAAAGTAAACGTAGAGTATTTTTGTATTCATCACAAGATATTGTTTTTGCAGTTGTAGTCTGAGACACAAAAATACAGATTGTTAACTGCTGAACACTCCTGTCACTTTGTGTTCAGCATGTTGTCCTGGTCCATTTCTCAGTGCTCCTTGTGGTCTCCATCCTCCTCAAGTTTCCTGATCTCTGCCTTCAGATGGTTGATGTTTTCTCGGCTGGCTTTGAGTTTATCTTTTAGCTCTGTGATCTCCTGGCTGGTTCTCTTCTTTGCTGCCTCCATTTTCTCCTTAGTCCTCTGCTCCTGCTCACTGACTGTAGACACAAGCAAGCACACACAAACCGTTATGATATCTGTGACTCAGTATTACATGTGGCTCTTTGCACGCACACACACACACACACACACACACACACACACACACACACACACACACACACACACTTCTGCAGTAATATCCATTGCGTTTGTACATACACTCTGTCTCATGTTTGTATGCTCCTAGTGTGAGCTGTCTTGACGTGGTCAGGAGCTGCTGCATCATGGCTGTAGGATCCTGGAAGATCTGAGGATGCAAAAGACAAGATTCAAGATTCAAGATTTGTTAATTTGTCATGTGCACTTTAAACAAGGTCAACAGTGCAATGAAATGCCCTGGATGAGAGGAACGCTTGACTCAAAGGAGTACAGATAAAAAAAAGACACAATAAGTACTAAGAGGATTACAATAAAAAGAATGCAAAAATTTTTAAAGACAAATTAAAGTATAGGAGAAAGATTTACAAAGTGCAATATTTACAAAGGTGCTGAGTGTAAATATATGAAATGGAGGATAAGTCGGTGGGATAAATGAGGTATGAAAATTGCCGTATTGCACATGATAAATAATGGTGTACACACTGCTGTATTGCATATCACAGATAATATTGCACAGTTAAGTGGGTTATTGTACAGAGTATTGACTGGTGGTACTGCCAGGAGTTTAGATAACAAACTGAATATGGGTAGTAACTGTACTTCAGTCTTTTAGTGCGTGCTGGCAGACTCCTGTGCCTTCTGCCAGACGGTAGTGGACACAAAAGTCTTGGTGAAGTAAGACTTTGTTGTCAAGGACAATACACAACTAAGCACAATTTCGGAGCTAAATTCATATCAAAGCGTGATGACATCTTTCAACAAAAATTCTTAAATGATTCCAGCAAGTAACGGTAGTTTTGAGTTTTTGCCTACAGCATGAAAGTAGACGTACCATTTCATCATAGAATTCAGACACAACTGTCTTCTTAGGCATGGCACTGGAGTCTGACTGGAACAACTTCAACAGGTGGTACAGAGTCACCTAAGACACATACAAGCCCAATGCAGCAAACATATGAGGATGTAAGGTTTGAAGTATCACATTTGTAACAGCGCGTTTACTTCTAGTTGCTCTTACAGGTCTCTCATTAGGGTCGATGAAGAAGATCTTGATGATGATCTCAAACTCGCCCCATCCTGTCTCTGTAATCTCGTATGGAGGCTTGGTCACAACTAGTAAAAAAAAGACGTTATTTCAGACAAAAGTACAACAGACGCATATTTTAGTCCTCAAATATCAGCTGTGTAAAGGTCTCACACACCTCTCAGTGGGTTACCATAGCTCTCATGCAACTTGAACTGGATCTTCTTCACGTAAGCGGACATATCCTGAAACAACAAGGTGAATACTGTAAATAATCATCACAAAACACAGTAAAAACAGTCACTGAAAAGGTTTGAATTGACGTGGACGCCTCACCTCATTTCGGTAAGGCTTCACATAAACAGACCACTGATGTGTGTGTCCATCCTCCTCTCGCTTCTTCCCAAAGTAACGAGCGACGTTTCCGAATACGATAGGCTTCACAATGGTTACTCCCTGAAGAGAAGAAATGGAAATCATATTGATTTGTTCACGTAAAAAAATATATACAAGACAATAATAAACAGACAGTGGTAAACATTAAGCGCATCTGCTCATGCGTTTCTTTCCGTATCCGAACGCTGTGGAGTAACCTTACCTTAACCCTCCCCCCGGAATCTGGACCAAATTCAGTCATCTTTTTAAACATACTATGGTGCCAGGATACAGTTAAAATTCTCCAAGTACACCCCAGAAGAGTTAATTTGTTGTTAAACCTGCCATTTAGGCATTAGAAATTGGCTCCACAGCCAACATCTCCATTTCAAATCACCGGCTAAACAACCACCGGAAATGGCGCGTGTCACTGTACAAATTGTTCGTTGGAGAGCAGTTTGTCAGGAAAAAAAGGTTCCGACTGTTGCGCTTGTCAACAACAAATAAACCAAATTGAGCCCCATCCCCAATTTTGACAAATAAAATTCATTTAGGATTAAGTGTGTCACGATGCATTCACGAATTAACTTTTATTTTTTTACTTCTCTGTGAGCTACTGCCCCTTTTTGAGGAGCGATAGGTGTTCATCAGAATGCAGACCGATAGGCCATGACCATAGGCTGTATATAGTATACTCTGTGTACAGTCTATGATCATGACTTTCAGGTATTAAAAGTGCTTTCATTGTGTATGATTGAAGACGCCGAGTAGGGTGGTGTCACAACACATTGTTAAACTGAAAGGTATTCCTTTTCTTTGTCTATTAGAAATGTACGGGGAGCCAAATATCGGTGACACATCAATCCTCCAACAGTTGTTTCCATCGGCCTACAGGAGGTCAAAATGTAACTAATTGTATGTTTTTAAGGCTGCTTAGAGTTAACATTAAAGTGTCAGGAATGTGACACGCGTGAATTACTGACAACAGTGTCCACACTTTGTATATTGGTCTCAGAACAGCAATAATAGCACTATGAAATCAGTCTGTTGGTATTGCTTATGCTCCGTCACTCTCTGTGAATGAGTAGGATGTGGAGCATACACCAGTACAGACCAAATCAAAGTTAAAGACTAGTCTGCACTAAACCTCATATAATCTCAGCGACTACATATTGTATTTGGATGTATCATAACAGCAAAACAAAAAAGAAACCACAATCCCTAATTGAATTTACATAGATTTATTTCATTTCACCAGATAGTTTGCCAGGTTCCACATGCATTTACTGGGTGTTAAAATAGAAACAAATAGAAAATAGATCAAATGAATATCAAAGAGCTATCTAACAGGACAACAGTCCTTACTGTAAATCTGCTTTAATTAAGCTACCAGCAACTGCTAATGTGACTTCTTACATCAACAAGGCAGACTTCCTTTGGACCGGACAGCCTCTTCTGTATCCATGCAGATCTGAAACACTTACCTTCAGCGCTGTGGAGAAAAGGGGGGGCTTTAACCTGACACTTGAACATTTCTAATGGAAGCCCTTCACAGGCTAAGACCCCACAATTCCCACAGAAGAGGAGCAACACTGATTTGGACCCACTACAGTCCTGGGAAGGGATCTAAGAGCCATAATTGAGAAAAACAAGTGGTTTAGGTTTGCTTCAAGATTAGCATTTTCTTCTGCATTATTATGGAAAATGGCACTAAAAATGCTGCCTTAATTTTCCTCTTTCGTATACAAAACAGACTCTTCTTATATACAGAAATGGTAAACAGGAGCAAAATTTGACACCACATCACCTTTACAGTGAGTCACTTGATCTGTATCTTTCAGCACAGCTAATAAAGACTTCTGGAGCATTTAAAGTGATTGCTCTGAGGGTACTGTCCACATTTCTTACAGTCATCACGTATTGAAGGACATGTAATTGTCAGACAGACGGTCATTATTTCAATTCAAGACAACATAAAACAAGGAAAACAATTCTTGAAAATTCAAACGACAAATTCAAATAACAAAATACAAATGGGGTTTTCTCAATTTTGTCATGGAAGGGAGATATTGTTGCCCATTATACAAAGGGGTGTTTGCTTAAGTGTTGAACCAGCCTTAATCAGAGAGGTTTGTCACATTCATAAAAAACAACCCTGTTAACCTTTTTTTTACAAGCTCTGCAGGGCAAACTGCAAATCTATAATCCACCTGTAGAAACACTTTTGCAGCATTAAAACCCTTCAGATGTCTTCTCTCTGTATTTACAATGACTACTTCGACCTTTCCATCTCAAGACTGGACAAATTATTACTCAGATCCCTCCAATCAATGCATTTGCAAGACACGAATATGATGACTGGTGGACTGGAGGAAAGATCTAAAGTCTGTAGACTGCACTTTTTTTCCTCACTAAACGTTTGAGTTTCTTTGGAGTCACAAGAATAAACACAAAAAATCATGTTTTCACCTGGTACACAGAAAAAAACCTGAGATTGCATTTTTCAAACAGATGTAATGAGAGACTGACCAACTATATAAGCATTCACTACAATGGTGGTTGTGATGATATATCTTAGAATGACAACATTTCACATTAACAACACAAAAAACATGTTTGGAAAAGTTCCCAATAATTGCTCTTCAGTGTAATTACATGCCAGAAACAGAAAACTATCTGCATCACAGGCGTTATGGAAGAAATACTTGATACTCAAGTGCAGTATGAATACGGACACCATCAGTAAATAAATACTTCCAGATCATCATTTCTACCCGTTTTTTCCTCCACTTTACAAAACATCAAGAGGAAGTCAATGGTTTCATTTTCTGAATCACAAACCACTTGCTAATACTGCTAAAATAGTATCTATATGCAAGCCTATTCAATATGAAAGTTTTAAGTCAAAAATACACATTTAATATAAATGAGGCAAATGTGACGAGGAAGGCAACAAATACGTCATATACCTCAGTAATCATTTTTTATTACAACACCATCTAGTTTTTAATCAAAAGCAGAGACATTTACAAACATACTAACCATGAAAAGAATAAATGAGAATGAGGGGGAGGGGGTAGGGAGAAAACATCAAACATGTCCCCTATAAAAACTGAGCTCTAAACTGAGTGTACACAGTACAGGAAGCAGAGGGGAAATAAAAAGAATAGGATTCAATGTTTGTGTCTTCTAGGTCGGGACTGTGTGGGCTGTCTTGTTGTATTTTGCAAAAAAAGCATCTCACAAGTAGTCATCTTCATGTCAAATAAAACATCATAAAAATAAAAGACTGGAAAGTTTCTTTTTTCATCTTTAGTTACCAAGAGTATAGAGGTTTGAATAACATAGCCTTACACAGGTCAGGGTCTCCCATCCACAGGCAGACAGGATGAAGAGACAGAGAGAAGGATGGGTGGAGACGGAGAGGAGAGATGGAGGGGTGGAGACGAAGTGGTGGTTGTGATCCTTGTCCGGTCATGCAGGGTGGGGAGGGTGTGGCGCACTGAAGTCCTTCCTCCTTGTCCTTCCATTCATCCTTACTCCTTGTGAGCTGAAAGGTTTCAAAACGGAGGGTGGAGTTTGGTTTCGAGGCAGCCCAATAGTGAACACTTTCCCCCCTCACCATCAAACCTCTAACACTACACACACAGAGCGCACCAGGGCTGGGTTCAATCCACCGTCACTTTGAGTCAGAGAGGCTCGAGTTAGTCTGAGTCCACTTAACACAAGTCTCATTATGAAATTTTCAAGTTTTTGATGACTATAAAGCAAAACTTTTTTTCTGTTGGAGCTCACTTGACAGTGTGTATCCCCCAACCCTCGCACAAACACAGAAACATGCAAGCTTGAACAGAAGGCAAATTTGAAACCTATTGGTACAAACACACACCAATATAGAACAACTCCTTGTTGAATGTTCTCCTGAATGGAGTTATATACTGTTGCCAACACATGAATTTGAAGTTTGTTACATGCATTTTTTAAAAATTAATAATAAATGGATGTCATCATTTTACATGTAGCTCTTAACAGAATCAACAACCATATTGGACAGCTTTGTTGGGCATTTAGCTACAGACAGTCTAAACTGTCTGCTGAAATTTAAATCCAGGGATGGACATGGGGGAAAATGGTGATGTGAATCTAACCAAGTATAACTATACAAGTCAAACAAGACTTGACCTTTGTTGGCAGCTTCAATGGGCCTGGTAGCATATGATGTGCATTTTGCATTTTTATCGATTCGATAAAAACAGAAATATGGCATCAGTTTTGTGTGATTTTCAGGAATCACAACATTTCTAGGTAAATGGGCAAAAATTGCTGTTAGCATAAGCAAAAAATAAATGAATCTTAACTCTCAGTAATGTGGCAGGATGACAGTTTGCAAGTATGGAGATTTGAATGATCATTTTCTTTCAACTAAGAAGAGTTATAATGATACTACAAAAGAATTGATCATTAACTGTTTGATTTTCAAGCTTGACTCGTTTGAATGTGAAAGGGCCTCTTTTTTATTCATTTTTTTACAGTGTCTGCTTGTTCTCAAAACAGCAAAATTGACTTTTTTTTCACCCAGCAACTTTGAGAATATTTTGTTTTCAGCTTAATACCAGCAGGCGTGACATACCAAACACAGAAAATTTATCAACTGTGACGCCATAGAAAAAAGTAAAAGACACAGAATAGACAAAGAGCTGTGGATAGAAACACAAAACTATGATGCACAATATGGGACGGCACATTATAGATTTTTACATCATTATATCATCATTATTTCTTATATCCCCGAGGGGAGTTTCTCCAATAGAATTAAATCCTCTGTGGTCTGCTTCATATAAAGGCAAGGAAATGGGTGCAATATTTTGTCCTTACAACTGAGAAAGACAGACAAGTACATAAAGAATAAGCACCTCAATTAACAACTGTAAATAGTAGAGTAAATTCCTTTTTTAAACTTCATTAAAATACAGTCTGCTGACCAAATTACATTCTACCCACTTTGGATTTTTGGAGTCTAACAAATATGTCCAACTTAGCATACAAAATGTTAACCTTTCTGATGCAATATTTCACCCAAATTTGAAGGTTAAGTTATTGATTAGGCACAAGATTGATGAAGTCACACCAGGTTTAACTTTATAAAGGCTGACACCTGCAGGAGGGCAAATGGTCATAACATCATTGAGGGTGGTATGGATACCCAAGTCTGAAATGCTTACCTGTTGTAAATGCAATGCTCAAATGGTAAATCACTACAAATACACAGTTAGCCATAATATTTGCACAATACAGCAATCAAACATAATAGGGAGCCCTTGTCAGAGTATTTTACAAAGACGTTATAACAACCAGGGCAAGTTAAAATGCGCATATCTGAACTTTTCTTGGTGATTAAATGGCATCCTTACATGTAAGACTAACACATCTTTTTACAAATTGAAGGTTTAAATGTTATGTCTTATTTCATGATAGAAAATTACGATTCTGGGTAAACACAAACATGTGCAGTAGAGTGCCAGTAAATAAAGCATGGAGATGACACACTGTTCAGAGTCAAACCAGAGTCAAACAGTTCATAGAACACCTTCTGATACACTAATACTCAAGTTTGGTTTGCTATAAGGAGCTCTACTAAAAGCCTGATGCGTGACACTCAAGCAATTTCTCTGTATTTCAGAAAAATAAAATAAAAGGCAGAAGCATAAAACTGACTTAACAAAATTCACCCAGTTTGACAACTACACTATACTATACACTATACTGAGTAGACTTAAACAACTAAAAAAAACCTTTAAACTAATGCATTATAGGAGCCTCTAACAAAACCAAGGGACAATTCAAATTATCTCTCTTTCTTCTACTTGGTCCCAAGGTCATCTTCAGTCTAATAAGATTTTAAAATGTCACTTTCTACATAAAGTCTGTCAGCTACGGTTATTTCACATAAGTTGTTATACAGTAAATAAAACTGTTTGACCCTGGTTTAACACGAGAAAATATTTTGACTGTTTGAAAAGGACAGGTCTGTGAGTCCAACACAGAGAGGGCTACAGACAGACTGATGAGACAGCACAGAGTCATTTCAGCCTGGTGCAAACAGAGTATATCCCCCAACCACAATATTAACAGACAAATGAGTGTTTTATCAAATCTGTGGACACAAATATCCCAACTGCCATCAATAAAAGCAATAGGCTCAGAACTCTTCCTAATAACACTGTAGGGTATCAGACTGTATCCAAAGGCAACTTTAATCTTTCGTCATATCATGTAGAGCATTGGACCATTTTAATGGAAATCTGTGATCCAATTTAAATATGACTAAAAACCAGTGTGTCCACAGGGGATCTCTTCCAAGGCAGAGATCACAAAATGTGGATTCTGCAGAAACTGCTGACCCAGTGCTGGTTGAATATTCAAGATCAAATTAGATGAAAACAGATTTGATTTTGAGCAGTTACCACTCATTAAATTTAAAATTAGTACATTTTCATTTGACAAAAACAAATTTACAAACACAATGTTTCATAAAGAGGTTCCAAGTGGACACAAGAACTTACTTTTTATGAAAAATTAAATTTGGACACACGATTTCATGATTCCTCACTATATCATCAGACTACAAAACAGACAGTTACTGTATTACTACATTTTTCTGTTGTGGTCTGCTCAGAAATTTTCAGCTCCACCAGTAGCATCACCCCAGTTAATATTTCTCAGTCAGACAGCTCCCAAATATATGCTTTAAAAATAAGTGGCTTGACAGAATATACATTTATACTCTGCAAAGGGACTATTTAAAGACACGATTATCATGAATGAAATTCATTCATCAAGAAAAACTCTCCAAATTTTGGGAAATATTATTTGGGGTGATGAGAAATTGTACAAACATGCTGCAGGGTCCCTGTAACTAACTTTACCTTACTCTTATTGGACCATTTGACACAAAACATTACAGAACCTTCAGTATATTTGCAGGAGAGGACGTCAGCACTACATGCAACATCGGTCACACAACATATTTCGACTACAGTTCCAAAATTTGACAAATCACCATGTTGTTCAACATGCAGATTGCAATGAAAGAGAGCATCTCTCAACATGATTACAGACAATTCATTAAGCCCTACCAAGAGTATCCGTGAAAACAACAGTGAGCCAGAACAGGGTCTGCTCACAACACATTGTCAACAATGTGGTATCAATATTACTGGAGTACATGACGGTATCCATCACTTACATCAATAATATGAGAACAACCAAACAGCCAGCAAAACACATAACACTCAGAGCCAAATCACTATAAAAACGATCATTATCTCAGACACACCGAGGGTGATGTTTCATTAGAAATTCAGATATGCAGCCTGAACTGTAAGTATGTCAATGTACACATAAAAGGCACAAAAACTAAGAATGACATGTATATTACTTCAATCCATCAGACAGTATCAAATACAAAACAGCAAACGATCATCAATTGACATTAAGACCACTAAAGATTTACCAGATTCAATTAATGGATTCAGTGACAAGTTTCCTGGAGGTAAAATTACGTCTTTTGTTTCAGTTTAGCTGAACCATGGCACAAAAGAAATTAAATGACGGTTTGGCAACACCAAAACAAGGATTTTCTGTCCCATCTTTAAAATTTCCATCATTTCACACATTCACATTTACTTTACTTTAGCCAATGGCACATTTGTATGAAATTGCAATTTATTATGCATTTATCCTTACAAATAATAAATTGAGAGATCAACAGATAAAATCTTTAAGATTAAGTGCCAAAACTTGCCTTTAAAAATTTCCATAACATCAAGTGCATTAATGGCATCAACACTGGAAGATCACAAGATAACCTCAACATCTTAAATTGAGGTACAATGTTTCAAAACTGGCAACAAAGGGCTGCAAAACATTTGATTTGACAATCAATTTAAAATGTCAGGCAATATATCTGACATGCAAATATGGCACCATTACATTGGCAAAATGTTTCTGTTCAATATTCAAAAGGCATTTTTTTGATTTTCGAATGTGCACCTCTCAAAATCATCAAAGAGCAGTGACTTGTATTCACACATTCACAACATAAATATAGATGGAACATTTACAAAGTCTGGTTTGTTACACGTGACGTTGTTTCATTGAAAAATATACTAATCCAAATCAAAAGGAGACATATTATGATAAATCTGTGCTAATCAATGATTGGTCAACAGTTTAACAGTTGGAACCAATCAGGCCAATCGGTCATGGGACTATTTTGACAGTGGTACACTGACACATCAACTCAGCTGACACGTTACACTTCAAGAGCTTAAACTCACACAGAGAAACAAAGTACGAGTTCAAGTTGATACTCAGGCAAGGAAAATGATCACCTTTTATTTTGGACTAACGGCCAAAGCTGCTGGTAAAAGCAAAATGTTACCACTTCCACTTTTGATGACTCTTAAGTATTTGTGTTGCTTTTAAACAGTTTCTACCTGAGGCAGGTATTGAACACATCCAAACAGGTAAAAATAAGATGTCTTTGGTTTCTGGCTTTGACAAAAAAAAATGTACATGTAAATCTTTTTGGCAAATCAAAAAAAGTGGCAGACAAGTTTTGTAGTTTACCAGCCTCAGAGGCATGTAAACCAATGAATAAGACTGCAGCAGAGAAGTCATGGTCAAATATGTATCAGTAGTTTGAATATGAGAGACACAACTCTAAAAAGCTTCTGGAGGTAAAGCAGACAGGCAGTTACATGTATATTGAACACTCCCTGAAGGCCAAATATACATTGAAACAAATGTGATCGAAAGTTATGAAATTACAGGAAAAACAGACTTACCTTCAACTTACCTGAATCCAAAAGGTAGTCGCTGACCTAGTCACTCCTTGTTCTTATTTCACATATTTTAAGAGGACACCTTCAGTGACTTTCATGTCTATGCTGTAGATCTGCCATAGTTGCTAAGCTCTTAAACTTTGATCCCCTTTTTTCAAAGTACAAAAGAGATAGAGATAACAGTGCCTGGGTTAACCTGAAGGCACATTTAGGATGAAGGCAAGATTAACTAACAATGGAAATATGAGCTAAGCAACATAGGCAGATTGAACTAAATTTAACACAGGTGTTTTGTTATTCTACAAAGTCCTTTGGATTATCTGAGACCGGGCTGGAATGGCTCAATCCAGGTGTAAGATAAATCATGAAGAAATAGGAGAACAACTTGTGTCAGTGATGAAATAACACAGATTAAGTTCTACCCACCTTCTTTCCTCTCTAGCGATGCCGATACTCCCTCTCCCTCTCTCTCTCGCGGTCCCGGTCCCGATCCCTCTCACGGTGACGGTCTCGCTCCCGGCTGCGCTCTCGGTAATAGTCTTCATGACGGTCACGGCTGCGGGACTTGTGGCGTCGGCTCTTTTCTCTGGAGCGACTGTGGTCTCGTTCCCTGGAGCGCTCTCGCCTAGCAGAGACATAGAGGAGACTCTTAAAACGGTGCGCTAGTTTTTCATAGATGTAACACAGTTCAGTTTGAAGACTTTGTGTAAATGTGGCACTCCTGCTGCAAAATAAAGTAAAGTAATAAAATAAAAATAACAGGAGTTGACATAAACAACTGTAAACCTGACAAATGTGTCGATTTCAGCAGCATCTTAAAAACTCCAACCAACTTGCCACCCAACCAACCACCCAACCAACAAACCAACCAACTACCCAACCAACGAACCAACCAACCAACCACCCACCTACCCTCCCAACCAACCAACCAACCACCCAACCAACCAACCAACCAACCAACCACCCACTCACTCACTCAACTGCCCACCCACCCACCCAACCAACCAACCACCCACCCACCCAACCAACCATTTTGATGGGTTTAATCTTTTTTTTACTATCAAAACATGACAACTCTTTACTGATGCTTCTCGTGGCATCAACGCCTCAATGAAATAAAATCTTACCTGGAGGCAGAGCCGTAACTTTTAGATTCGATGCCATGAAGACAGTCCTGCAGGGAGCTGATGAGAACTTTGCAGCGATCATCTGCTGACACTTTGGACTGCTTGATCAGACTGATAGCTGTCACCAAGGTCTCTATAGCACTGCCATAGTCAGCTGTAGAGGACACAGTTGCATTAAGTTTAAATAGAAACTGTGTTTTTTGTGTAAAATCTTACAGCAACAGTCAATAAGAAGTCTTCTGCTATGTAATGTACCTGCACTTGCATCAGACACCGCTCGGGAAATTGCGCTGGAGGAGATGGCTCTGTTCCGGTTCATGATCTCCTCAAACTCAGCCTCACTCAAAGGAGTCCGTGACGCCTCCATGTCTCTACAAACACAAACATGGTAAAAAAAAATGAGTTCAGGACTTCAATAAAAAAATGTCCCTCTAAATAATCCATGACAACTGTCTGTCAGCTACATCGCTTGTCTGTTCTTACCTGCCTCCTGGACCATAGTCCCCCCTCTCATATGGTGGCGGACGCCCGTACGGGTCATTTGGTCCAGGGGGACCGCCTCTGTCGTTGGGTGGCATGTTATTATTACCAGGTGGGGGGAAGAATGCAGGGTTGACATGGGGTGCTGGTGGTGGTCCTCCAGGCGGGGGACCTGGCATGTGTGGAGGAGGGGCCAAAGCCATGGGCGGACCAATGGGGCCTGGGGGACGAGGAGGGAAGGGGCCTGGGGGTGGTGGACCTTGTTGAGGAGGCGGGGGACCAGGGGGAGGGCCGTATCCTGGAGGAGGGGGGCCTGGGGGCATGGGCCCCATTGGAGGCTGTCCAAACTGACCAGGGAAGAGAACAGGGGGAGGCGGCCTGTCACCGCGGTTTGGTGGACCAGGGAGGGGAGGGGGTAGGCCTTGTCCAGGAGGTGGTGGTCCTGGAGGGCCTGGGGGACCAGGTGGACCAGGAGGAGGACGTGGTGGACCTTGCATCCCACCTAAATGGAGCACAAAAGACAAAGCATAGACACATGGGACAAAGAAGGACATCTGAACTCTTATCCTCTAGTCTACCTCTGACAGTTCAGAGCATCAACAGGAAGCACCGAGACTTTCTCAGTAGGAAAAACCTCGGCGAGTTTGAAACATGAAACAAACACCAAAAAGGCCTGATGTTTCTACAAAGCTCCAATTTTCATATCATGTAGCTGCCATGTTCTGATCTTATTCAAATGTAGAAGCAGCACATCTATCGCAGCAGTTCAGAGGAGGGACAATGACACACACAGTTAAGGAAGAGCAAGCCATAGCTACAGGGAACAAAAAATGACAAAAGAACATAAAATAATTCAGCAAATTAAAACCAGAGGGCGACAAAAAAGATGGGGTTCACACAATAAAGAGTGCTTCTTTCTTTCTTTTTAAGCGGAGGCCTTTTGCTAAATTTATAATTGAGTGGGTGCACTGATAGATGCTGCCACAAATCTGAGTTCAGTGTGACGCACTCAGATTTCTAATGAAGGACACTTTGTTAGTGGACACATTTAGATTTCAATATCCCTGAAGCTAGAGGGCCAGAAGTAGAAAGGAATTTCAGTCACACTTAAAAAAAAAATCTTTTGTTCGAGGAGTTTGTCCTTGTTGGCAAATAAACTGCCATCTAAAAAAAAAAGGAAAAAACAAAAAACTTGTGCACCTCTGCCTCCTGAGTCCTGGAGATGTTTTTGCTTACTTTTAAGGCAGACAACATATTATGGAGCTAACTTCAACTAACTTTTAGAGTTTGAAATTCAGCTGTTTCTGGGGCAGTCGACCAGACAGAGTGAATGGCAAAACTACTACTGGTAAACAGCTGAGAGTTAGGATAAAAAGGCGATTAATCAAATCAATCGAGGTTTTTCACCTCTGCTGCGCCAGTTCCCGTTCCTGCCCCCTGGCGGGAAGGGATTGAAACTGATATCCATCAGAGGGCCATCTTGGTGCCCAATCAGATCTGGTCTCATCCCCGAGCCTAATGGGGAAGAAAGCAAACCAATCATGAGTCTTCCCTGTTTAAACTCCCACCTACCAACTTAAGGCCTTTCCCAGCCCTGCAACACGGGGGGCACCAGCCACTCAGCGGAAGAGGAAAAGAGGGTGGGATGAGGGGGGAAAAAAGACGCAAAAAAAAAAAGAGCAAAGCTGGAAACTCCAAACTCTACTGCAAGAAAAAGGCGGCCAATCCAAGATTTACAAGGAGTTTCAGAGTGGTAGCTTGCCGACTAAAGCTGTGAGCAAACTGGTTTTCAAGCAACGCAGTTTCTGTGAGTATAATACCAAAGCCAGATTAATTGTTCAAATGGAGGTGAAGAGGGACGAGGAGCGTACACATCAGAGAGAGAGGAAACATGCAAAGACACAGCCCTGGATGGAGAGATTTAATGAGTAGAAGATCCCTCAGAGTAACGCACAATACAACACACTGGCCTCAGTGTCATGCTGTGAGAACAGGAGCAAAGCCTAAACTGATCTAAAGGAGCAACACTTCCAGACAGAAAGCAGGATTTCAAAATAGGCCATGTTACAATTTTAAAAGGGATCTGTTGGTTAAATAAAAAGTCCACCAACCCATAATCCTCCATTGATGATAGCGTGTGATCACACTAATTCAGCAAATACTAAATTTTTCCTTCTTTTACAGGTAGGACCAAAATACCATCTCAATTAGTAAATTTCATACCTCCATCATTAACCTTCTCAATCAATTTAATAAGCTTTTGATATTAATTTAATAATGCTGCAAAATCTATCAGCTGTATCATTAAATGCTTGTGATAACCGTCTCACCATCCATCTGATTTTTAATGTGATGCAACTGAAAATAGACCTGAAAGAACCACACAAAGACAAACAGCTGTTACCACACTAACCAGGGAAATGGGGTGGGGGTCCTCCAGGACCAACAGGTCCAGGGAAGCGGTCTCCTCCAGGGCCAGGTGGTCCTGGGAATCTACCTCGACCTCGACCCATGGGGAAACCCCCACGAGGGCCAGCACCGGGGGGACCAGCTTTACCTTCCCCAGACATCTGGCCTGACTGTGTACCTGTGAGGTGACATAAACAACTCAGTTTTTGGTTTCATGGATAACATGTTAAAACTTTGAGTGCAGACTGTTCATTTCAGCAATGTCAGGGACGGTAGGGTTACATTTCTGAAATGGTTAGGTTTTGATAAGGCATGAGTTCCTTCTTCATGTTCAGCAATTAAACTTTAACTGACAGCATTTTTTAAAAGTCACGAATGCACTCATCTTACTTACTTTTACGTGACTGCATCTCAAACTGGCTGAGGGACTGTTTGTTGCACGGTGTGACGATGGGATTCTGACCATGAAGCTCACGCTTTGAGAGCAGCTCCATTAACTTCCTGGATGATGCTTCTGAGCCCACACACACCAATGCAAACCTGTCAGGAGGATGTAGAGAACACACAGGCATGAATTGATATTGTGAGGATTAACATTTGGTAAAACCGCTGACAATGACACTGATCTGCGACGCGTGTGCTGCAGGTACGAATCTTTAATGCCTCAGTGCAGATTTCTCACTGTCAACCACCTGATGGATGATATCAGTATATTTGACATTTGGTGTTTTTCCCACTACTACCCTTAGTCTGCTTGTGTTATGTATGATTAATATAAGACCTCACCCTTTTGACTGTCCATTGGCTCTGTTTTCAAAGAACTTGATCTCCAGCACATCTGTGATACCTATCGATCGTATGGCTTCTGTCAGATCTTCATCTGTTGTCCACTGTAAGAGAGAAAAAAGTATCAAGTTTATTTCGCTGACAGCTACTTTGAAACTTACGAATGAATTTTTGTCCGTATTTGAAACAGCACAAAAACTGTCCCATTTAAGGCAATAGTTGCAACTATTTACTAGTTACACTTAAAGGGCATATCATGGTTACCATGCAAATAGATACTCCCCCAACTATTTACAAAGTCTAAACCAATACCTACCCATGTGAGATTTCCTATGTAAAGGGCAATCCTTTTGCCTGTGTAGGTGTACACCACATTTGGGGGAGCGCTCTTCCCTCCTTCTGTGCCACCTGGTGCAGGCAGTGTGTCCAGGTAGTCCCTGTCCTCTGGCGCGTCACCATTGTTGGCTGATGGAGATATTACGTCATCGTACAAGTCGATCTGTTCATGAACTGGATAGTCAGCTTCCTGCAAAACACAATAACACTAATTAAGTCAAACATGCCTGACAAGTCAGCAAACACGCCAAACAAGCACCAACTTTAGCGACCAATTAAAATGTGCATATTTCTCATGAGTTTATAGTTCGATATACTCCTTAGTCATGATGCATAGAGTCAACCTCAAATGACTTGTTTTGAATAGTTTTCACAGCTTTTCACACGCATTTACGCCATAGTTTCAGAGAAGTACATAAGTAGACTTAGGAAGCAGGTCTAATTAGCATGTTTGAGTTTTTCAATCTCATACTACAGCGTGTAATCATGCATCTGTGTAAATCAAACATCAGTTTCAATTTACAGAAAAACAGCAAGCAGTGAGACCCTGTAGATCATTAGCAGCCAAATTCTGGGCAAACTTGATATCATTAGCATTATATTTGTACTGGCAGAGTACTTAACTGATATTAAAATCTCTGACAATACACAGACAATAAAGTGACAGATTAAATCTGCATCTGGATGACAGCATAGCATCCCCAAACAAGCTTCAATATGTTGGCTATAAGGAGGTATTTTTGAGTATTGGGACAAGAGAAATGTCTAATTCTTAAATGTTCATATCTGTGAATATGATCTATTGTTTTGGGGTTTGTTTCTGTCACCATAAAAGTAGTATGTAACTTCGTGTACACATATGTTAAGTGCTGTGGATAAGAGGTGCGTTAATATCGGTATTAACGCTACTATGGGTCGAGACGAGTCTAATATTATCGGTATGTCGGTAATTGACAAAAACAAGCAAACAAAAACAATATCGTGAAACCCAAACAAATTCTTCTTACAATGCATAACGTGACTGAGTTGGAAAAAGTTGTGGGTGTATGAAGGAAACAAACTGAACCCCACAGATGAGTAACGCTACACAAAGCTAACAGCCACGAGCTAACAACAAACAGTCAATGTGCTTTGGGTGGATTTGACGTTTCCCACACGATACTGACAAAGAAAACAGGCATTTAATTAATGTTATGTCGGCCTACGCTTCAATTATTTTACCCTTATGACACAAATGACAGGAAAAAAACAACAACTCTGTATCCATAATTAATCCAGGACAGCGGCTAATGCTAGTTCATGTAACTGCGTTTGTTTGGCTCGGTAACCCGCCATAAGCAACGAGGCCCGGAACCATTCATAACAAACAATGAAAGCTATTGCTTAACAAATATCTCCACTTTCAAATAACATATGCGATTTGCATGAAACATGTGTCGTCTTTAGATATCGAAAGCAGCACAGATGCAACATTTGGAAGCGTTAGTTGTAGCAGAGGCTGCAGGTTTGCAGCATGCTGAAGGGGAGGGCCCTGTGTACCAGAGAAGCTTCTGATATCAGCCATGTACGCAGCTCCCCGACTTATAGTTAACAAAAATACTCACGACTTAACATGTGAAGCAACATTTACGCAATTCTTATAAAGTATGTCTTTTACCTGACTGAATTCCTCCTCTACGTCGGCGTAAATATCGATGTGATCCACACCGTCCGCCATTTTCCTCAACCCGTCGCTCCTCCGCCTGGCGGTGCAGAGAAACACACTGAGAGCTACGGGAGAACAATGACACCGAGAGGAACAACTGCGCCCCCACTGGCCAATGGTGGTAATTACAATACCCGCTGCACATACAAATAATAATGCAGAATACGGTACAGCAACTTCTTTGTTTTATTCAAACCTTTGATCATAAAAACATGGCTATAATATGTGATAAATGGCATCCAGTCAAATAGCATATTTTCAGAAAACTAGGGAATTATGGGTAAGGGACAAGGGTTTACCTAAAGGGATATTCCGGTGTAAAATTAATTTAGGGTCAAACACACAGTAACACTGAGTTAAACACCCCCGTCGAGAGATGAATGTTACCAACTTTAGTAACAACCGCAGATAGCAATACAGAGAGCAAACCACTCAACCAAAAAGCCACTCTATAACCACAAATAATGCTCAGAACAGCACCTAACTTCATCAACAGTACATATAGGGTCATAGCCATAGTACTAGCCACCAAACATCGTTTTAACTTTGCCTAATTTCTTTAGCAAAGAGACTAAACACAACTCACCTACTCTCTTCCAGCAGTTGCTTGTTTGTACAGACACCTCCAGGCGAGTCCATTGACTGCAGTGGGGTGACACAGCTCTAGGAAGAACATTAATGATCACCACTTTATCATTTCCTTGAAGTAATAATCATCATATTAATCATTTTGCACTGCAGACGCAGTAGTTCTTCTGCCTTAGCGTCCCCTGCTGCAGTCGATAGACTCGCCGGGAGGATCAGCATGGTGCCCCTTCTCTGTGTGAAGTGTTAAAAGAAGTAGTAACTTATTATCACTGTATGGCAATGTTTGTTAGTACCCAAGCACTGAAAAACAATGTTGCTGCATAACTTTTTCAGTAAAAAGTCAAACTAAAGCCGTCCCTTCTGAATTCGTCTTCATAACTGTTTTCTTTGTCAACAGAGCAGTTTTATTATCTTCCTAGTAATCAAGTTGGTTTATTAAAGAAAGAGAGCCCAGGCCTTTTCTTTACAAATATGTCATAGTTCAGTTTTCCCTGTAATTTACAAAGATGTAAAACTATATAATATGCTGAAAAAAGAAACATTTTTTGACTTTTAATTAAGTTTTCTCTGCTGTATATTCTAAATCCAAAGAAGAGGATCTCAGTTACTGGCAATGATTAAGGATTTTCTTTTACATTGTTTTATATTCTCCAAGAATTGCAGTAGTAAAGAAATTATGGGCAAATGAAGGCATACAGGATTTAAATTGTAAAACTTGAATGAGGATGACCTACGTCATGGTTTAAGAGGGGGTGTTATGCTATTTCTCGGCTTTGTATTGTTCCTCTGATAGTTTTTTAGCAGCTTTAAAGGATTTACAGTTCAGTTCAACAAATTCTTAACATATATCATGGTACTGCCTGAGATGCTTCCTTTTAAGCCACTGTCCCGTAAGGTTGACTTTTTGACTTGTTTATTAGTTGACAAAAGTCTGACTTAATAGTGTTCAATCAAATACATTCAAGGCAATCAGAAAGTGCACCTTCTTCTTTGACACATTTATGCTATATATTTAAATATGATTTGAATTCCTCGAAACTGTTTCCACCAAAGCCTGCTCTTTCACTCTAAGGTTCTTTGTAGTTGCTTTCATGACACTCATTGACACACCAGAACACACAGTGACAACAAATACAAACAAAAAAACACATGGGTAATTTAATTTACATGGTACAAATCCTAGCTTCAATCAACCAACATACATGGCAATTATGCAACACAGATTATTGTATGGCAAAGTTTATGAACAAAAGTAAGACAGATGTTAAAAATTAGTCTTCAAATATCAGAGAGGTTGAACACGCTGTTATGATGTATGCAATTACACAAACAGGCAAATTTCAGGCAATTTTGTCATCAGAATTTAACAGCAAGCTTTTAGGGTGATCAAAGATACCGTACAGTGCTTCCTCTTTTATTACAGGGACACATTATTTTTTCAGTCTAGTTGTTGTTACATGACCATGCTGCCAAAGTTAAGGATCCAACAACCAAAAACTTAAACAATGTTATTTTTCAGAAATATCCAGGTTCTCCTTCGGATTTTCATCATGTGATATCTGCATTCAAACCATGTGGGTGGCTGGAAGTGAAGTCCATCATTGTGTTTTCCATGCTGGTAGGTCACTGTTTCCACAGTCCAATCAAAAAGACAAACATAAATACACACATATACAAACACAGAGAAAGACACAGCTGATAAAGACAGAAAGGCAGACATTGTTAAAAAGATATGTCACAGAAACAAACAGTTTGGGATTTCATCGATGTGAACAGTCAAAAAATAAGAGTCTTTGATGACTTCTTCATCTGATATTTGGATTATTTTACCACTCTTTATATTACATGATGTTATACAGCTTCATTGCATATACTGTCTTGGCACTGAGCCATCGCCCTTTGAGGTTCGCAGTGAAGCTGTTGCAAAAATCAAAGGAGACATCAGTTCAACCCTGATATGACACAACACTGTAGCCCTTCTTTTCTTTTTTCGTCATTCAGGGTTTAAAAAGCAGGTAGAATAGTCTGTGGATTAACCATTCAGGGTCTGCACTGTGCATGCTTGCAGCTGCATATATAATATGCATGTGTGTCTGCAGTTTTCTGTTCACTGGGATTTGGGAGACGTTTTTTCCCCTCCTGAATTTTGTCACATCGTGTGACTCATAATTCCCTTTTCTCGTTGCACGTCATAGCCACTACCTGCATCTCGTCAGTCCTTTTTCATTTTGGGATGCAAAGTGGTATATGAGAACGTAACTCAAGGAAAAGTATCCATGGCAACAACAGCTCGTTGACTTTGCAGTTCAGATGTAATAATTTCCAGGAATTAACCAATCAAAGCTCAAAACCCTCAGTAAAGGTCCGTGATTGGTGACTTAGTCTGTGGTCGTCATGAGCAAAGATGTGCAGGATTAGGTCAGTTTATAAAAAAAGATCCACTTGAGGTGTCCACAAATTAACACATCTCTTGGTAATCCTCTTAAACATAAAAGCAGTCAAAACGGTAAACTCCCATCCTCCATCACGAGCCGAATTTTGAGACAAAGAGACAGGTGAAGAAAAGCGAGGCAGAGAGAGATATCACACAGGCTCCTCCACAGTCATTGGCATTTTCCTGCAGAGACAAAGCAAAGCGAGTGATTTCCCTCTATGTTTTAGGTCTTTTGACATCAATTAGATGAAAAAAGCTGGATTTAATAGCAGGTAGAAGCCTTGCCTAGTAACAAAAGTGCTTTTCCCTCAATTAGACTAACCTATTTGGTGCAGTATAGTGAGAAAATAAAATATGATCAAGCTTTAAAAAATTACTGCATTATTTCTAACATCTGATTTGCCCTGGCTGCAATCTTTTCCATCGTGTGAACCAAAGAGACACTGACCTGCTCGTGGTAGGCATGGCAGGACTCGGGGCGTCTTCGGATCTTCTGGGACCTCATCCTGTCACATTTCACTGAGGCATTATGTACAGTGGCGTCAAGAAGCAACAACAGAACAAGCTGAAATACATAAGCCTTATCCAGAAAATGACTTTTTATTGTACAAAAAGTGCGTGAGACTTCTGAATTCTTTTAAACAGGGTGAGCATATGCAACACAATTACAGTGACCTTTCTGTCACATCAGCAAAAAAGAGCACTAACTGCAAAGAGACTGTGGCAATAAAGAAATTAATCTGGGAGAGTGCTTTCATGCAAGTGAGTTATGCACTTAAATACACACCCCCTCACCAAGTTTTGAAGCTTGCATGTTAACCGAGTGGAAATAACAGCATTAATTTAATAGGAAGATACAGTATAATGTAAAATCAAACCTAGCGAGCAATACCTGATCTGAAATGTGTGCTGAGGTGGGATAGTTTCTCATGCCAAAGAACTAATCTTTATGAATACTTGACTGCCAAAGGATATATTTGACTTCCTTGGGCTCCAGAGTGATAGGGGAGTACTGTCTGGAGCAGTCACAGTCTGCCTGCACCACCAACATCAACAGGTTGCTCTCTGGTATCTGGTGCACCACAAACATCCTGAAACACACACGCACAAAAATGCATATACAAAGAGTGAAAATGAGCAGAGACACAATGACAAGTTTTTCAAATTATGCAGACAGAAATGTTGTATTTTAGACAATGAGACAACGTGTATGTATATGTACCACTATATCAATAAAAAGTAAAAAAACAATCATAGAATACTGAGAGAGAAAATTTCCATGAATTTTTTTTGTAGCAGATTTGGTGTTTTTACTTGGTTGCAGGTGTAGTATATACTTAAAAAATTAAAAGTCAGTAAAAGAGTAGTACTGTAAAAAAATGTTTGTATTGTTTAACTTCTTTTAGCCTCTAGAGGGCACTCACACTCAAGCTATAATCACAAACTGAACACCAGAACCACAGCATTTCTCTAAATCTGGTTTCAAACTCATGAACATAAATACTGTAATGATTTTCTCCCTCTTTTTTCTTTAGCTCTCTCCCCTCTTCTCTTCATTTCCCTCTTCTAATACCTTTTCTCAGTCTTTTTGCATAATCTCCTGTGTTCTGATTCTGCTCCCCACTCCCTGACTCTCTATTAAAACATACAGTCTTAAGTATGCAGAGCAGGGCTGGAGAAAATGGATATTGGAGGAAAAATTTGATATGACTGGTTGATAGCTCAGAGAACACTGCACTGCAAATGTAAATGTGCATAAGAGCGTGCTCACTTTTGGCAGCGTCCACACTTGATAATGCTGTTGGTCTCTTTGACTGACGGCTCGTACACAAAGCTGGGGTACTCGGTGTCACATGGCTGCAGGAAGTCCCCTCGTTTCTTATGAGCTGAGGCTAACAGAGAAATAGATACGGGTCATATTAGGGGGTGAATATGAATGAGTGTGTGTGAAAGGACAACATTTTGTTGGTGACAGGCAGATGGTCAATAG